AAAAAAATCCCTACAAAATAACGTAAGGCGATAACAAATAAAGGAAATCAAAAGTTAAGACAAGAATTCGGAAGAAAGAAAAGAACAACAGCATCAACAACTAATGAGATACTCAATCCCTATATGACTCTAGGCCTGAAATTGGAATCCGGAAGCATCAGGCCGCAGACCGGTCGAAAATTTTTACCAGTTAAGCCAATATCATAAAGACATATTTTTGGTTATATGTATATATATTTTTAGGTGCAGACAAAAAACTTAACAACTCTGCCTATTAATTTGCCTAGTCTCAGTCTACAGTCCTGAAAGCCAGTACTTTAAGCAATTCCCTTAAGTAGTGTTTAAAGTTTCTGGAATAAACGTGGTATGTATTTGATGGGGATTGTCTATCGTTTGTCTCACAATAGTGGTGTTCATCAGGCGATAGTCACCGGATATTGTTGATTTGCGATGTAGTGGGGTCGATTTAATGCCAAGATGTTTATGTTTTTATTGCAGATTGTAACCTTTTTTTTCTAGAATCTGTTTAATAAAGCGCCAGTGATCTAAGACTGTATCTTGAGACAGATCCCATACTCGAATCTTAATATCGTAGGGTTAAGAACCGTGGGATAACCGAGTTGTATTAACGTCTATTTCATAAACACTTTGACACGTTAAGACCCGTGGGACAACCAGGTTGTTATTACGCTATATTTAAACGGATCAAAACTATCTAAATAGATACTTGAAGAATCATGAGCAAAACAACTTTGTATGTAAGATAGGAATATTTTTAGACAGCACTTGTAAAGGAGGCTTTTCTAGAAGTCGGGGGATTAACATTGATACAAGAAACAAGTTGGCTACGAGAGTGTTATTGCTGAGACTCGCAGACTTCAACTGATTTTCGTAGGTGACACGTTGTGCCTTCAAACATGAAGAATACAGCAACTGGTGTACTTGGGAGAAAAGGGGGAAGATCTTTCAATGGAAAAATGCGAAAGTTTTAAAACGAGAAGGAATTTGAACAAAATTAACTTTCAAAGCTCGATTAGAAGACTTTTCCTTTCTTGACCTTTTGGGCTAATAATTTTTTAGTGTCAAGAAAGCGGATAATTTGCTTATCTGTTGTAATACCAAATACAGACAAGTGACGTGTTCTCCCCTTTAATCGTTGTTTATTTTAGAGATCAAAGATTTTCTTTCTCACAGTGGACTCGTGCGGCTCGCGTTTTCCCACAGGAAACATTAAAGATTATTTCTTGATCTGATATAATAGCAATTGTTGGCCACTACGGTCGTTTGTCTTGTATTTACTGTTTATTCAAGGGCTTAACGATTTTCAGCTTTTGTCAAAAGTCTCGTGCGCTGTGTTTTCCCACAGAAACTACTCTGTTTGTAAACAAGGAATCATTTCAACGCCAAGCGTGCCATAAATGTCTACGACGACAGGTTATTTCGACAATGACAGTTACCCACAGTGGAGTATCACGTGTATTGCTCACGTACTTAACTTTGCCATGACCCAGACTGGCCATGGCCACAACCTAATCCTGATTATGTCATAGAATTTTTTTACAGTTTCTCTTTTGTCTCTGTCTCCGCCTGTCTTTTTTAAATAAAGCTTTCATTTTAATAAAGAGGTTTTAAGAGCCAAAAATGAAATAAGTAAAAAATAAAGTAAAACCTTAAGGCAGCTTTGTACGCAATGGAGAGGATCGCGTTAACGAGCAAAAAGCCTGCCGCGAGCTTCTGTTGCTGTGCGTGTTGCAGATCTGCGTGATTTTCGTCATTTTCCGGCCGGGAAAATTCTCTTAAAACACATTCACGCTATTGTGTTTAAGCTGAGCCTTTGCCTTAAACCTTGATCGGTAGTCAGAGTGAAGTTAATTGATGCAGGCAAGTTCAAGGTAATTCAAGGACTTCAAGTGTTCGTGCACTAATATTCGTGAACTCACATAATTCTCTGGGGTAATTAAACACATGGAGTGTATTCACAACGCGTTTTTGATACTGAAAATAAAAACTTACACTATTGTTACGAAAGTGCGACTGCAGGAAATTTTTTCGCTGAGCCCCTACGCAAAATTTCCGCTTCTTAATCTTGAGATACTATTTTAACCACGTTACGGGAGATAGTTGGCTATGATATTAAACTACAAAAAAATGGAGGTCTTGGTTAATGAGGCAGTCCTGAACTGTACATTATGGATGTTTTGAACAAGTTATGGTTGAGTTGGTTAGTTTTAATGGCACTTCGTTCATCTTTTTATTCCACAACTTGAACTTATAAAAGCTTGAGAGAGAATTATGTCTTTTGTGAAATGATATATTATAAATGTATACTCTCTTATGTTTTGCTGTTCTGTAAAGGTGGTGTTACATGGCCTGGGACGATTCGCAACGACGATTTTTAACGCAACACAGCGTCGCAGTATTGAAACAATGTTACAGCTGTTCGAAACAATGTCGCAACGCTGTGTTGCGCTAAAAATCGTCGTTGCGAATCGTCTCGTGTAACATTACCTTAACATCGCTACAATCTTTGACTGATTTCATTATAAGGTTGTCTTGGGAGTAACAACGCTGTCCCTTCCCTCAGTACAGAAGCCATAGCGGGTGAGACGAAGCTTTTTATCAAGCCATTTTTAGAAAAGCTTAATTTTAGCCAATTCTTTTTAGCCGCAAATCAAAAACGTCAACAATTTTGCCGAGGCATCGATCTATTTGCCTCTACTGGCAGCAGTCCTGAAAGCCACTGCTTATACTTATTTCCCGATCGCGTTCAACCGTTGTCAGTTATATTAAAGGTCGACACAGTTATCACCAGCCGCCGTGCCTGCCTTTCCAACCGCAAATGGCAATTGGAAGATATTAAATGAAAGATATTTTAATGGAGGTATCAGATATGTATTATAGGGATCGTCTGTCCATTGCACAACGTTAGTCTGTTACATTGATCGTGCAGGTTTCGGCGGCATACTGTTGGTCTTCATCGAAGCGATAGTGTTGATTTGCAATGCAGTGGTGTTGATTTAATGCCATGATGTTTGTGTTGTTGACTTGAGATTGCAACCTTTTTTCTAGAATGTGTTTAATTAAAGCGCCGGTGATCTGATGTATCTTGAGACAGATCCCATACTCGAACTTAAATGCCGCAGGGTTAAGAACCGTGGGATAACCAAACTGTGCTAACGTCTATTTACCTTAACACTTTGACATGTTAAGACCCGTGAGACAACCAGATTGTTATTGCGTCATTTTTAAATAGATCAAAACTATCTAAATAGATACTTGAAGAACAGCAAAAACAATGACTTTGAATGAAAGATAGGAACATTTTTAGACAGCTCTTGTAAAGGTGGCATTTCTGGAACTCGGGGGATTAACATTGAAATGATACAAGAAACAAATTGGGTACGAGAAAGTGGAACTGTTGTGTTATTACGTTCAGACTCACAGACTTCAACTGAGTTGGCGTTACTGCTTCTGCGTTTCGACTCACTGCAGATTTCAATTGATTTTTCAACGTGACACTTTGTGCCTTCCTATATGACCAATAAAACCACTGGTTGGAGAAAAACCTGGGTAAAATTGTCTTAGTAGACAAACTGGCGAAAGTGTTAAAACAACGATGAATTTGAACGAAATTATTTTTCAAAAAGTGATCAGCAGATCCCTTTCCTTTGTGATCTATTGTGCAAAAAGGTTTGTTAGTGTCAAGGAAACGGGATAATTTGCTAATCTGTTATGATAACAAATACAGACAAGTGACTTGTTCTACCTTTTAATCGTTGTTTGTGTTAGAGATCAAAGATTTTCATTTTCACTCGTGCGGCTCGCGTTTTCCCACAGGAACTAATAAAGATCATTTCTTAATCTGATAGAATTGCAAATGTTGACCATTGACGTCTTTTTGCCACTTATTCACTGTTTATTCAAGAGCTTAACGATTTTCAGTTTTTTTAGAAGTCTCGTGCGCTGTGTTTTCCCATAGAAACTACTCTGTTTGTAAACAACGAAACATTTCAACGCCGATCGTGCCGTCAATGTCTACGACAGGTCATTCTACAATAATAATTACCCACAGTCAAATATCTCGAGCATTGTTCACGTACTTAACTCTCGGGGAATTAACTTTGCCGTGACCTCGCCATTATAATCTCATAGAAATGCATTTTTAGTCTGTCATGTTTTTCTCTCTGTCACCCTAAACCCTAAAATTAAAACTTGAAATCCAAAAATAAAGTAAGATAAAATAAAATAAACCCTCAAGGTCTAGGCTTTATACACAGAAAAGAGGATCGCGTGACGTGCAAAAAGAACGTTTGGCGGGTTTGTTTGTGTTAAGTTGCTGTGCTTGTTGTAGCACGTGATCTGAGTGAAAACAGTTCATTTCCTGAATTCTATCAAGCGACTGTCACGCTATCCTTTTTGAGTTGAGCTTTTTAATTTAACTTTGTTTGGAAGACTGAAGTTAACAGAGACAAGCACTGCAAGTACATGAATGTATAAATATACATAAATACCAGTTTGAACATAATTCCGTGAGGATACATATTTCAAGAATGTGCACTTAAGGAACGTTGGGCTTCTATGCAAAAGTTCAGTCCCATGGTTAACGCTCGTAGAGGCAGAGGACTAATTAGTGTTGAAAGCTCGGTGACTGTTTCAAAAGCTGACATACTGGATCAGTTATTTCTTTCAATTCAACCTACCGAATTTTGCAGTTGGACATTGGGTTTTCGTAGGTTTTTTGGGAAGACCACACACGGCTTTGCTTCAACTTAAAGACTCGCAAAGAATCTCAAATCGTCTGGATGAAAACAGAGAGAAAAGAAGCAAAACAGCTTGATTTTCTGCTTTTTTTGTGAGGACTCAGTCAAAAGTCTAAAAGGAAACTTATAACTACCCTAATCGAAGCTGATTCTGTTTATAACTACACTTTCCACTGGCTAATAGATGCTAACTATTTTGGGCCTATTATAACTGTTGTAACCATCAATATTCCTTAATTTCCCTTTATTAAGTTGTGTTTAATAGATCCGTTTAACTGAAGATTATAAACCGCCTCCAACGTCCTCATAATAGGTGTAACCTCTCCTTTCGACGTAGTTCCTAGGGTCCTGGTGCCTCGACGTATCTTTCAGTTCACATTGCCTGACCGGGGAGGAAGATGTATGTTGAAAGTTGAATGCCAAGCACTTGCTGTCCGCACGACATTTCTGAGCGCATTGGGTGACGCTTGTAACCCCGAACTGAGAGCGAGAGTGAAGAAGAAGGGAGTGGTCTACTTCCTTCAGTGTTGCTTGGAATATCTCGCCTGTGGATTGAAAGGGGACAACAGTCGCTGTCAGGCCTATGAACGTTAAAAGTATGGCTAAAAATTAAAAGATCTCAGCATTTTCTAATACTTCTCTTCCTTGATGGCAGCCATGATCCAGCTACTTAGCCTTTTTTTGGCCCTTTTTCTGCTGATTACAATTCGATAATAAACAGTATTGAGCCCATGGGAGTACAGTAGTCGTACTAGTCGTAGTCGAAGTCGTGGTCGTAGTCTTAGTACTGAGTACACGTAGTAGTAGAAATAGTAGTAGCAGCAGCAGCAGTAGCAGCAGCAGCAGCAGTAGTAGTAGTAGTAGCAGTAGTAGCAATAGTAGCAGTAGTAGTAGTAGCAGTAGAAGTACATTTTGGAGGAAAAACGTGACAGCCGTCTTCATTCTACTACGAGTTTTGGCGAGAATATCGTAGTGAAGGAAACAGGTTATCAAATGTTAGAAGTTTCATCATTTTGCGATTGGGGGAGAGCTTAACTTCCTCGCAATAAGAATAACAGTGCTAACTTTCCGGTGGAAAAAAAACACAATGAAGCTTTCTGGGGTGTATATTTTTTGAGAATACACAAAAAATTCCTGTCAAATCTCGTCCTCGAATCTTAAGGTCTCTATTTCCAACTCTGTGTCATGTCTGCATGTTAAGTGTCAATAAAATATTACGTGCGTTAAATTCAACGTTTCAATTAGGTCTTCAACAAACCTCTCTTTCTGTGTCTCACAGAAAAGTCCGATACTCTGCGCCTGCAGTATACTTCTTCATGTTTCCCTTTGTCAGCGCTCCAAATCCAAAATGCTTTATCACTGATTGCTGACATCTTACCCCAATAAGTCCATCCACGGTTAGGAAAGTACTCAACGGCTTGGGGCCAGTCACTGTCATCAAACCAGGCTCTTGTCCAATACTTTCCCTTTATTCGGTACCTATTTCCTCGCCCGGTACATTTCCATCTAGAGTCTGTCACCAAAGCATTGCTAAGACTTCCCAGAATCCCTGCCTCACCGTGAAGGTTTAAGCATTTTACTGCGAGAACATGCGTACCAGGACGTAGCGTGAAAGACACTGGTTGGGTTTTTCCACCGTTTCTGCCAGCGTACCTGCCATCAGTGTAAACTGTCATGGTTTGGTCACATGTGAGGAAGGCTTTCAATGTCTTGGTTGTTTCAGCTACAACATAAAATTAACGTTAAAGCTAGAAGTTTCAATGTGGAAATGAATGCTTGTCTTTGCGTCTGGAAAATGGTACTCATCCGGTACTAAGGACCACTAAGGGCTACATGCAATTAAACCTTCATGTAAGATTTCAACAATAATGAGGGTGCATGAATCTTTGATGAATCAGATGAATGTTACACTGAAATGAATATCAAAGAAAGGTTCGACGCAAAATTGTAGTAACAGCTAATTTAGCTCTCTGGCCAAGACAAAAATGTTCTCTTCCAACATATGATGCGAAATAATTGACCGCGTTGATGTGGCTTTGCATTAATATTTTTAAGGGTTATTTGGCGTGCATGAATTTTTTTCATTCAATTTTCCCTTGCGCGACCATTTCAGGTACTTTTTAGGTGTCCTCGTCCGCTTAATAGAAGTGTCCGCTCACTAAAGGTTTCATTTAAAGTAAATAAGGGAAAAAAATTGGGGGACTTCGGCTACTGTCCGCTTTATAGAGATTATCCGCTTAATACGGTGTCCGCTTAATACAGGTTTCACTGTATTACAATTAACAAAATGTTAGTTAATAATTGAAAAATGACATGAATGTCGTCTCCAGGTTCCAACGCATCTGCATGATCATGAAGCGATCGCGTTTTAAAACTGAATGGAGAAACCATCTTAGCGTAAATGCAAATCGCTTGTAAAACGACAGAAAGCTGACAAAGACGTACAGGTAAATCGTTTTATATTATGAGTAACCTTTATAGCTTATAAAGCGCGTTCAAGCTCCCTGTGGTTGACGCAAAAACTATATTTGACCGAAGAGTCGAGAAACGGTAAAACTGATCGCAATGCTTAGATTATACTCTCTCATGTAAAACTCCTTTCGGCACGAACATCCCGCCCGAATTATATGGGGGTCACCCACGCTCTCCCTGCTCCGAGTAAAACGTCTCTATGTGTCGCGATCGGTCTCCGTTGTCAAAACGCTAGACTTCTCTGTCCGCTGCATCAAGGTCTTTTCAACTTACTGTTATGTGTTGTCTCTGGAGGTCGTATATTTCCCGTGGCGTTGCTTTTGAAAATAAAACTCCGACGCTTACCGAGATTTATAGAATATATGGATGTCTCTCCTTTGTTAAGAGCCTTTTGTGACATTTGGTTACTGACGTCAGAGCAAGTATTAATCAATTCCTTTTTTACCCTTTCCTGCATAAATTGTTTGTAGCTTTTTTTGTTAACGTTATTGTCGTCCCTGTCGTGTGCATCGGCTCTAGACGCTCTAGTTTCGCTGTAAAACTAAAGTAGCTGTACGCTAACAAGCACAGCCAGATAAGGGGAAATCATTAAAAACACTTAACATCGACCATGGCCGGGTTTATTCGGGTTTGTTCGATCATGGAAAACCTTTTTCGTATACAGTATTTTATTTACCTGAGATAACATCTATATCTTTTTGTCCCCGATCCACAGAGAATTTTTCCGCGACAATGTCGACTATGAATCTAATGCTTTTCTTGTTCAATCATTTCAATTGCCTTCGAGCATTAATAAGCATTTTTTTTCACTAAAGAGTAGCTAAGAGTGAATGAGTAGTTATTTTATTCTCTTTTATTGTGTTATTGTAAAAAGACCCTGAATCTGAGCGCTGATAACGAGCGCAACGACATAAAGCTGGATCCAGTGAAATTATTCATAATATCCGGATCATGCTTATATTTTGTTTGCCCAGGAGAAGACTGATTCTCAGTATTTCTGACAGCAGGCAATCTCTACAGGACAAACTACTTTTCAAATTTATCTATTTTTACGGGATCTTACCTTGCACATTAATTGTCGAGTTACATTATTGCAGCTACAACTGTAGGTTTGAGCTAGGTCAATTGCTGGTAACAGGCTTTATACCAACATGAATAGAATGCTCGATCTAAACTATTTGATAAGAATCCTCATTGTTACGAGCAAACGTTTAAACTAGCCTCGACGAAGTTACTTATTTTTGTGCCGTTTCTGAGAACCGTTTGCTGATCTAGTCACCCAATTTCGCTCAGTTAAACTTAGGCTCATCTTTAGATATTGTCATGGGCCTATTAGTATTCTCATCCTTACTTCAAGTCGTTTATTTTACACTCTCATTGCGGCTACCTACCGTCACTTTGTCTGATGCAAAACAAGGCTCCGTATAGTGCAAACAGAGTGATTTGATATAAAAAGTACATGTTGGTAGACGACATGGACATTGTAAAGTAGGTTTGCCTTTTCAAGATAGACAAAAACCTCAATCCGGCGCTGTACATCGAACGCGATTGATTTCTCCTAAGGCTCACGACCCGCTTGGTGACGAGGGCTGTTGTTTTAGACTCAGATTCGGACTACAGAAACCAAGATTGGCCTTGTTTGATTTTCACCAAAATGAGGTGTTGATAAAGAATAATGTTTACCACTTTCTTATCAGCAACAGTAAGCTTTTATATTAGTTTAACAATATAAACACTTTGGATTAAAGAAAAAACATAAATTCATCTCTGGTGCTTATATTCGAGCGCAGAACAGCCAAATATTCTTGAAACTCGTGGAACTATAAACGCAGAGGGGAACGGACTATAACTACAGGAAGAGAACAAGAGCATTTCAATCCAGCCTACCGGCATTGGCGGTACTGTTTAGAGGACAAATTTCTTGATGTTTTCATTTTGCTTCTTTACTAAACATTGTTTTCAATATTCTTTTAGAAGATATATTTATTCAGCTGGAAATGAGGTGGAAAAAATCTGACAGATTAATTCTGGACTTCAATAGAAAACTAATTATCAGCAGGATAGGAAGGTGGTAATAGTAAAACTGGCAGTAATGTGTTATGCATGACCTTTGTCAGTATGTGGCTTCACCGCGGTCAAACGTCCGAGGCCATATTTTAGTTGGACTATCTTTGCGTTTTTCTCCAAATAATAACCTTCTTTTCGTTAAAAACGCTTTTCGACCGAGTAAAAATCCCCCCACCCCCGCCGGGGTCAAAAATCTGTGACAAAATCGCTCCGGCTGTAAAACCAGTTCCTGTTTTCGAACATTTAGAACTTTTTTTAGTAAACTTTCAAAAAGTGACGTTAATTAACAGCGTTTTGGGAATATATTAAACTTTAAACAGTAAAAGTAGCAACCTTAGCTTTGAACTACTTTGCTTGGCTTTTGAAAATTTCTCTCATTTGACCGCGGTGGAGTATGTGGGGGGAGTCCTAGATAGGCGTCAATGAGAACGCCGCCTCAAACCCTCCCCCTTCGCAATGAATTCGTGCAACTCTTGGGGTTACTGATTCAAAAACCTACTTTTCTTAAGACCTTAGCGCTTACTGACGTCAGACAAATAGGAGCCATTAGTACTGATCAGATTTTCATGAATCAATCAATAAATGTATTTCAGTGGTATTAACATGTAAAATTTAGTACAAACATTAACCACAAAGGACTGCAAAGGACCGCAAACGAATATGCCGGAAAACGTAGGATCTATAAAGACCTGATCAGCAAGAATAATAATGTAGACATATTAAATTCTGCAAACAGAATACTGCAATACTGATCGTAATACGTGAAAATTGACCCTGCAAGACATCAACACTACACCAATCAGCATTGCAGTATTCATCATATGCGATAAAAAAGGGGAAAGGAGGCGCTACAATGATGATGATGATGATGATGATAACAACAATAATACAAATTGTAATGATAATCTTATACTAATAGTACTACTACTACTACTACTACTACTACTACTACTACTACTACTACTACTACTACTACTACTACTACTACTACTACTACTACTACTACTACTACTACTACTACTACTACTACTACTACTACTACTACTACTACTACTACTACTACTACTACTACTACTACTACTACTACTACTACTACTACTACTACTACTACTACTACTACTACTACTACTACTACTACTACTACTACTACTACTAGTACTACTAGTACTACTAGTACTACTAGTACTACTACTACTATTACTACTACTACTACTACTACTACTACTACTACTACTACTATGATGATGATGATAACAGGAGCCTTTTACTGGTAATAATGATATAGTAAGGGAAAGGAAGTCTTAATTCTGAAAAGGTACATGACTTTGATGCCCTTGTACCCTTTCTTTTTTTATTGTTTTACTCCTTATTTCAAGTCAAGTAAGATGTGGCTGTGGCAGTTATTGGTCATTGTGATTTAAACTAATACTCCCATACTCTTCGATTCTAGCGAGCGATATGGTCACTTTGATATTGATCGTTACATTTAAGCTGCAAATGTATGGTCCTAGCCAGGCAATATTATAGGATCGGAGTCAACGGGTTGTGCACCTCTTTTTGAAAAAGCGGAGAGGTAGCTTCGAGGTGCTTGATGTTCAGTACTGTTGAAGATTAGGGTGTTTCGGCCTTTTTGTTCTTACTAGGGACTTGTTTCCTTAGTGGTCTGCGTTAGAAACTTGAAGTTTTGTAGGAACCTTTTGCGTGATAAAACGCCTAAGGAGCTTTATCGCATCTTGTTGTGCTCCGTCTCTATACAAAGAAACGAGTTGCTAAAATTGTGACGCCCACCAGTCATATGATCTCTGTGGCGGGACCATATTTTATCAATGGTATTGCTTGTAGCTAGGTGTCTAAAATATGCAAACAACAGCATGTTTCAAGTCGTTTGTGCAGTAAACATATCCTTCTTCGACTGTCTAACAAACGCCTACCAGTTACTGAGAAGTTAAGAACTATAATTATTAATGGTATTGTTTTTTGTCCATATTACCACTTTGGTGCCAAACGAGAAACAAATATAGTAATTAGTTTTCATATAACAAGTGCCAGCCATCAACGAATAGAATATCCCAGCTTTAAGGACGTCATGCCGAGTGCAAAATGGATCTATGAAAATCTAATCGTGAGAAAAAATTAAAATTAACCGCAAGTATATGGTTCAAATGCACGCTTATCACGGAAGCGTAGGAGGTGAAGCTTTGTTAACCTTGATTTTGTTTATAGAATCTGGCGTAGTGTTGTGGAGACAGATCTCCAAACAAATTTTGTATGAATAAGAGATATAAATACTCCAAATGAAGCCATCAAGAAATCATTCATCCACATACGTGTTCAGAAGAAATAGTCACTGCATGAAACGCCCCTTTAATCCGGTTGTTTGGTTTTAGTCTCGATATTTTGAAAGAAAACTTGTCGTTGTTTTTAAACTATCTTGCTCAGTATTGGCTGTTTAATGATATTCGACTTCTGATCCAAATAGCTTATAAATTTTAACTACAAAAAATTAGAAATTCCATGAAGCAAAATTGTTTTTCCTTTTTTTCCCTGCATGCACTGAAAGTTCGTCTAACGTTTACATTCCTGTGTCTATTGCATTATACTAGAGGTTATTTTATAGAGACTGTGACAGTGATTGATCGTTTAACTGGCTAGCTTAAAAAATAAAAGAATAGTAAAGAAGACGAAAACAATCCCGAATCAGCCTGCCTGCATGGGCATGCATGCCTCACTTATAAATAGTCCATTTTATAACAAGGGAGCTCGCTCTGTCAAGCTATATTACGTATTTATACGTGTAGTATAACCTTGAAATTGAAGCATTCGTTTCGTAACTAGTAAAACGACAAGGAAGTTTTAGTAAACTGTAAAGAAAGAATATTACAACTGCCGTCGAGGCTTAGAAAGTAACATTAGATACACAGACCTTTACGTAGACATTTCTAGTTAAAACACTGAAAGAACAACACAATTCAATAACCCATTGTGTAAAGAATGTTACTGACGTTGCATTGGGTAAACTGACATCATTTGGCCTTTTCAGTGACTGTGAGTTTAACGTAAGACATGCGTAGATGATTTATACAAAAAATGTAGTGTGGCGTGGGGGTGTCTCTAGGGCGCTTTAGACATGAACTTATTATGAGATAGTGCCTTGCGTCAACGTACATTCTTTAGCTTTTTAAGTGTGTGAGTTTAACGTGAGAAACATGATGTTAACTTACAAAATGTAGTGTGGCGTGGGGGCCTTCCTAGAGCGCATTTGACACGAACTTATGAGATACTAAAGGATTAAATTAACTGCAAAAGCCGTGGACGAAGATCCTGCTAGTTGTAAACGTTGGATCTCTAGAAAAGAGATCGCCAGAATATGAGATACTGCATTGGCCCAACTGACATCATTCGGCCTTTTTAGTGACTGTGAGTTTAACGTAGGTGACATAGTGTTGACTGTTTACGTTGATGATGTGGCGTGGGTTCTCTTAGTCGAGTGCTTTAGACATGAACTTGATCATGAGATAGTGCACGCTATGCCATTACATTTGTGTTTTTCAATTAAGAAACTTGCCCGCCTTTCATTAATGGGCCTGAATGAAAATGGGAGGGGAGTGGACAAAGACTTTGATGGAATAGCATCTCTATTCAATACTCAGACCATACCATACCGCGTCGTTGGTAGTGTGTTCTTCAATGCTCAGTAATACTGCAGATCTAGCTGCGTGGGTGCCCTGTGACTTGAATGTTTCAATATATGAATGAAAACGGTGCGCATACTCAAGAGGGTAAACAAGACACCTGCTCTTTTTAACGCCTTATATGGTCTTTTTGCTCGTCTGTAGGTGCTCACGAAGAGACACATGTCTTGATATATCACTTATATCAATTCTCCATCGAGGTTCTTCATTTTTTTTTACAGCCTAGATCTAAGCAGTGATAACGGCTCTCGTAAATCAAAGCCGTGACACCTGCGAGTTTTACTGAGTTAAGAACTTTCAGAGAGCAGCTTAAAACAAGTACCGTGGCAGTAAAAATTAACACGCTATCAAACACAGAAGTTATGCATCTTTGAATAAAATATACTAACCAACGTCATTTGAGAGTGGGACCCCTCAGGATCTATTAAAGATTTGCTTGTGGGAAGAAAAACTCTTTAACCGCAAATTAAAACGTGTTTAGGAAGCGTAGGAGTTAAGCGTGGCCATGGTAACTTAAAATTCTTTGTTAATTAAGGTATAATCTCAGAAACGAAGGTGAGTTATTAATTAGGTCTGGAAAAAATAGCATACGCCTACAGTTTTGATTTGCCTATAATTAAATGTCCTTTATAATGCTGTTTTAATAATCGTGATCATATTTTATCAAGGCGCAGGGTCTGTATGGATCTTAATTCACTCGTATCAACAAACACCCTGAGTTCTGAGAATACTATATCGATGCAAGGTGGTAAGCAAATCGTATCTGATCGCCCACTGACTGAAAAGAAATATCACAAGCATCGGCTTTTGTGAAGAAAGTCAAGGAGGTGACCCGATAGCTATCGAGAATGACGTTCGGATATTATTCGTGCGGTCGGGACATAATCGAATCTTTTCGCCGACGCAGTGAAACAGTTTCCGTAGAAACATAACTAAATTTTCTTATCGGTTAAATCACTTTAAAAGTTTCCTGTGCGGGTTCCTCTTTTTGTATTTAATCGTTGGAAATTGAAGTGAGCGATTACCGGTCATTTTGGTATAACACTGCAACAGTTTTCAAAAACAAGTCTTATTGTTAGGGGAGATACCGAGTCCATCCGGCTTCATCAATGTCGGTGCGGCTGTAGTTATATGCATTGATTCTTTTCACTTCCATTCATGCAAATTTTCGCCCTTTCGCGGTCAAGGTAAGATTAAAACACGAGGACAATATATGAGATAAGAAATTCTGATGTTTTTATCAACTCCATATCTTATCAATGTTTAAAAGTGAGGTCAGAATGGACTGATTTATATTAGACCTGTACACCGGAAAACTCTTGAAGACCCTAAATATCTCATTGTGATGAAAATGTTACTTTTCAGTGACTTTTGCTCTCTTCATCTATAAGGACCCATATAACGACAGCTCATTAACAGCTCATGACGTTATGCGGTTAAGTTGCTTTTGGATGGAACCTTCGACGCTTTTATTTTTCCGCTTCATTTTTTATGAAGTTTTTCATGAAGACAACACAATTGGTGGGGTCTCTCGAAAAAGCGTTAAATTTTATTAGCCATAAAATTCGCCATGAATTTATCAATAACGCTGTATCACGGTAGAGTATTCTAGATGCCTCTTTTACAGAGCACAGAATATTCTAGCTGTGTTAAACAGGTCACGCTAATGTGTGGCAAAGATTCGCTAGTGTGCGCTTACATTGATTCATCAGGGGTGAAGAGAGCTTGTTTAAGAACAAAAATTACTTTTTTGATTATATAATGTGCGATGTAAACGATTAACGCACCAAGGATCAGATTATTCAGTAAAAATATTTTCTTTATTGAGATGCGTGACTCAAGTGACCTAAACCTTCTAGAACATTAATGATATCTTATATCGCTCGGAGAGTATGTAACTTTGTAACAAGTAAACAAATTAGTAACTTCTAGAAGACTGCTACTAAGCCGCATTAAAATATAGATAGTGTTGGACAAAAATAAATGTCTTTTTTCACGTGTTACCCTTAAGTAAACAAAGGCTGAAAATTTTCTAGAAAGAACGGCTCGTTTAAAAAGCTGTGACCCACGAATATTTCTTACATCGCATTTTATTCCAGTTCCGTGTGGGCGAACCCATCTGTCTCGAAGAGATTCAGTCATGCAGCTGTAGTATATTTCACATGCATTGGTATTCTAACACGTGTCACAATTAAGACGTATGTCCATAGCATGTCATTCAACCTACTTTGGAAGAGACCTATACCTCGGGTCTAGTTTGTGTTCCTCAACATATCAGTTCACGAGTAATTTTTTGGTTTTACCTTGGAGTGACTCCACGTCGACAAAACAATATAGGGCAATCGCTGCAATTGGATTATTTGATTCTGACATTCGGCCCCAGACCGAATCAGACAAACTGAACACTGATCACGAATGGGAGCGCAAAAACCCATGGAGAACAACGAGAAAGATTCAACAGAGAGTGGAAAGATCAACAGCTCAGACGATCGATTTATCAGGGTTAGTATTAACTAAGTTTTCTTTGCAACATTATTATAGCTCAATAAACTAATGTGTTATTCATATTTTGCGAGATTTGAAACTACAATTGGACGAATGGGGCTTATTTATATTAAGTCCATGCAAATGTAACTGCAAACTTTAAGGTAACTATTTTAATCCTGTCATATTATTTTGAATGCTAGTTTGCAGTTACGACATTGTTAATACTAATTAAGTAATAATATGCGATCCAATTCGTCTGTGCAAAATCGCAGACAGCCTAAACTTCCCGTTGAAGTCGGTTTACCCAATCTGCGTGGTGTTCTCGCTTGTTAAAATATTGCTAAGCATTTCAATCTTGTCGTTCCATGTTTGCTAAAATAATCAGGACCTTTAAAATTCTTCGACTTATTGATGTACCAAAAACCATTCACATACCCAACTGAGAGCCGAAATTAAGGCTAAGCAATTTTGCCAACAGACAATAAAAGCACTTAGCTAGCTACAATTACTTTCACCACAGTCAGTATTTCCCGACAGTGCTAAAAAAAAGCAAAACATTTTTCAATTAAGCAAATATATTTATCAAATAAGAACAAACAACAATCGTCTATTGTTACTGGACTAGACCGTGCCGGACATCGAGACAACTTTCACGCTTTTTTCAGTTGTTTTGGTGCTTGAATCATTATCGAAGGGCTTATATTCGGTAACATGCTGAAAAGTAGTTACAGAAGTTCATTCTCCATTGTCCAAGGATACTGGAAAAGCGCCGGCTGAGATTTAAGCCTGTTAGATGTACGACCTACTCAGTTAATCTCACTAAGATTAAGAATTTTGAACTTAGTGATATGTACAAGATCGATTTAAATCTCACTGCTTCCCCGACATGGATGTTCCCGCATAGGTCAGTAAGTATACAAAAAAGGAAAACTGAAACTTCAAACACCACTCAGCTATTTTGAGATCTCTGTCATTAAAACGAATCAGTTGTTTGAACACTTTATTTTTTTTGTACTTTGTTTCGGGTGCGAAGTTTATATCATCTTGGGTCAGTTTTGAATTTGTGCGGATTGCGATTGCAAGAAGATGATCAATCATATGATGAGAACACCGCGACAATTATGTGAATTAGGCAACCAAAAATCAGTAGGATTGCGTAAAAAAATCTTTGTAATCGCAGATCAGCTCAGTACCAACAAATAACATGTTGTTCTGTGTATTGTTCCACTAACTTTAAACTGAAACGATATAAGAAGAACGGACCGATTTTCCGTTTGGTTCCTGTTTCCCCTCTGTTTTGTTTCTACAACCTATCTGACCTCCGTCGAGGCGGCATAATAAACACTGAGTTTGAAACTCCTCTGACTACCATTTTGCAGTGTCAGCGATAAGACCTCAAGACTTCAAGACGATAAGATAATTTTCGATTCATGAGATTTTGCCGTCGGCCTGATACATTTAGAAAAAAGTTTACTCATTGTCGCCACCTCTGATCTCATGTTGACGAGATCTATAATCACTGTATTGCAACTGACAAATGTTAAGTACGGAACTGGGTGAAACGAAGGTGTATGTTAACTGACTCAACTTTACTTTATACCAGTGTGTTTTTACAAACTATACAACCATCTGCATTAAGTACTGTTACCAGGGAAGTATATAAATGGGACTGATTTGTTTTTTCTCTGACTAGCTGGTTTATTTTATGATTCACTAGATATTTTTATCGCCCGGAATGCTCCGTGATGACTGTATCGACGATCATGGGGAGTCAAATGCACCCGTATTTTCTTAGATTAGGTTGCATTTAATCGTCTGCAATGATCATAAACTACAGTTTCTTTAATGAGTTGCATTTTTTGTTTTTCTGCTCGCTATATCAGTCATTCAAAACGTTACTACAGTAGTCCGTTTGCTTTGACAAAATTGAAGAACCCAGGATGATCTAAAGAACCCCTCATTAGCTTTAATTAATTTGAAAGCTTTCAGTTCAGAGTCAAAACTTGGAACTGCTTAGTAAAGGGCATGACCGTGAGAGCTCTATGGACACGAGGGTTGGGCCGCCCAATATGGTTTCCATGAAAAACGACTCATCAAGTTTATCATTTACTCTGGATCCGCCATTTGCACATAAGTTTGAGCGTGTGGGCTCCATTTTATAACAGCATAAGAGGAACGGTGCTCTCCTTTATCGAGGTTTTTTACAACCTAGGTTCAGTCATTTGCAATGAATCCACAGACTCCAGCACAAGTTATGTACAAACGTTTTGGTAATCACAACACTACACGCGCTTTCCAATTTAAAGCGCTGCTGTGATTTCATCTCTTAAAAGAAAAATCGGTGCGTGTAATTCTACATGCGAAGAAAAAGTTTTCTACACTGAACACTCGGAAGCACTAGATGTAGCAATACACTGCGAAAAAGCCTATACTGTGTGATTACTTTTAGCTGTTAGATTATCGACAAGAGGGTCGAGTCGGCCTTTTGGTTTGAGGGTAGCTTTCTCGCGTGCTTCTAGCTCACTTTATATTATGGCTAGCGGCGCCTTCCACAAAGATAAACCAAGTCACAACAAAAACATCTCTGTCCCACATCAAGAGACAGTCGTGTATCATCGTCGTCTCGCGATAGAAAATACCATTGACTTTGATTTATAAACCTTCTTGAGAACAATCCATTTCAAACAATTCTGGAGAACAGATGAACTTTTTAAATTGTATTGAATTGCTGATGTTCTAGACCACCTCTTCATGATTTCAATTTTTTTTACATATGTCTTTCACATTCCGGCAATGAAATTAAAGAAGACCGATGAGAACTCAAACTTAAATCCTAACGTTAAATCCCATTTTATCACCAGCTGCTGCAATGCTGTACCGACGTAAACAGCTGTGCTTTCATTTGACTTGGACGTTTTTCCTAGTTACTGAACGATGAACAATCAAAACAAGAAGAAAATGTGAGCTACCTAGAATTAAAATTTTAATGGATCGAGAAAAGATTGCAGCAGAGCAGCTGCGACTGCGCCTGACAGCAGAATCTTTAGGATCACTGTCAGTACCTCTTACTTAATGTTCATGTATAGGTACGCTTTCCTTGCTCTGCAGGCAGAAAAAGCTGGAAAAAATCTTTTATCTACGAGGTAAATAACACCACAGGGAAGCGCAATTAAATATCATTTAACTTAACCGTGCCAAAACCGTTTTCCGTTACCATACAATAAACTGCATGACTGAACTGTATCATTTACAGATGGAAAGCTTTGCTATTTCTGGTCATTTCTCGTGGAGGAAACCGTTACAAGTAAATATTGTTCGCACGCGATATTCAGTTCTCAGAAAAGATATACTGGTGCTCTGTTTTCAAGAAGCAGGCAAAGCAATGTAAAAGGTAAACGAAGGCTTTGGAACAAGCCTAAGGATTATTCCCATTCGACAAACAAAACTGATTTCTTTCGTCAAAGAACAGCCCCAGTTAATCTCCGATAATGCCGACTTATGCATAAGACTGTACAGACCCTAGAATCGCAGCTGCAGTTTTTTAGCGTTGGCTAGTGCTCTCGTTCTGCCGGGACTTAGAAATATTCGTAGAAAGGATAAAGTCAGTTAATTGTCAGTATTAATGCGAGGTTACTGTCTTGTGAAATTAAAATGAATTATTTTAAGAAGCGTATCTGACGGAAAGTAAATGCAAATTGTTATAGTTGTTTCACGGTTATTGAAACTTCATTTCATCGGGCGGCATTTTAGCACGGGGTACATCGTTTACATAGTTAAATTTATCTTTAATTGTTCAAAAGTTTGCAGGGGTAAAAATTATCTTAAATTTGACCTCCATGGGTTTTTATCAAAACTGTGGATACTGAAATAGAGAAAAAGACCAATATCAGTTCCTGTAGACTGAAGGAAATCTAATTTTGGAACCAACACATTGTTTTGCTAATTGGTTTTGAGACATTATCGGGAAAAGGCATTATTAATTACAAAGTATTTTTCCCTCCTGTCTTTCTCGGTGTCATTTCCAATTTTTTTCAAAATCTTACTGGCTAGTCTTCTGGTGGTATTTTGGCGTGTGAAAGACGTTGATCGAAATGATCAAGATACTTTAGTGTTACTGACGAAAGCTCTTTCAACGTTTCTACATGTGAAAATCTTTAAACCACATGTATGCATTTTTTTTTTACCCGAATTGAGTCTTATTCGGATAGAAAATATGGAAAAACAACACAGAGGTGTTTGCTAAAACACTGGATTTTGATGACATGTTGGTAAGGTAGTGAGAGAGAGTCAATCCCATATTGATCGTCTGAATATAAAAATCAGCACTAAACTGTCTACTAAAAATAGAGTAGAAAAAATAGCCACTGATACGATTTCTCTATCAAGGAACAGCGTTGGGTTTTGTGATGCTCTGTTGTCCTGATTTGTTCTGTTCTTTAAAACAGTTCATTCCATGCAGTGTAGGAAACTTGTCGAGATTTGGAATCTCTTGACACTTGGTTATTGAGTTAAACTCGTGGATGTCCAGCGGGAATTCAAAGGGATTTTCGGGAGCCTTGTTCCGGATCTTGTTCTCCTAATTCTCTTTCGTCATGAGCGCATTAACTGGAAAACCGTACTTTTGTTGTACCTACGCATGATCTTTTAATAAACATGATGCATTTCCTGCAATGACTCATTTTAAAACAGCGCCTTAAGGAATAAAAATCAATGAAATACAAAACCGCGTGAAACTAAACCCGTCATAGTCTCTGCACACTGTGCGGGCCTATGCATGACATACCTTTTTCAGACACTGGCAAAAGTTACAAAACGCAACAGTTCAAATTCGCGTGCAACCACAAAGAAGCGGATACTTAACTGTTTCTTTGAAAACTACCGAAGCTTTTAGCGAGGTCGCGATGGCACATCAAGCGCCCTAGGTATTGTTCTGAGATGCAATAACTCGGCAGACAACAGGTGCCAATTACAGCCATTGCTTAAAAGACCCGACAAAGACGTTCAGACACAACTGATCTTAACGTTATCTAATGCACGCGCGAGGCTGTTACAGGTCACACATAAAAACATACATTATGGTACGGAACCGACAGCTTAAATTTTCTCTTAACGAGGGGAGTGAATAGGGGTATGCAAATCCGCCGATCCGTTATGATTTATTAACCAAATCCGCCGTTAAATTTTTGCCCTGAATCCGAAATTGGGGCAAAAATATTTGCATTACACGCAAAGTCCAAAATCCGGGCCCAAAAATAGATGAATCCGCATTCCGCTGCAGTTGCAGGATCCGGAAATCCGTTAAAATCTCGCTTTGAATCCGAAATCCGTTCAAAAATATTTTCAAAATCCGCCGATCCGTTTGCCTATTTACCCTCCTCCTTGATCAAATCGTGAACACCATACCTCGGGGGACAGGGTTGCTCCCTATACTGCCCTATACGGGGAGGCTACGTTTGAAAGACGTACCTCTTTGAGGCTTCAAGCTGATATAAAAGATGAGAGATTTCATAAGTTGAAGGATACGAAAGGGTAGGTAAACTGTCATTTCGATCCGTAAAATGACCAAAAATGGCTAACAGACGCATTTTATGAATTTGAAAGAGACAAGAAAACTTTCTGGTTTTGTGATTTTTTTTTCTCATTAAAAAGACGGAGCATTTAAGGCAATTAAAAGACTATTATCTTCTGAATGGATGCAATGTTCCAAAGTAGGTATGTGAAAGGCGTACCATTTGTCGATATACTAAAGGGGTACAAGAGAGAATAAGCTCATCCTTTCTTGAGGGGTACTATAGTTTTTCTGTCAAAGGCTAAGGGGGTGGACCTCGAGGCAGAGCATCCCCGTATAAAACTTGTTGAGTAACCCCCTGGACCTCATCCCTTTCTCTCCTAGACTGAGGTATGGCGTGAGTATTTGTCACTCTAACATTTTTAACTTTTTAGCTGAAGTTGGCATGGTACTCCTTATTTCTTAGGGTTTTACGATAAACGTTTGGAATACTAATTTTTTAATTTGGCTTCTGTTTGACTTGAAATTGTGCACTTTCAAACCCCTGGTTTTAAGTGATGACATTTCATTAGCAGGGTTCAAAGAAATGAGACGCTTACATAGGAAATCGTACAGCGATTGTCTAACCCAAAACATGAAAACAAAGACTAATACAGCTAAAGATCTCTTATATAATAAAAAAAATTAACTGGATGCACGTGTAAGCTACCGTTATCGATTTCAATTATCATCTTTTAAGTACGTCGAAGCGATTTGTTACTAGCACAACAATGATAAAGAGCGGGAGTGGTTAGAACGGTATATGAATGAGTATTACGAAGGTAAAGTTTCTTTTTTTGTATATATAAGAGAAATACCTATGGAGCAAACGTCATTCCAGTAAGCTATTTTCAAAGCTTCAGTTTATTGTTTCAAATGATCGACAGTCGTAAGTGTTCACTGGCTAGAACCCCTGACAGTAGTGTTCGTTCAACAAAATACGAATTATACGGCAGCCGTTGAAAAGTATATCTTTACTTCTCTGCATAGCAACGTTTTCATGTGTAGAAGGTCAGTACGTTAATCAAAGAAAAGTTATTACAGACTACATTTCTAAAATATGATTTGGGGATTTCAAAACTACAATCACGGACAGCCAACTTGGATGACACTGCTCTGGTTCTGCCGCTCTCCCTTCCAATTGTTTTGTAATGGTTTTTCGGTGGAATAGTCCAATTTCGAGGCCAACATTGAAAAGGAGAGGGAAAAGGACTTCGAGCACAAAATCTCAACTGTATTACTTCAATTTACCCTAGTTCTAATGGCACGAAATGTCGGTTCAAACGAATAAAAACCGAAAGTCTTCATCGTCATCATGCAGAAAAGTACCTGACGACAGTTTTTTTTCCAGCGAGTAAATAAGCAAGGTATGGTACAGGGGCTAAAGGAAGTCGAAACGCAAAAAAAAAGACCTTTCAACAAAATGTGATACTGGTTCACTATAAACAAAAAAAATCATCATCTGTTTTTAGCAACACTTTGAACTTCTAAACTGCGATCAAAACTTTTTCACGAAAGCAAATATCACTGAAAATCAAGTTCAAATTTTCTTTTGTCAACGGCTATTTTAGCACCTGGAAACTGCCGCAACTATTCAAGGATATTCTCGACAATCCCTTTCCATAGAAGGAAGTTATAGATGGCTTTGACAAAAATGGTTCTGTCTCGAATTAGTCCGTGACTTCGAGTGACTCGTGATCCTTTCAAGTTTTTTACTTGGCCCGGATTCGTGGCCCTGTTGCAAATAAAACGTAGCCGCAAACCAACAGCTTAGGTTTAAGTCAAACACTTGGCTTACGTCTGACATAACTTACTGGCTCCTAGAATTTCTGTTCCGTAACAATTTTGCTAGATTACTTTAAAGTAAACGAAACTTAATGTAGACTGAAATATGATTACCAGCACTTGTTTGAACTGAACCGGAATATCTCAATTACACTGCCCTTTTAACAACTAGAGGCTTGAAAATAAAATCGGACCATATCAAAGGAATTTTCGGAGCTGTGTAAGTATGTGCTGCCCTCAAGGGTCGAGTGCAAGGGATAAATAAAGCTAATGAAACTCATAAAAACAGTGATGATATGTCACCTGCGCCGAGCACTGCGCTAGTGATTGATACGGAAGATGTAGTGCCTGGTTTTGGCGCCCAAAACGGTTGTCTGGTAAGTTATGCTTTTTAGTATATATCATTAGCGTGAATGTGGTCAGGGTGTTCTTAGTATACCGTAGACATAGGTCAACAAACTTAAAGGTATTCAACATCTATTTTTGAATCAACGAGGCGTAGGCTTTGACAAGTATTGTTTGCACTTGAAAAGCAATTATAACCACAGTGAGTGTTTTGAACCAACCGCAAAAACTGTTTGCACACTAAGGCGAATGCATGCCAATTTTTTTTATGTTCATCTTACATATTCTACAGCAACTGAATAAGAAATTAATTTAAGACCTCATCAGAAACTAGCGTTTCTTACTTATTATGAACGTAAATGCAGTTGTAGACCTTGGAGACTGTGAAGGGGATTTTGTTTTCGTGATTTTTTTCCGAAACGTTTCCGTGACTTGCCCACTCGTATTTGCATGCTCTAATCTGTCCCCTAGAAGATTGAACCAGGCCGATACAGTATTTGTGTACCTTTCCTTTATTTTTCTTTGTTTATGGCAGCAATAATATCTGCTTTTTAATTCTAAACCCTCTCTCGCTACACCAGGAAACAAACAATACACCTTGCTCATTTATTCGTGTTGAAATGTCTTATTAAAAGTTCAACGAGTTCTGTTCAGTCTAAACCTTTTATTTTGCTAGGCTGCTCTCAATCTTTTTATGCATGCGTTTACAACCTCCATTATAGAAAGTTATCGCAAGTAGACTTGTTTATGCAGTGGACGGAAATTCATGCAGTGATCGCTAATAAATGGATTCTCTAGAAACGTTGACTGAGTTAAATGAGGAAGTTGAATAGTCGAGAAAGCATCTAAACAATTTTTTTGAAGCTCCTTCGCGTGAGCGTCTGCTAACGTTTTTTTATATTTACACTATTCGTAACCCAGAAATACGACTCTACTATAATTCTGCCCACGCAAACACCTTTCATGTGCACCCGTCACAAGATAGTTGCAAAATAAACTCGGAAAGGAGTACAACTATGTATATAACATTTCTCGCGTCGTGCCAGATTTTTGGGAAAATGTCTGCACACTATACGGGCCTATGTTAACGACAAGTTTGAAAATTGGTGGAAAGAACGACGCTAAGTTAAATTGTAAACTTTGTCAGTTCAACCTCACGTGCCGTTATAGAATAGTGATGCATTATAATTCATTGCAACTCATCAAATACACCCGAAGTTGTCAACAAGGTCATAAAAGGCATCTATTATGGTCTATTATGTGTCACTCCCCGCCTCACTACCCGAAGGCGCGTTTCTCACGTTCCAAGTTGCTGGATACGTCACAGTGTTGTTTTCAACTAGACTGGCCCGTAAAAGTAAGTTACACCGATCCGAAGCAGCTAATATGCTATTTTAACATAAGTAGGGTTATCTTGTCTTGCTTTTAAAGAGAACCAGCACCGACCTTAAACTTTACAATGAGGCATTCAACATCACTATATATGCCTGGAAGCGTGTTTATGTCAGCGCCATATTCATTGAACTTGTACAGGCCAAGCAGGCCAAGTTTGAATCGTTAATAGTTCCAAATTCTGTTCTCAGTTGTAACATTTACAGAAGGTCCAAAGTTTAAAGTAGATCACATGACTCAAAATTTGAAACAACAGCACAGACTGACTGAAATATTTAAACATGTAAAAAAGATTTGCACAATTGTTAGTTTCAAATTCTGTTCTCAATTGTAAGATTCACAGACTAGGTCCAAAGTTTAAGGTAGATAATGTGACTCATAATTTAAAAACACAGACTGACTAACTAAAATGTTACAACATGCGAAAGAAGTTTTACACGTATTGTCGCCCGGGGCCGGGCATTTATAACTGCATGCATTGCCAGATGATAAAAGAAAGTTCCGGAATCCAGCAGCCGGATGAACAGAAGAAGCGGCCGGGTTACCTTTGGAACTATTTTTATGCCGTACCGGATGAATTCACACTCACATTCTGAAAATCTATGTACGACCTCAACAAAGTATCTCATCGAATGGGTGATCTAAGGTTTATTTGAAGACATATCAAGATGATAAGGATTGATTACATTGTGATAGTTTGAAAGAGTCACGTCAATTCGACAAATCTCGAGCGGCCTAAAAGAAGGTAGTCTTATGAGAAGGTAAAAATATAAACAAAGAACTGGAAACTGTCCTCCGGATCAATCCGATATCACCAAGAGAGAATGATCTATTCTCTCTTGGATATCACCGTATAGCCGTAAAATTAAATAAATCATTTTAATAGATAAAACAGCCTGCGGAGAGCAGACGTCTGCTGTTCGAAGGCTATAGATATAACCACAAATTTAAAAAAAATGAAAATTGAAACTTGACTGAAATTTGCGACCAAACAAAACTGAACGCGCTCCCCAAGTTAGGAGGGCTAATCCCTGGAGGCTAATCTAGTTCACACCTTATAAGAGACCAGTACCTAACTTCTCCTAAAATATCACTTTTTAGTCAAACATGATTGTAATGAGGATAAAGAAGATTATGACCACCAAAGATAAAATACTTTGACTATATATCCTTGCTTAAACCTCCGTAAGTGTTTTTTGTTTTGTTTTTTTTTCTGGTCGGAATGAATAAAGTTAATTCGCGGTAGTGTACGACTATATAGGACAGTGTTTTCTAGCTCTCGAATTTTTGATTGTAAAGATAAAACGGCAATACCCGCCAATCAGGCCGGGATCCACACTCCGATTAAGTCAGTGTCTGTGGGAAATCTGAGCATATGTGCAGCGTTTCTGCTTTCATAGATTACTTACAAACTAATACTGTTGCCTGCAGGTAATGTGTCTATTTTGGGAGAAAAATTCGAATTGACAAGTATTGTATAAACTTTGAAAAGCAATTAATCGCCCATAAATTGAGTGTTTTGAACCACCAAAAGATAAATATACTCCTCATTTGTGAGTAGAAAGTTGGCCCCTTTGGCGCAGAAGCAATTACAGAATCGGCTCATTTTTGCTTTTCGTACTTTTCTCCTGTAAGTGAAGGATCAAACGATATTAATTTGGCAGCTCAGAAACTCATCTACGAAGTATTATGGGTGCACAATATCACTCTGTTTGGTTGTAACAGCGTTTTGGTGATTGTTTTCCAAAATGTTTGCTTGACTTGCTCTCTCAATTAAAAACACGCTCCACAGAGCAGTCTTACAGGGCTTTATCAGACTGGTACAATATCTGCATGTACACCCAGTTCTGTGAAATATTTTGGTGTTATTTTTGTTATCAGTTTTAAGAACTACAAGAAAACCCTGAAACTATGGTTCCCAGATTTGAATTTACTGTTTTCCCTGAGTGTTACCCTTTTTTAAGGCTTCCCGAAACTGTTTCATTTATACTTTTTAGGTGTTATATAGGTGCGAACCTCTTTAACTTATTATATTAAAAAGATGACATTTTTCACTGATTTAAGTCAGGGTTATTTGCCTCAAAAAGTGATATCGGTTCAAAAGTTCTATAAATTAACAAACATTACGTGGACTGGATCCCCGGGGGTACTCCCTTCTATTTGCCTTATAGGTCTGTGCCGCCCCCAAGGGTAATTGATATGATTTTTGCTGCCAGTTTGGTCTGACAACGGGTATAGACTTTGCCTATTTTGGTCTGAATTCGGGTATAGTTTTTGAGGGAACACGAGAGTACATGAACGTATTTGTCGTTTCAATTCCAAACGAATAAGAAAGAGAGCGTCGAATATGCGAAATGAGTTTTAAGAAATTTTTTGTTGGCGCTCTAATCTAAGTAATGATAACACAATTTCTGTTTACGCCAGGTCTGAAAACGGTTGTGGGAATTGACAATTTTTTGGTCTGAAATAGGGTCAGGATTTGGAGAACCGGGCGACACAACCCCACCACGAATTCCCAGGAGTACCCCCCAGGAATGGACCACTTGCACAGCTGTGAAATGTACGACTGAAAGTAGTAATAAGTTAAATAACTAATTCAGTTCAAATTCATGTGCCATCGGAAAGTTGTAATTACTTTACTTTGCGTACCCGAAGCTTTCGTCAGGGTCATCAAAGAAAAAATCAAGAAGCATTTCATCACCTTGTTTTAGATACAAAACTCGCCAGGGAGTCCAATTCGCAGACGCCATCCGACGCGTATTACCGGAGACCCCACAAAAAGAACACGAACGATTTGCATTGGTGTTACAGCTATCTTATCCACAAACCGATAGGTTTTATATTAATTTCTCATCGGCTTTTAAAAAAATAGAAACATCGTGGAATCTTAACAATTAAAGCTGCATGTAACGTTAACGAGCGAAAAAGTCTCTGTGCAAACTGAGATGTTTCTTCTTTAATACCAGTTTCACCTGAAAGGTAACAGCTTTGGGGTTTCCTACACAGGTTGAAGAGTCATTTAGAGCCATTTATGCGAGGAGAAATAAGAAGTATCTCTCATAGGACGCTTCTTAAATAACGAACTGTGCCAGTTTCACAAGTTTGTCTTACATAAGACGCGAGTAGCTGGCATAAATTTCCTGTCCCGGGCTCGTTTTCGTACGATTGCTAATTGCTAGTAGCCACAACAATCCAACATGGCCACGCATAAGTAGAGGCTTGCGTCTTACACAGCGAGGGGCACTGATTTCTAAGGGGTTTCCGAAGGCGTGTCTCGACGAGTTGGAGAGAACCCCGGGCGAGATTAGTATCCCATGATTACGGGCTGCTCAGCCAGGTCACGCTATGGTCTTGTTAAAGACGAAATGATGAGCCATTTTAAAAAAACGGGAAGTTTGCGTCTTACGTAAGACCTGTCTTATGTAATACTCCCTCAAGTCACGTTTTACTTGTAAAACGTGACCAATTTTTTCTCGACTAAATGATTCTATTGTCCGTACACTGAGATGATTATAAATGCCGTGAACCAAATACACAAGTGGTCCTGAGAATACTAAGTTTGTCTCAAAATACAGTAAGAAACATTTTGTGCTGTGTTACCGACGCTGAATATTTCACGGCAATCCAAAAGCACCCTGGCAACGAACACAATGTGACTCTAATGACACTGTTATGATTGTAACATTCTCAGGTAGAGTCCACCGCTACTCTATCAGTCCAGGCACCACTTAAATTGGATTACAGATCTGTTGCCAAGGGTTCTAAATTTGTATCTGAAACTAAACAAAGGAATTATCTGTTGCAGACCTCTGTGTGCAATTAAACAGTAACACATGAGGGCATTCATTATTTGAAAGGTTACACCGTGAAACGTTACATAATAGTTATCAGGATCGCCCACAGCGCGTCTTCTACAGCGCCAACAATCAGTCATATTTCAGGAATATCCCGCCAGTTGTTGAGTCCAAGGGAATCCATCCACTGTATCAAAAGTTTCCTTGGGATGTTTCATGCAGAACCACTGTCACGATGGTACATTATGAAAACGGTATGTGGCCTGATCCCGGGGGTTAGGGGGGGGGGGAGTACTTTAGGAATTTCTGGGTGGCGATGTGCCGCTGGGACTCTGGAACCCTTAATCTATACCAGAGCTAGTTCAGCTGAATTTTGCTACCCTATACTAAAGTAAACTCCCCAAATCCCCCCTATCCAAGAGTAGCTGTTTTCCAGAAACTACTGAGGTCACTAGCACAGTCTAGCCAAGATAGAATCTTCAACCAACTGATCATTTTCCTCAAAAATGATACCCTATTCAAGACCCAAACGCTCTGATTGATATACCCTATCCTACAGTAAACTGCTTGAAAACCATACCCCTCACAGCGGCACACAATAATAAAGCCCATACATGGCAGTACCCCCCCACCCCCCGGGGGCTTGATACAGGAATGGTGTTGTATATAGAACAAATTGACGCGTGCTTTAAACAAGCCTACTTTTTGAGCATTATTAGGACGTGAGCAACACTTGCATAAGATGTTAACTGAGATAAATACACTAACACTACATACACTAACAGACAGAGTCATATCATTATCTATTATCTATTATGCCTCGTGTTAAACCGTCCAGTTACAATCTTAGGGAAGAAACTTGTTTTAAACCTAGGATTAACACTATGCGTTTTAAAAACTCTTTTATTAATCGTTTAGTGTTTAAAAATGAATTAGCTATGTAATATACTACATTTTTTTCAATTCTTACTTTTTACCTTTTTAAAATTTCTTACACTTACTTGTAACAAAAGATATGTATTTTTATTCTTTGAGGGCAAAGGATTTGTGCACACACACTAAATTGGTACGAACTTTTAAGGAGGAAAAGTCCAAAACAATTAATTGATTTTGAGTAACTGGTGACACTGACATGTACCGGTAGAAGCAAGATCCAAATATCGCACTTTCTTCTGACTTGGAAACAGCCAGCAAATGCAAAGGTAGCAAATTAACTAACTTCAGAGACAAACCTAATGTCACATGTACGCAGTTCAATCCGCCGAGTACGATGCATGTCAAGGCAACAAAGATGTGCAAGCTCTTAACTTAAATAAAAAAAATCAAGAGTACATCCTGCTGGCTCAGAGAATTCAGTATTTCGACACCCTTTGATCACGCCCGATAGTAGTAAGACTGACCTAAACTTGAGTGGCTAAGTTCGGTCTGTAGTCATGCAGGTGTGCGAGTGATTACCTAGCGGGAGTCCCATTTGTTTAATAACGAGTGCTGAGATTTCAGACAGAATTAGACGAAACCAAGCTTCTGTTACTAAATAATCATTACCAGAAAATAAAAAGAACTTGCGAGAGTTTTTTGCTAGACGTGGGGAAACCACGCAAAAGAGTAATTGTCCTATTGCAACGCGCACGATGGCACAAACCGTCCAATTACTTTGTCCTGTTAATACCGAAATCGATTGCCGATAGGCAATTACACCGGCCAAATCTAATTTTTCGCTAGTTTCAATACCTATCATCTCTCGAAAACAAGATGAAGTAGTTATAAGAATACCTGCGAATGCGGCAACGTGTACATTGGCGAGTGAGGAAGATGTATAGATGAACGAATTGAGGAACTGATGACCGGTATCGCCCCATGTAAAGGAATCCAAGACAGTCTAGGATTCTGGGTTCCACGCAGTGGATTCCGAATCCCGGAGTGACACTGAATTCTGGATTATTAATTTTTTGCCAGTGGAACTTAGATTCCGAATTCCAATTGTTAGTGGGATTCCGGATTCCTTGGGCTGTATTCCGGGTTGCCCAACTCAAATTTCTGCATGGGATTCCGGATTCAACAAGCAAAAATTTCCCTGATACCGGAATCCGGATTTCCTTACAGGGACATACGGCTTCAGGAAATCAGTGCTCAGCGTTTCTGAACACACCAATAAGACTGCGGATTATATCGCTTTGGCACGACGTAAATTTTATTGACTGAGACCTTCACTGGGACTCTAGTCTAGTAAAGGAGGCTATCCACATCAGAAGCCTTTACCCTAACAACATCAACAGAGACGACAGAATCGTGGATGCCTACGAGTTTTTGACAGTACCGTACAGCCGATCGCTACCATGAAGCGCCGGGCAGCCAAGGGAACAGTCTCTTATACTAACAATACCAGCAAAGCATCTGATCGAATTACCCATCAAGCATGATCGAGTGAAGTCCACAGTGTACCACTCACAAGGACCAACAGTGTTAATTACAGTTCCACTCGGCAAATCGATACCATCGCCGGTGAAAGGCCAGCTGCGCGCGATCAATGGCAAAGTCGAACGAAGGGACTTTCGCGAGACTAACGATAATTAACACACCACGATCAATACCTTCCACTGATAGTAACAATAACTTAGCTGAAAGTTCCTTTAGACTATCGACGGCTGAATTTTGAAATCACGAAAACTAAGCTGAACAGCTGCATTAAAAACTGGACGATCTTTTAGGCAGTTGTGTTTACAAGAGTTCATGTCTGAGTTAGACTTTAGAAATTGCCCAGTTGTGTTTCGCTACACTAGCTATGCATTGGGGTAAGGCACTTGATTTTCTTAGTTATGCGTCTGCCGCATTAATTATTCATTCAGATGCGTAAAGGTAAAGGTCCTTTTTTAACATCGGTTACTCGTAACTTTAATTTATAGACTGACAAACCCCTGCGACTCATTTTGCACCTCTCTCTAATTGTCCTAAGTTAAACGGGTATTTAAAGTTACTTAAAGCTATACGTAAAAGAAAGAAGTAGAAAAAGGATTTGAGGTCACTGACTTATGTATCGAACGTCCCGCACAGAAAATGCTGCGGATTAACCAGTTGTGCTAATATAGCTTGCTCTCGAACTTGCCAAATCAGTATGACCGAGAGAAGATAATTATAGTACTTCATTAAACTTACCTATTCAGAAACTGACTTGGTAATCATCTCAGAGACCTATCTGGTTTATTTGTAGCACGAATCAGCTAGTGATATTATACTTTGTTCTCAAACTCTGAAATCGAAAGTTCTTGTAAGTAGCAGACACTAAACTGATTGCTTTGCTTATGTCAGTCAATTAGTATTTCATGATCCCGTTCAGTTTAAAGTCACCAGTTAAAAAAATGTGTGCTGCCAAGACGGAAGAAACTGATTTGCCAATATACTTGGTATGGAGATAGAATGGCACCATACATATATACGGTAATTACTGCGGAGAAACCAAAATGTCTGTAGCTCCATAACGTCGGGCTATTAATACGCAGTGACACAATTATATATTGCGTCCGTTCGCAGGGAGAAAGAGTCTATGGAGTGTTTTCACTCACGTGGCCAGCGTTCATGCAAATTTATAGGAACAAAAGAAAGCGTTTGCATAAGAAAAGAGTTCAACTCCCACAGGACTGGTTTGGGACACCAACATGGCCGCCGTTTCATTGTTCTGGGACACCAATATGGCCGCCTTGACGTCATGTGAAAACACTCTATACGAGCCAATAATTAATTAAACAAGAATCAATAAGTCTGGAGCCTTTACACCCGCGGATTACTGAGTGCTGTTGAGTGGGAAGAGTGAAAGTGAAAGCCATAACGTCATTACATTGAATATCAACTTTATCAATCTGTGCCATATCATTAGCCAACAATCATTCCAAATTGCGCGAAAAAAAATTGGTTGCCATGACAATGATCGTGCTTAGTCACTCACAAATAACACTGATCACTCAGAGATCAAATGGAATTGAAAGATAATCAATAGGGCAATTATTTTTTGGGCTTCTTTTTCTCTCCAGGCTGTTTTGGCGAAGTTTTTTTTTTTTTTAAATTTATGCTGAAACCAAGGAATACTTAGAATTTTTGTCAGGTATTAAGGTATTTTTATGACCGTGAACTGAGCATTAAGAAGTTAGTTTTTAAAAAATGGGGAACTAAAGTTAATCCATGGGTTTAAACTTGGGCTGCCTGGGTTTATTTTTTATTACGACTTGCGATAAATTGACTTGTTTGATAAAGGACTTGTTTGATTTTATCGCTGTGAACCTTGTTGCGCTAATAAGAGAATTATATAGTACGTTATCAACTAAGTTTACTTCATATGGAATAGATTGACCTTGGTTTGTTAACTTTATGTTTGCCGGTATGACCGATAAAATTGTGATGTTACCAATGTATTCACGTGATAAGTTAAAATTCTTCATCTGTAACTGATGGAAACTTATTGTAAGTTTCTATAGTACACCTTACTCAGTTTAAAATTGAACTGTTTCTGGGCATGGAATTTTACTGGAATTTGATTTTAGCCTTATATTTGGGAGTAAGCGAGTTCAAATACAGAAAATTCATTAGATCATAGATACTTTCACCCGACTCAGAGCCCTCGCCGGAACTGGTTGGTTTGTTTGCAGTTATATTGGGTGTTAAACTCAGCTATTTTGACGTCGTGTGCTGGATCAGACAGGCCCTGCGGCTAAGGCATGTTAACACATGTGATCATTATATGTCTAACACATTAGTGCTGACTTCCGAAAAAAAAAAGCTGCTACAAAACCTTCAAAAGTCATCGGTACTATACTATGCATCGGCACGTTAAATACGGAATTCCTAGATCCTAAACCTCTCAGGACCATGGTTTGTGCATGAAATTGCGCATAATAACAGTGAAATTAATTCGGAATCAATATTAGCCTTTGCGTGTTTGATAACTTGGTCATTTCGTGATATCACGCGAAGGGCGAGACAGAAAGTTCTATCTTATTCCAATCGTCACGCTAGCATTTAACAAAAATGTTTTCGAGCGAAATTCCGAGCAAGCAGAACTCGAGTACAAAGATCGTCAGCGACCACGTGGTACTTAAAATTAGTCAATATTTACTAGTTGTCGTTGTTACCCTCGAGCTTTCTCACGACCTGGCTGCTAAAGAGATTAAGAAACAAAAATAGATTTTTCGTGACTTGTATTGCATCTGTTTAACAGCTTAGACCTGTGATCTTTGTTGACAATAGATATACATATCCTGTATCGAAATAAAAGTAACTCTGTAACAGATATAAAACAAATAGGTACGTAACTTCTGGAAAGGAGATGGCTTAGCGGACAAAATCGTATTATCGGCTCTTATTTGTTTTTCCCCGTCAAAAAATAGGAGATTCCCAGATCTATCGACGGCAGACAATTTCTGGAATGAACTGTTTTGACTCGTTTTATAGTTCGCACGCTGAATGACTCATTCATTAAACTTGTCGTCCGTCGTGGGAGGATAGGTTCGCCAGGAATTTATACAGAGAGGCTGCAGGTGCCAAGTACTCTCAACACTGCACGAGTTGGACCATTTAGCGCTTCAACTCGCTCGCGGCGCGCCAGGTATAGCTGTTACGTAATTGAGAGTAGGAGAACAGATTTGATCAGCTGTCACTAGGACTGCACCCGTTCATCCGCGAAGCCAACAGCTTGCTTCTTCCTAAAATAAGTCCAGTTTATTTTCAGAACTAAACCAAAACAATAGAACAAAGCAAAAAAACTTCACAGGGGTCCCGTAAGGAATTTGTTACGGGCTTAAAATAGCAAACGCTGCCGGTCGTCGAATAGAGAAAGTTTGACAGCAGTAGAGCGTGCTTACAACGTGTCCTGGAGACGCCATTAACGGGCCAGTGGATAACTGTGATGGCCACTTGCACTGAAGAGGGAACTTCTTCTGCTAATGAAACATCCGGAGTGACAACAAACAGGTCTGTCATGGTAAGTTCAATCAGTTTTTATCATCGCAGTCTTGGTCACTGGCCTTATAATGTTCTACCTCGATTTTGTCAGAAGGACCCGTGTCGAGTCTAACTATTGCCATGGGCAAAATAAGTGAGATGCCATCTTCTTCATTCGGCTTAACACTGTGACTAGCTGGATTTCGGAGAATAGAACCGTTTGCCGTTTTATTGTAGGAAATGTAGGTGCACTGTGATTTGTGTTTAGCAAACAACGTTGGACATCGGCGGAGCGAATCGACCATGATATTGTCGCAAAAAAGCTACGCTACACAATATAATTATGTGGGATTCAGCTTCTGACAAATTTATTAATTACACTTGCGTCATTTTTTTAGTGGACAACAAAATTTGCGAAATCCATCGCAGAACTTGGCCCCGCCACTAAGTTTGCACCCTTAATTTCTATGACGTTCTGAAACTTTGTCCGAGCCGGATGTGGACACACTTGTAGGGGCGATTTGACCTAGTTTTCTGAAACACTTATTAATTTAAAAAAAACTAATTGCGTCATTAAAATATTGAATTTTATTGTAATCAAAGATAATATCTGAGATTGGGCGAAAAGTCATTCTCCGAGGAGAAAAATTGTTGTGCTCTTCAAGAGTAACGACTTTATTTGTTTTCACTAGTTAACTTTTGATTTGAGACCCGGCCGGAGCTCTGTACTGAAGCAACTCATTCACGGAGAAAATATTTCAGCTAAAAATCAAACTGTGGCTTATGTTACCCCTTTTTCACACCCAGAAACCTAAGAACCCTCAGACATTTCAACCGCCTTTGTCGCCGGACAAAGCAACGAAAAGAAAAATGTCACCTGTGAAATCATTTCGGCTACCTGGGCCTCACGAAACGCAAAAATTTTTTCTAACAATAAGCGGCTTGTATTTAACCACTGTACGACTTAGCATAGTTCAAGTGTCATTTCATAGACCACAGGGACAGACCCATTTTACAAACCATTGGTATATGGAATAGATCAACGCTTTTAACAAGCCGATGCAAGTAAGTTACTGCATGATTACCAACTTTTAAGTCAAGAAGAGGCAATATGTCTCACCGGCATTTATACAGCACTGAACAGTTTTGAGAAGCATAGATTGCCGAAATTATAACTAGACACAGAAAAGAAAATAACTCAACGTTGATGGGTTAGTTAGGCTTGTTTTAATTTAGCTGTAAGTGTGGGTTTAGCTAACGCAATGTTCGACTATGCGTCGTCCGATTTCGGTTCTCGAACCTCGCTTTTAACAGGGCCACACTTCCTTGTGGCTCACCGTCTGAGTGCAAAACGTCTTTCCTTTGAATGACTCGACTGCAGAAGCAAAGGCCTATTTTAAGATAAGAAAGGAAAACAGTAAAAACAAATATCCGACATATCTTCAGTCATGTTCAAGGGATTTTTAGTAGATGTTTTTCTTTCTATCATTCGGAAACCACATCTGACGCCCGTGGGTAAAGGTCGAAATGAGTTGAAGCCGGCAGTGGATGAAAGTGAAATTCCAAAACATAACATAACATAAAAAAAAATCGAGGACTTCAGTATCAATTAAGACGTGTGACGGAAGTTTTATCGAGTTATCTGGTGATAAACATAACTTATAGTAAGTTACAAGTTTAGATACAACCGTGATATTCACCGTGCCGCGATATTAACAGTGTTATGATGCGGCACGTAAAATCTTGGATGGCCGGTGTATTCAGTGACTTGGCTGTTACCCGAGATGAGCGCCGCTTAATTGTTATGTAATTCACAGAGGCCTTGGCCTGTTATGAAACTTGACTTATAAAGTTTAACTAAAAAGCTGTTATAATATAGTCTTTCCAACATTAGATACTGATACTGAGAATTATTAAGAGACCTCTGACTTCCATCAAGGAGTACTCAGGACAATCTGCTTCACAGTACTGCCGGTATGACACATCGAAAAAGGGAGTCGCTACTACTGTAGTTTTAGAAGCAACATATGGCTATAAAAGAGACCATTATCTATTGCTTAGCTTCGCAATTTATTCGCTAGATTCCTACTGCAGTTTGTTATGTGGTGTCCAGTTAAATATAATAAATTATATCCTTCAGTCTTGACCATTCCATCGAAACCTTATAATCGATCATAGAATTTCTGCCGTCCCAAGGAGAGCAACAAAGATGGACACATGTGTTAAGCTCAAAGGAAATAAGTCAGTCAATTTATCTTCTAATGGGACAGGTTTCCCTCTGATCATATTCGATCATCATTTTTCTTTGAGTAAGCTTTTGTAGAAACTGTTTCCATGACAGTTGAGCTTCGGCGCATGGCATTTAGCCCAGTTGTTGTTTGTTCATTACTGACCTACATCTGTAGTACTTTCATTTTCTATTGGGAATTACTCAATTTCGCGAACTGGGAACCAAAGCACTCAATGGTAGGGTATCAGCTTGAGGCAGTAATATCTTTGTCAGTTTTAACTCAATACTAGTTGACCGTTCGTTATTCACGGGTACTATTACACTCCAGTAGGATGTTATTCATGGCCATGAAAGTTATCAAAAGTAAAAGGAGTTATTTCGACATCTATACACCACAGTCAGATTTTGTTTAATGTGTAGTGCCCCGATCATTGTTCTACTAACATTTAAACAAAACAGAATGTTTTTAATTAATAATAAATAGTTTAGCTTACTCGCTGTAAAGCCTGCAAGTTTTATCACCTTCACCTCACCCAGCGAACAGAGGATTTCTTCGATTCCCCCAGACTTATCCTGTTCCACTGGATGTATTTGTCCGTGCCTGTTTGCTCGGAGTAATTTTACTTAATCTGTGAAATAGGTTATGGTCTACTACGAAACTGTTATGCACTGATTTAATTTAGTTTCTTCTTTCGTTTTTTTGACATTGAAAAGTAAACTGAATCACTCTTGTCTAAGACTTATTTGTAACAAGTTAAACCCCGCATTAAAAAAAAAAAAAAAAAAAAAAAAAAAAAAAAAAAAAAAAAAAAAAAAAAAAAAAAATAACAAAGTTTTATTTTTAGTTTTAGAAAAAAAAAAACAAACAAAAAAAACAAACACGAAAAAAAAAAATTTATTTATTTTATTCAGAAAACTTTCATGAGTTTTGTTTCATCCACGTGGTTTATTTGTTCGTTGCTTTTTTCTCGGAGTAATTTTACTTAATTTGTGAAATTGGTTATGGTCTATTTCGAAACTTTTATTCACTTATTTTTTTTTGTTTCTTTTTTCGTTTTTTTTACATTGAAAAATAAAATGAATCACTCTTGTCTAAAAATTATTTGTAACAAATTAAACCCCGCATTAAAAAAAAAAAAAAAAAAAGCCACAAATAGGGCTATACATTAGCATTAGCATTTCCAATGGTTTAATTTTACCTCTGGATCACAGGAAGCTAAACAAGCCATCGTCCAGGTCAATAAGAAGATCTTCAGATACCTTCAGGCAAACTTCATGGGTTTTTTGTATGGTAGTTCAGTAAAAAAACGTCAAGGTACGCACTAACTTAAGGCTTAACATTTTACTCTTGACTGGAGAGGTCAAGGCAAGTTTTCTCCGGCAATTCCAATTTACGGTGAAAAACAAATAAACTTACTCTCTTCGTGACACATAACTAACTATACTGCCATTACCAGATAGTTTTTCGGTAGAGTTTAATAATCACTTTTTGTAGATTTTCACTTATAAAATTACTCTTTTCGTGTCACTTAACGAGCTAGTTTTTCGAAAGACTTTAATAATCACTCTTTATAAATTTTCTCTCATAATTCCAACATGAAGTTCAGTGTATAATTTCAAAATGTGCAGGACTCGTGCAGCGAATCCGCCCTAGCTCGGAGCAACACTTAGCGCGTGATATGAGGCTGTTTTTTCAAGCAACCTTGACCACATAATATGCTTATATGCTTATATGTCCCATATAAGATCAGTCGCTCTATAACAAGTGTACTGTATTATTAATAAGTCTTCCAAGATTTCAACATAGTCTAAGCAGTGAAAAATGTTTTATGGCATTGTCAAGTGAATTCTTGTCGTAAATTTGTTTAATCAAGGTTAGAGTCTTTACAGATTAGGCTTCTGCATCCCCGAGAAGTATATTGGAAGTAAATCCTTAAAAAAAAAGCAAAAAGAGTGATATTGTTGGCGACACACTTGTGAAAGTTAGCCCAACTTTTTCAAGTGTTAATCCTCAGTTTGTTTCAAATTACTCGCCTACATTCAAAGCCACCAGCAAGAGTGTCTGAGTGGATTCAGTTCAGTTATAAAACCCTAATAAATTAGAAGTAGTTTTTAACAAAATGGAACATTTTACTTATTTTCCGTTGATAGAAATCAGTACATCTTGATACAAATCAGTTGAATCTTTTACTAAGGAACCTCTTTATTTGATTACGAGTGGCTTACTTCTCTCGTTATTCCGGCTTCGATTAAGTGTGCCTATTAATTTGTATGGTAAACTTATCAAAATCGGTATATCATGTATCTGCGTTTGCCGCAGTCGATAAATGAAACAGATAAAAAGCAGACGAGGAAAGCTTTACCCCGGTTCACTCTTAACTGAAGTAACTATTTTGTCTTGAATTTCCTGTAGTCCATTGCAAAATGAGAAATTGCTAGAGTAAACGAAAAGTTTTCAAAACTAGGTTGATCGAGGGAAGTTACATCATCATCGACCCTGTAATTTATACCATACGATTATTGAAAACAGAATTCTGACAGGTATGTTGTCTGAAACTTCTGAATTGACAGTACGAACTGCTTAAAAGCTAAAAAGCCACAACCCCCACGGACTTTTTATTTTTTTTAATTTTAACCTCTGCGAACTTACAGTCGACAGATGCAAAGGTTTCCGAATCAAGGATCTTCAAATTGAATCAGTAGTGAAAGAAGTCGGAGCTGATCTTGAGTGGTGTTATAATTTAATTTGACGACTTTTTCTGATTTGATGGAGCTGGCGGATTTTTCAATAGAGACTTTTAAACACTAAACTGTTTTTGCCAGTCACATCAACAAATTTATGAAATAACTCAGCTAATGAAACAAGGAGGTTGTAGATTCTGATACTCGGTGAGAAGTTTTGGAAATTCTCGCCAGAAATTCGGAATTCGTTCTCGTGTTACTACGGTGATGATAGGATGGTTTTTGAACTCGAAATTTAATGAAAACGCCTCATGCAAGCTCTGGCAAATGTACTCTATATATAACCGATGAACAACTAGGTAAAAGATTAGGTGTGGCAAAAGCTTAGGGATTGTGAGGTCACTGCTACTCAATAGTGAACTCACCTGGAAAGGTTTTTATTTAATATACCAATTGTTGCTTTTTATTGCTTTTTTTGATCTGAACGTGAGAGTGAATAACGAATCAGTATACGTAAGGTAACATACTGCAGGGCAAAGGCGAGGAACGCTCTCTGCACGTTACTGAAAAGCAAGTATCTGTACATATTTGACCCTTGAATCTGACTTGATTTCTGAGGTAAAATGTTTGTCCAAACTAAAGCCAATTACAACGATAATTCTCGATTGAATTAATGTTATGTGCTTTTTGAGAGAGAGACTTTTGGATTGCAGATGACAGATTGGAGCAAGTCAGATTGAATAGGTTTCTCAGCCTAGACATAATTCAAAGAGGTCAAGGGTAGTGTCAGTTTCTCTTAGATATCGATTAAATATAACAGGCATTTTTAAAACAATAAAAGCCAGACAGATCAGAAGAAGATGAAATCTTGATGCAAGTTTCACAGTTGTTTGAGAGAGTCTATAGAAACAGCAGCTCGTGATCTGTCGGCCAGTAAGCAAAAGGGACTAAGGGAACACGAGCTCACTGATCCGGTCCATATACAGCTATTTCGAGAATTTAAGGTTGTCGGAAAAAATGTGCACGAGACGATCCCGAAAGGTAGATGTGATACCATCAATACACCATTCCTGAAAATGTATCTGTGGAACCTACTTTTGTTGCTTTCCGTTAGCACTTGCAAACATACGTTCACTTCTTTGAAGAACAGTTAACTCAAAACCATCCACGATACCTTCCGGGATTGTCGCGAGCACTTTTTCCGACAACCTTTCTCGAAATAGCTTTACTGCAACCATCTTCCCGCAGAATGCAGCAACTCCAAAAGTCCTGAAACTTTCAGATTGAGCTGAATATGGACCATGAAACTTGGCGACGTGAAACAAATTTCGATTGGTAGAAAGATTTTAATAGACTTTTCTCCAATAAACAACCCAATGCCGGCGAGTCACACAGAGCAAAATATGCCTGTACAGATTCGTGCAAATAGACGGTTTGCTTTGTCTACGTTTTATTAATCCGAATAATTGGATTTTGCTTAAGGTTAATGATCGTCTCATTTAAGTGTCCGCACTTCTATAAGAGCAGTCATTTGGATTGCTTCGGCAGCTCCCACGCATATTGTCGCCGGCTGGCTTTTAAACCAAGCGATTTCACTTCCGCAGAAAATTACATAAGCATGTTAAACGTAAGTTTGTTCAGTTTCTAACACTGAAAACATTTATTCACCATTTTTAGTTTGTTAACTTTAAAGAATTTCTTGCTAAAAAAATCGAACGAGCTTATGAAGAATTCAGTGATACTGCGAGTTATTTTTCGTTCAAGCCATTAATATAGCATATATTTCCGAAAAGAAGAAGCAATTCATTGTAAAGTTTGACGGTTACTTCGGATCGGCATGACTGACTTTTTGGCAAACCCTATTATCTAACTACTAGTTATAGCTATCGCTAAGTGCCAACGAGCAAAGATGTTACCTAAATGTTGTTTAGAAAATTAATGTCATGAAATACAGTAACTGATGAAAAATAGATTGAACTTAATTCGTTTGCATTAGAGAAAATAATCTTGAAAATAGTGCAAACGTAAAGCAAGGGGCACACACAGACCAACCCACGGTCAGGCCATTACCTCACGCATGCGCACAGGCGTATCACGCGGGAAGAGGCAGCCATGGACAAATTTTTCGCCCTTACTGGGGCTTATCAGCGTGGCATAGCCCTAGGTCAGTGAACGGGGTAAAAGTCCTTTAACTGCGCATGCCAGCTCCACACGACACATATGGGAGCTGTTGGCTGGGAACAGCACGGCAGTTCTCCTGCGACATGCGCGGGGAAGGCGGATCGTGGGTTGGTGTATGTGTGCCCCTTGCTTTGATTTGTCTTTTGAAAATAGTGAACTAAACTGTGCTACTGCATAAAGAATTTGAAATCCCGACTTTACATGGCAAATTTTTCGAGATATTGATGTTTGTGTTTTTGTCCGAAGTTGCGCTCAAGTCATTTTGCGTAAAATTTAGTGGCCTTATAAGCGACATGCAATAAAAAATTCCAGCGGGCAAATGAGCGGCCATACGCATATGCTGCAAATGCAAGGCGGGATGAACATGGGACTCACAAGCATGCAGACGGCACGTGGAATCTTTGTTCTGTATCACGTGTTCGCTCGGAAACAATGCATTCTCTGCTCTGCATTACGTCATGAGTGTTGTCTTACATTACGCTATGTTACATTGATTCGAGATTTTTTCTACCCCTGGAACAATCGCGCACGGCTCTATTAGGCTTCCGCCTCGCAGCCTCGCATCTTCGCGAGGCTGCTCGTTGGCAAATGCAATGAGGGTCCATAAGTCACTTGCACTTTCTCAACTAGACATAGTCTACTTCCTGCAGTACCAGTCAGCATGTTTCGCCAAAAGCATCGACTTAGAATTTAGATGAGCTTGTCACATGGATACAATGAGATATTTTAATCCGTAAGATAAATAAGAGAGAAAGTAGATATTGAACTTCGAGGCTGTAACCTCGGCTCTTTTTAAAACTTATTTCATCGATACCACGTATTATTACTAATCCACTATTTTTGCACCCGCGTTTTAAAAATACTCACTAAAGCTTCCACAGTTATTTTCCATTAAAACTATTTAACGATTTTTTTTTGTTTTTCAACCGCTTAAAACCGCCTACGCACACAAAGGAGTCAATTCTAGTCGTCTGCTCTTTGTGTAGCCATGAAACAAGGATTTTGTTGAGTGATTTACGACGTTAAAAGGGTGTGAACTAGGTGATGTTTTCAAGAACCATCTCTAGAATTTTTTTTTGGAACGTGACGATTTTTAATTTGCTATTGTTTACGTTTGTGCTAATGTTATTTTGTAGCCAATACTCACGTACATCCAGACTTCCAGTGCATTATATAAGTTTGTCGGCCGCGTAAGCAACATTTCCGTCGAACAACATCTATAGACGACCGTCAATATAAACAGTACCGCTCATCATATACAAAGCAGCAGATGAGTGTTTATGTTTATTATACATATTCGCATTATCTGCCTTAAGCCACTCATGCACGATTTGGATTCCTGTAAGGTGAGTTGGCTCAATGGAGGCCTGTGAGAAATTGCACGATTTCTCAGTTGCTACTTCGTTTAATGCAGTTAATTTCTCAGCATTTCTTCCCTTAAAAAAACGGACGACCGATTAAATCACAGAGTGTCGGTGATGAAGATAAACATATTTGGCGAGACATATTCATTGCCGAAAGAAGTGCGGTCAGCCTAATCGAGTGAAGAAAAGTTTCTGTTTTTTATCTCTTTGAATCCCTGTGAGAAGAACTTTGTCATCGAGTTAGTAAGTAATCTGTCTACCTGCTTATCCAATTAATGCTTTCAAACTTCGTTTTATTTTCCGTATTAAGCCTGTTGATGAAAATTGGAGTTTCCGTTCCCGCCTGTGTGGTAATTGGCGCAGAAATTTAGTTTTTAGTACGGGCGTTGCCGAGCTTATTGAATTGCCCTCTTGACAGAGAGTGTTTGCTCTGATGAAACATGTCAGGTTTAAAGAATACGCTAGAAAAGTACTCAGTAATCGTTGGTTTATCAATGCTCTTTTTGTACAAGCGGTTAATCGGCTCCTGATCGAACGAAATCATGACAGGGATTTCACGTACTGGCTGGTTAAAGACTTGCTTCGGTAGTGCGCCATGTAAAATGTAAATCCCTGGTAGGGATCTAATCTAGTTTGGGCTTTGATAATTGAACACACTTTGTTAGTATACTCTCATGATTGATGCGTGTATTGCAGGGCGATTTACTTTTATTCACCAAGATATAGGGAGTAATAAAGACAAACATTTTCTAATAATATTACCCTTAGCTTCCCTCTGTAAGTCGGCCCAAGAATGAAACAACAAAGTAGGATATGTCAAATATTTTTATTCACATCAACTACAACTGAGATGCTTGGCTCTATTAGCCTCAATGTTTTGCCAATCTCAGTCGAAATTAGACAGTTTAGTGAGATATGACCGCCTTGGTTATTGGCACTTTTAGTTCATTGGGAGATCTAGGCCGAACTTAACAGTAATTGACCTTCAGCTGAAACCAGATATGACTGCCTTGCCGGGCCGGCACAATGCTACTAGCTCTCAAGTCAAAATGGCCATCTATTATTTTATTTCGAACGATCGATTCTTCATTCAGTAGCATAAGCTCAATTAAGGGATGTGACTCCGTTCAAGGTTTTAGAAGCTGTTTCGGGAGAAAGGAATACTACTCCACAATTAGGGGAGTTCCGACATTACATCTGATGCCAACTGAAAGCACCAGAGCTAAAAAAAAATGATGAATACTTCTTGAATCCTCAGCGTAGATTGTCCTCAGTTCTGATCTTGATTGTGAATATAACCACGTCAGTCGGCGAACTTGATGAATCACAAATACTAGTGTAACTCTGCAGGTTACTGATTTGGGGCTATGTGGTGTAGTAATGTGTGCACAAAAGTCTGGTGATCTTATAAGGCCCTAGGATTAACTATGAGCAATAATAGAATTGTATTCATGGACTGGCTAGTGTAGATAGAGTGTTGCCTTTGTCAGTATTTGACGATATACATTTAAGGACGGCGGAGGAAAAGTCTAGCCGCAAACTGCGGCTGCCTCAAAGATTAATTTTGTGGACAATTTTCTGAAATTTTACTCTAGATCTATCAAGCAGTCTGCGTTAGTCTATAAAGAATAAAAATGTTCATTTTCACTTTGTGATAATCAAGGAATAAATTCCTCTTACATCAATACACAACTAGTGGGGCTAAATGCTTCATGGTTTAAGGAGAAACGTCTAGAGAATCAGCGTGGGTTATGGTTGAAGAGATAAGAAATAAATCATTCCGGCCAGCGTTCTGGTGTTTGTCGTCTGTTTTTCAAGCTAGAAGTTAACACATTTATTCCGGTTAATAACCTTGCATAAACCGAAAAAAATTTGAAGCGCAAAGAAGAATCGCTGGTGGATGAAAGTGTCGCGTGTTTTCTAATTCAGACAACGAATTCTTTCAATATAGTGCTGTATCTCGACCAACTACGATTACGGAAACGGAAGAGAAATAGAATATTTACAAGCGAGGTAAATAAGTGATATAATTCTAATAGGTCAATTGGATTTGCCTTACAACGGATGGATGACACGCTTTATTTTTAGATTTGTGAACTTTTCAACAGTCTTAAACCGCTGCTATTGTAAGAACTAAATTGTCCAAATAGTTGGAAAGTAAAAACTGTTCTCCGTCATTTTCCTCAAGGTTCGAATGGATTCACACAAAGTCGGGTTTCTTTGAAACTTGTCACTTTAAATTTGTGCATTTGGTTGGTGTTTTAACCCTTTCACTGCCATGTTTAGCTAAAAGCAAATTTCGACCAAATTTCCAAATTTTATTTTGTGAAATTTTGAAAAACAAATAGCACCATGTGAAAGTACAGGCAGAGAGGTTTCATTTGAATGGTCACATCATAGGATTTTGTCCGCAGACTCAAAAGTTAGAGTCACATTACAAAACTCCATCAAGCACTGGCAGCGGAAGGGTTAAACGAAGTCAGTAGATGCGCCGTGGGTATCTTTAATCGAGACTGACCATTCGGTACTGAAAAACTTTTCTTTCCTTTGTCAAACTCTATTTTGTTTGTCCGAAGAGCCATAATGGAAGATTATGGGTCTTGTTCGTCAATATTTCCTGACATAAAACTGTTATTGGCATCCACTTTTCAAAACTACCCCCTCTTACTTTGGAGTGAACAAGATCTGATTTCTGTCAATGTTGGATTTCATAACTGGTAAATTCAGGCATGCTCAGTCTCTTTATTCTCTGCGTAGAGAATCCAACCCTTGCTATCAAACGAGCCTCGATTCCCGAGTCCCGAGTTCAAGTCACTCATGACTTAAGTTTTGATTCTTGGAAGAAATTATTCAATGTGGTCTTTCAACTAACAGTGTAACAGCTCTTTCCTTGCGTTCTTTCAAAGCGAATTCCCTATTTTATTTAGTTGGCTCCAATGATATTTTAACCAAGTAACTTTAATGGAACTATAGAAATGGCAATGAACTTTGGGAGAAATATTGCCCAATTCTCCCTCGATGGCGTCTTGCCGTCTTCATTTAAATATTTAAAATGTTCTTGAACACTTGGTCGGCGGTTCATTGAATGCAGTTCAATTACTTCAAAGGAGGGCACAAGCGGTGTAATGACGCACAAAGGGCCAGCGAACTTTCACCTGCCTAACGGTGGGTCTCACAGGAAAGACAAAGCAGATTTAAACGAAATCTTAAATTGGCTGAGTTATCGCGCTAAATAAAGGCGTATAAAAATCTAATTTTGGTTTAAGTTGTAGACAGGAGATGACCACCCGTCACGTGTTTGCGTCAATGGGGAACTGTAGCATTGCGCAAGATCAGTGGGTAGCTCTCCATTTAGACGAATAACTTTTAAACACAAAGAAACTTTCAGTCAGTGCTAAAAATGGCTGTGTAGCTCCAGTCAGTTTAATCAGACGAGGTTTGATTCACGCTGAGTATATTATTATTTATGTTGTGTCAGAAGTGAAAGAGCTTTTCCGCGTTGAAGCCTAAATTACAATCCAGAACAAATCAGATAGGATCCAATCAAGGTCACAGTGATTTCACAATGCCAATCCCCAAGGATCTTTATTAAACAATTTACCAGCCTTGAACAGCTTATCTGAAGTCGCCTCTTTCCTGGTTAAGTTGCTATGACAGATTTCTCTAACGTTTGACACTTTTTGAAAAATGGATATAAAGGATTGTTTTCTCGCAACGACACGGGGAATGAACAGACAAATTAAACTGTTAGTAACATAAATGTCAAGTTCCTTCCCTTACAAACACACTCTTTTACGTGCATTACATTATTCGGGGGAATGATAAGAGTCGAGGTATTTAATTTCTTGATACACTCTCTCTCTCTCTGTTGTCAGTTAAGAACGTACACCAAGACAATCTTAAGCTCTGTTTTTATTTCATTGATGAATTCAACAAAGTTTTTCAGGTCTAAAAATAACAAACCGTCCCTTTTTCTCTAACTCTTCAGGGGGCCCACGTGCAAATGTTACAAACTTTATTAACGGGCCGGCCGAGTTATCAATATCTTTCTACATCCCGCCGAGTAACAAGAGGTTTATGTAAGATATGCATCCATAACTTTCCTTTGTTATTTCTAAATTGACCTTTGTTGAAGTATTATTTACACTTCGTTGACTTATAAATGTTGCATTATTTGACTGTGGCAAAGAAATTGTTTCGAATAAAACCAAGTAAACTACACATGGTGTGAGGGAAAAAAAATGCAAATCTTGAGGTTGCACAGCTCGTAGCTTCTTACTAACAGTTTTTCACCCCAGAACTTTTTGAATCACCGATCAGTTAAACACGGTCCTTTACAGATCTTCACACCTAGCAAAATATTTCCTTTAACAACTTTTAGCCAGGTTTCCTTCAAGCGTTGAACGTATACTTTCAAAATACAATGCGTCACTTTGTAATTGTTTCCCCTCGAGAAAGGACAACGAAAACTCCTGTGTTGTCTTTTCTCACGACCCCAAGGTTATCAAAGCTTGGAAATAAAGTTTTTAGTACTAAGAAGATTGAAAACACACGGAATCCGCCTGTACAAACACTAGGGCTTGCGGCTGGCGCCTGCATGTACCATTTTGCAGGTTATTCACGTTGTCATAGCAACAACGACTTCCAATACCTGCTCTATTTTGGCTAAGGAATGTGCTAGAGATGTTCATATTCAACCTTGACCCCTTTGCTAAGGTTAGTCTCGCTTACGTAGATGAGTAGTTATTAGTAACAGTTAGAAGTGGCAAAATTTTAGTCAGAGCGTAGACAGCGAAGTCTTTACTACACCAGCAAAGTGGAGCTTTTTACGGTAAATTCATGTGATTGTTTTTTCGATTTTTCTTTTAAATTCGACTTCTCGCTTTAAATTGTCTTATTTTGTTTTTATGCTCGACTGGGCTACTGTGTTCGTCTCAGTTGATGTTTTTTTCCTAAAGAAAAAGTTTCTTTCCAAACTCTTTTCCCCTAAGTTAAAACATGAATAGCAAGCTACAAGGGGTACAATATTTTTCACTTTGTTCTTCAAGTTTGTACTGTAGTTTCCTTACTGACAAAGTAATTCAAATCTGTCATTTCCTTTATTAATAAGTAATTGAAAATCACTAAAATTTGTAACATTGAATCAGACCATTGCACTTTCAGAATTTGTAAAACTGCGAAAATTCGATTGAAGAACGCAAAAACAATCGTTTTAGTTTACAGTAGACTTTTGATTCAGTACCGTGGGAAATAAATTGTTTCTGACATAAAAATATGTTTATTCAGTCGGATAATCTGTTGACTTTTAAAATGAACTTAAAAATGTCACGTTTGTAGCGACACCAGAAGTTTCGGTTTGCTCTTGGCTTAAATTACGTTTTCTTGTAAGCCTCACTTCAATGAAGGACCTCCAGAAATTTCTGTGTCGAACGTTATCAATGAAACTCGAGCAGACTTTTCGGTCGTCACAGGGCAATGATTGTGAACAATAACTAGCGTTTTTCTCGCCAATTCAGCTTATAAATAAATTCTATAGAAGTCTAAATTTAGTTTGCAAGCTAGACCAAAATAGTACACATTGAATTCGCCGTAGTAAACAGTTGTACATTTGTCTGCCTCGCTCGTGATGACGGCTTGCCTTTGACTGAGGAACAAGTTAGAGCAATTTTCAAGGTGTTAACCCAGTGGAATTGGTCGCGTTAAGGTAGATGACCGTGACATTGCTGAGTTGTAAACTGTAGCGATCGCTCGAGCTAAAGATTAACGATCATATCTTTTTATTGCAAATTCAGTGTTGCGTTTGAATCGAATTAGGGTAGTTTCAGTTTGTTCTTGTTCTTAAAAACGTGTTAAGAAACGCAATTCATAGTCCCAACAGGTGTCAAATTGTCTAATTCGCTGTACTGGTCGTCGTCGAATTTTGAGCATCTAATATGGTTCAAACTGAGCGGGTCTTATCCCGGAAGAGAAGCTCGATGGAAAGTTACGGAGTAGGGTGGTAGTTCAAACTGCATTATGTAATTCCTTGTTTTTGAAAGTTAAAGTTATATTATAAATCGCAAGTGAAAAAACTTTATAACTTTGTTAGTAACCCTAACCGTCTAACTAACATGGTCTAACATGAACCGAAAGTATTGAGTCTCCACTACTTCAATCATTGCATAATTATAATTTCTGTTAATAATTCGATCAGTCCTTTAGTATTTCCTGCCGTCTATTGCACTGTTTGAGCTGTTTCAATAGTAATTTAGTGTTTGACCATATTTTCCTTTTAATGTTCAGGTGCTGCTTACAGAACGCTTGCAAGCAACATTCCTATTTGCTTGATCATTGACCAGTCTACTTTGTTTTCCAGCCTTCTTCGACGGAGATCAAGCCAACTCCGATGCAACCAATGGGGTCCATTGCTCAACGATCACCAAAATGTGCCCGCTGTCGAAACCATGGCGTCATCTCGATCCTCAAAGGACACAAGAGATTCTGCAAATGGCGAGATTGTGCTTGCTCAGATTGCAATCTCATCGCAGAGAGACAGAGAGTCATGGCGGCGCAAGTCGCGTTACGAAGACAACAAGAGAGCGACGAGGTTAGTGGTCACTTGACATACAATGCGGTTCCTTACTGTTTTACCCCGAACGTGCACAAAACCTCAGGATCTACTCCTACCTCGCCCACCTCACCTTATGAACAAGGCCAACTGGTAAGAACAACAAGCACGTCTTCGCGCTCAAGTTCACCTAACGAGGACACACAAATGGGAAATGGTCTTGCGTCTCCGGCGAGCAGCGCAAATGAAGGTAGGTTTCACCTCTCAGATTTTAAACCTCTCAATCTCTTTTACAAAAGTGGTGTTTTCGGTCGAAATGGTTCTTCCGTAGCGGAATTATTATTATTTGTATCTTAGGTAGATTCTCAAGAAGAAGAGATTTGTCAGTCTGAAAAGTTTCCGCGGATCTTACAATTCACAATAATATATTTTTGATAATTTAGTGAAGGGCTCATCTAGTAACTGGCTATATAGTATGGCATTCATAAAAACGTTACCAACTGAAAGTGTCGCGAAAAAGCGACCAAAGTTATAACTTGATTTCATGTCTCAAACTTAGACTCCTAGAGAGGAATGTTTTGACGGCTTGAATCACCCAGAGCGTATAAAAACTTAATACCACCTCGGGCTGAAAAAAAAAAAACATAGACAGTATAAATAAGGGCTTAAAATTTAGTCTAGTTCACACTTAGATTTTGCCTCTAGGGTTTTTCCAATGCAATTGCAACGCACTTAAAAAGCCCGACTTACTACCCTACACCTAATTAACAAAAGACTTTGCTACCGCCGTGGTTGAACCGGGAACAAGGAAACAAGTACTGAACGAAGAACTGCTCCAATTTATTGACCTCAGCTAGGAAAGAAACAAATTTTCTCCCCTGTTTTGCAGTCGAAACCGCAACTGATTGATCGGGGAAACTTTTTTTATCAGTGTATCAAAGTTAGATACATAATCAGTTTATTTATAATTGAATAATTAGGTTCAGCCGCTAATGGCATCTGAAATTCTTAGAAACTTGTTTCAACAAGCTAACGGTTTAGCTTTTACATCCACGAAGGATCACCCACACAATTCAATGTCGAATATAAACCATAAATATCAGCTTAGAAAAAATGCCAGAAATGGCTCCTGCGGTTTTATGGTTCGCCTTTTCCGTGATTCCCTCACCGGCGTATATGATAGATCCACCCTTTAGCGGTTGCATGATTTATTACTTTGTAACCTTTTTTGGCAACTTATTTAAATCTTCATTAATCATCGACCTCGAAACCAACGTAATCATGTTTATTAAATGTGAGACACAATCAGCTACCGTATTGGTGTAACAACTGAGAAAAAACAGGGGAGCTAATAACATAGAGCTATCTTGCATAACAATAGGCTCCAAGCCTCAAAATTTCACCCTAAATTAATTTTATGGTAGAAATCACGTGACAACTCTGACTAAACCAATGGGCACCTCGAGCTGTGCATGCGTGTAAAAGGTCTTCATTCTCTCCGGTGTCGAAAAAATGTACAACTGATGTGTTTGGCTTGAGTGTCAATAAACTCTTCCTTGTAGATCCTTTTTCGCATTGCAGAAGTCACCTTAAAAAAATCGTGAAAAAAATCATTATTTTTGAATTCTATTGTAGCTCAGTTCAATTACGGTATACATTGCTGGCCAATATAAGTATGTCGTTTCAGACCATTTGTTTTCAATGTCGAGCGTAATCTCAAGAATGCATATAAGTCATAATGATTTTCTCAAAATTTAACCTTATGCCATTTCTCATGAACTGACTTGTTCTAAACAGTTTTCTTGTGTTTTATGCGGGCTATTTAACAATTATTCCTCCAGCCCCGATGGGCTCTGAGTCAATAGGCCGAATGGGCTATTGACTCAGCGGCCATGAGGGCGAGAGGAATAATTGATTTAGTAAAATCCAACTAGTCCGTCAAAAATATCGATACAAAACAGCTTTAGCTAGCAAAACGCGATTCAGCCGCCATTGTTTTGGTCTCCAAAGCCGGCGCTTTTCTCTACTAGTACGCTATAACAAGCCTAGTAGTAGCTCAACCAATCAGAACGCAGCATTGATAATAGACTACTAGTTGGAGTTTACTTACTTCATTACTGATTGGTCCATTTTAAAGGGGTTGTGATACAGCCACGCGTCTTTCTCAGTTTTCGTCGTGCAACATGATAGAGTGGTTTTCGTTTGAGTGTCGTAAAACCAAAACCAAAGTAATTAACTCTGGCCAATCACATAGGACACAGACAATACATTGAACCAATCAAAACTCGACGTAATTACATGTGGCTGACGCAAAGCGCAGTCACAATTGGCTTTGGTTTTACTTCTGATTGGATGAAAAGGTGGCGCGAATCTTTTAAGCCAATCGCATCGTGTAGAAAGTGCAAAACCAATTACTTTTCGACACTCAAATGAAAACCGCTCTAATGTACTTGTGAATGGCAAAAAACTACAGCTTTGTGTCAAACAAAAAAGCATTATTTCAAACGTTTCAACAAAAAAAAATGAACTTTTAAAACCTGTTAGGCTAACAAGTTTTCAAAACCACAATTTCAGTTCCTTTCAATCGTCTTCAAGTTTGTCCTACCTTCGTTCCCTGCTTTTGTATTTGTTGTGTTGATAATCCTTGTTTCAAGTTTTGAGCAGTTATTTTTATATTCACTCAGTTTGGTGACGGTTCCTACTGCTTTGATTTTTTGATAATTTTTCCGACACATCTCCTTAAATGTTTGCCCTCAATGTGGATAACCAAAGTTTCCTTTAATTGACATAGTTTATAATCTATTTATAGGCACCAATAACTGCAAATGATGAAGATAAACAATACAAATCGAAAGAGAAAAATAAATGATCAAATCATTTGCTCGACTTTTATTTTTTGTTAGCGACAATGAAAAGTCACCATTCGACCAACTGATCCCCTAAAACTCAGTAAGCAAACAAATTAAGCGCAAATAATTCTAAAGCACGTGCTGCAAGCTGGTCATTTTGTCAATAAAAGACGTGTTTTGTTTTCCACTCACATTTCAAGGGTTTGACGACAGAGGGAAAAGCGGCGACCCCGAACCATAATGCGAATTATGATTTTTCATTTTGAGCAGCTGCTCGAGGAAAGCATTTGTAACCGCAACATTATTCAAGTTCCTCGCTTCACTTCTGAGTCAAACAATTATTTACAATCGTAAGGAAATAATACTATTACATGCAGATGTTGCAAGCAAGTTTTGATGAACCAATCAGAGGAACGAAATTTCGAAAGCATGGGGGTTGAAATGAATATGGCTCCTGGTGCCATACGATTTGTCCTGCCGAGACATTGTGTTAAGTGAAATATTCACCTCTACCGTCGGGCTGATTGCCAGTTACCATATTATCGCACCAGAATTAATCCTGGTTTCAGTTTTATAAACACTCAGACAAAAGTGGCCTTGCATCGCCGGATAGCCTACGTGAGAGAGCCCGTGTAGCCAATACAGGCGGATTTTTCAGGGTGGAGTCACAGGGCTGGACGTTTCAATTCGGTCAGTTTAACAATGGTACTTGTTTTCAACTGCTTATTTCTAAGTAGATTCAAAAATATTCTTGTAATACACCTGACAACATTGATCTCTCATTCCGTGTTATATACATAAACGCAAGTCAAAACAACCAACAAGATGCTTACAAAGGAAAGAAGTTTATATTTTAGTAATTACCATATAGAGACTTGCTTTTCTCGGGTAGAAATTTCCAAACAAAGCGCGGCATTTAAATTGTGAAGTATCTCTCTAAAATATTCTAGAGCCAAACATCCTTTATTTCAGATATCAGATAGCTGATATTTCAGTAAGAGTTGATAATTTAAATAGAAAAAGGCGATATTGTCACATAACGGGCACCTTTTTAAAAGCGTAATATGCGACATTGACGAGACGACATACTCCAATGACAATTATAATTGTTTTCACGCTCCCGTAAAATTTGATTGACGCCATGTACAAAACTGAAAAGAATAAAAGATTAAAAAGCTTTGTTATAGCACTGATTTCAAAGTCCGTGTAGATATTTTTACTATTAGGGGTTGTGCGGTTGGGTGATAGAGTGAAGACAACAACTTATGCACTTGAAACACAGCTCAACACGAAATTTATGTTACGTGTAAGTTCATATGCTGATGATCAGCATATAAAAATATCTTTTACATTGGGATTTTGAAGCCATACGCGCTTTCCAGAATTAATTTCACAATTTCAAAATGTCCTTCTTCTCGAACGAAGTCACCCATTCCAGCTCCTTGGCTCACAGGTTTTCCAATCTTTGATCGATGGTTTTCCACTACACATAATCTAGCTACGTCCAAAGAGTAACTCAGTTTTATTGATATATTTAACCTTTCGAAATGCAAGACAATAGAAAGTTATTGAATAGAATATAACAATTCCTTGTCAATCGCGAACTAGTTGCTATGGTATTTTTAAGGTTTTCGTGCGGAAAATTCATGGAACCCTATATAATCATGATGTATTTTCTTGCGTCGACCCGCGCATAGAACTTTTAATTATACCTCGAAAAATGTTTTGTAGAAAATGAAACTTGTGTGATCCAAAAGGCACATCTTTCCAGCGGAGACCTCATTTCATTGACGATATCGGTAGCTAATTACCTCATTAGGTAGATGATCCTGGTGTTTGCAAATTAAACTGATTTGTAATTGCTATGGAAACTTTCATTAAGTGCTAGGCAACAGATTTAGCTAAAGACAGTGCGTGACTGTTAAGAAAGCTTGCATCTCTTTTGAAGGATACAAAATATGCAGTAGTTTTGCTGGTTTTGGATCCTGGTCATCGCATCTTTTAAGCCGCGGAGGCCTGCACGTATTTCGTCTCAGTCTCACTTGACTGTGCTATAACTGATTAACTTTTTATCTTGCCAGTGTTTAGCTCGTTTATTAAATTATTTACTAGTGTATCTCCTTTAATTTTCTGTGATTTAGCCTAAAATCTTGTACTACCGATGAAAATCTTCTTTAAATAAGTCTTAAAAATTATCGTTGTTGTTTGAAAAACAAGAGAAAGTGCTTTCTTTCAATTATGTGGCATTTCCCGTTCAAGGCAATGCCAGCAGGGTCATTTTTTTTTCTTTTTGCTTGAAAGGCGCACGTTCGGGAAGCAGCTCTAGCTCAAAGCGCTGTCTCCACTGGGGTCTACTCAGAGATTAATCAAATTGTCGTTTTTTAATTCTTTTTTTCTACACGCCCGAATGTGTAAAATTTTGCGCGAATTTCGTCATTACCTTCTTCCAGAAAAACCAGCTTTTTCTTATGGGTGCTATACCCTTTTTATACCGGCTTGAGTTAATGCCTTCACTATTTGCCTCCTTTCTTAGTTGATTTTAAAAATTTTTTAAAAATGGTTTGGTCATTTTAAGATGAAAAAGAGGTCAGTGAGGGGTTGAGGCTACAAAACGGAACATCACAAACGAGAGTAACTTTCCTTAATATAAAATAACCTAAGCCAGCTTAGGCTCAACCTTCCGTTTTCTCTACAAAGGCTTCATCAATTAATAAACGTGTTCGTGCATTTTAACTTCTCTGTTTTGCTTGACACCTTCATTTGCATAAATTAAAACGCATTTATAAACGAGACATCACATCGGATCAAGTAGGTCACGAACGCAATTCTACTCGGCTGCTCTGTCTTCCTCATCAAACTTGTTTCCTATTTAACTACAAGGTAACACGCGTTCTTTCTTCTTACACGAAGCTACTTAGTTCTATTTTGATTTAAGCGTAGGTTAGTTTTAAGAACCAGTAATTTCGTTTTCCTACATATGTTATCTTTAGAGAGACTTTAATTGCACGGCACAGATCAATTCGAAGATGTGTAGATTTGCAAACTGGCTCAACGGTGTGTTCGATACTTATCTACTCAACTACTCTAGATCTAGTTGTTGAAATTAACAAGGTGTGTTTGCTTGCCCATACCTTATCAGTCTCCCAAACTTGCTAGCAAGTTGAACAAATAGACCTGCCATTCTTATCAAGGTGGCCACTTGTCTAGGACAACAATATTGATGCAAACGCTCCTGTTTAATTTTACAACAAAGACATTTAGAGGGTGCGATTTGTTTACTATACTTAACACCTTGGGTCTGCTGTTTTGGAGGTAAATATTTTAAAAATATGTCAATTCCAGTTTGTTGTAATTTAGTATAGCTGTTGGCTAATTGTGGATACTTCAAATGAAGTTAAACTTTTCGAGCATTTTTAATAACTTGTACAAACAGTCTGAACACCGTTATTTTCGTTTTCAGAATTCGCCATGGATAACACAAGCGAGAGTAATCCCTCTAGATGGAAACGGGAACGAGATGAAGAAGACGAGGAACGAGGTGGAATGAGGATGTCGCCAGCAGACACGAAACGACAAAGAACGGATAAAATTTCTCTGACTAACGGCGAGGGAAAAGTCATGTCAACATCAGATCATGGTCGTTACATGAACATTTTGACTCGGCTCTTTCCTGAGCAGAAAAGGAACGTTTTGGAGCTAATTTTAAAGGGATGCGGAGGTGATGTGATTCAGACTATAGAGACAGTTCTTCCAAGCCACGAAGAAGCACTCGCTAGAGGACAACTACTGGCTGGTGTACCACGTGGTCTGTTCCCAGGACCACCACCACCTTCTGGCTACTCGGCCTTCTCTCCTCTCTCTCCCACAATTCCGCACGGTATACCACTGAGTGCTGTGGAGTATCACGCCGCTTCGAAGTGCGCAAGCGGCCAATGTCCCGGATGTGTATATTATCCGGGACCTGGGCCATTGTCTGCCACATTAAACCAGCTGAAAGATCCCACAAAGCGATCGACCCCGGATGTGCCTATTTCTCTTAAACCGACGATCTCCGAGCACAGCCCGAACCCGTTATCGACAATTCCGGGGTTGACAAAACTACCACACCTTGAAGACATCAGGTACAGTCAGAGTATGCGGTCGGCAACCGCTGCCCTCATGACCATGAGCTCAACCGGACGAGTTTTCTCTGGAGACCGTGTGTTATTGAGAAATGACCGGGAAAAAAGTTCCCCTCCTCTCTCACCTAAAACAGAAACAGACGAAAAACCTTAAATTGTGCCGCAAAGATAACTTGCTAAGTAAAGTGGACAAGCTTCCAGTAGTTGCATCAATGAATGACCCTGAAATTATAGAGTAGATACAATTAATGAGAGGGAGTTGTATAAATTGGGTAGTTACATAATTATATTATGTATTGTAAACAAGTATCATACATAGGGGTATTTATCATCGCTACGCTGTTCATTACTAAGGCACATAGACTTTAAATATGACATAAATCTTAATTACATGTCCTAATTGTGTAAGTGGTTCCCCACGATAACTATTCTTTAGAATGCTAGCTTAAGGACCGTGTTTTAGGGTATCAAACAAATTTGACTATGGATGTAAAAATGCCCTACTTGAGATTTCCTTTTTGCCAATTTTTTCCCAGTTGTCAGGTCATGTACATTTGAATACCAAAGACAGTTATTTTGTTCCTGGGTATTTTACAACGACAACAAAATGAAAATGAAATTTTTTGTCTCATGACAAAAATGATAATAATAATCAGATCCAAAAAACTAATACATCGAAGGTACAGATGGACAATTTTATTTTTTCACTATTTTATTTTATTTTTTCTTTTCATTCCTGTAAAATTTATATTATAATAGCATGTAAAAAGCCGTTTGGACAGCATCTGAGGATGGAAATATTTTGAAAATTTCGGTAATGTAGGAACTTGTACCAAAGTCTAGTTTGTTAGATAGAAATTTGCCGCTGAAAGTGCAACATGTTGGATTAAGCTGCATGCGGTCAAATAAAAAGCTGTTGCGACCTACCGACCTACCGTCTATCGAAGCAATCTTCTCATTATGCGAAAGCAGTTTTCAGTTTTTGCGGCGCCCTTATATTCACGATAAAATTCCATTCTTGGAGCGCGGTAAAGCTAAGGAGAATTATGTACAATTCGCGGGATGAAGGGTACATTAAACACTTTAGTGTACAGGTTAGGTAAGTTATCTTGCATATAGATTATAGAATCGACGGAAAAGATTACAACGACAGCTGTATAAGGGTTCTACAAAAAGGGTGCTTACCATTTTACCCAAACCACCCAGGTGGAAATCTTGTGCACAAACACAAAACTATAAAGTTTGACGTGGTGGGAGAACGAACTGCTACAAAGTATATCCAAATCAGCTGTACAGCCATAAAAGAGCAATGAAAACAGTTGTGTCGCCTCAAATCACAGCCCATATTCTCTGAAGCTTCCTAAAGGAACCAACCTGAATTTCCGGTTTTCCCATGTAAATGGTAGGTACCCAAGGTTTTGTTGGTATTGCAGTGACTCTTTTCTCTTGAGAATTTTTTTAAGGGCATCTAGAAGTTTTTCGTGTGTCGCAGTAATGTTCATCCCTTGCGTGACGTAAAATTTTCATATCAGAGAAATACAATCAAGTTAGTGTAGCAGTAGGTGGCGTTAAGCGTACTGTATTAGATTGCTACAAAGACGATTCAACGACTATATAAATCAGAAACAACAAAAATGGTATCGGAAAGGCAATCAAGCCGTGTTTTGTTGTATCTAATTCATTCATTACTTATCCAATGGTAGACGCAGCAACAGCTTGGTTTTACTCAGCGGTTTTATGTTAAAATTTCCTTTCTAAGACTCACAAAAATTCGTTCATTTTTAGTTAAAACTGTTATTAAATAAATCTACGCCGATGTGTGACTCAGTGGAAAAAGAAAGCTTGAATAAATGTGTTACCAAAAAGACCAATCTTAGGCTATTGGTAAATTTTTATAGTGTTGCAAACAATTATAAGGTTTTTTAAAACTGTCTGACTCAAGTAAAAATTAAAGCACTGAGTAACCATGGTAACTTGTAGTTAAAAAAACTTTAGTTTAGATTAAAGGAGCGCTTTCAATTCTCAAAACTAAATCCGCGTAGAAAGCCGTCCAACATCAAGACATTCCTGAAAAAATGCATTAAGCCCTTTTTTACAACAGGAAAGTAAAAAAAATGTGGGACGTAGCAAAGCTGATTTATTTGTGATATTAATAATTAAACAATTTTAGCACAATACTAAGACGGTGATAATGTTGAGAGTGCTTATTCTGGCTACTGTTACAGCAGTCAGCTGTTAAAGATAAACATACACTCAGTCAAAATCCGGTTCTCCAAGACGGAAGACGCGTCGGGAATGGTACAAGGCGGTGTTTGTTTTACACAGGTGTCGTCTTTATAAATGGAATTGATAAAAAAAATAACTGAAAAACTGCTAGGTGCCTGTTTGAGGTACTTATTCGTGATACAGACCCCGTTTGGGGAGAGTTGATTGTATAGGCGGGCTTAGTCGGAACAGGTTTCGTCATTGGTACTTTGGACGTCTTTTCTTAAGTATATTCTCAGCTCCTTATCCGGGTATGCATTCATTGACAACTTCAAATTTCCTCTGTTAAAGTTCCAGTTTAGAAAGTTAACCTGTTAGATAAGTAAAAGAATATATTTATAGATTTTTATGTAGATTAATTTAAAGTGTCTTTTCGTTAATAGCCAATAAAAAAGTCATACACTGAGATGATAATTTCAATCCATTAGTCGTTTTTTACTCTCGTAGTTAACCGTCTTGCACTAAGGAGGATTTTCAGAGTCGCGTAATTTTTACTTGAGGAAATAAAAAAGTCTGAGGAGATGTATGGAAGGCTAGGCCATGTGTTAGGGTAAAAGTTGGGCGATATTCAACTTGTACGTGTACACGTGACCTTCCAAACATTGACTCTATTTTATTTAAGTCCGTAAAATTTACGTGCGGACGCACGTTAAAATTACGCCATTGTGGAAATCCACCTTTTAGTGAATATATAATGCCTCGGGGCTCTGAACACGATGACTCGTGAATCCGATGAAAGCTCCTTCCCCGGTACAGCGGGATTCCTAGCCGACCAAAATCTTAAAATTTTTCGAGGTGTCTTGCACACTGTGTCCTTCACTAACCCCGCCCCTTGATACAATTTAACCTCTCCACAACGGCCACCTTGGGAACAGAAGAAAGAATGGACAATGTATGGACCGTCCGCCATAAATGGTGGCCGTTAGCAGGAGCCCATAGCCCGGAGAGAGCAACTCCCATACTAGGCCGATGTTATGGCGTTTTTACTTACCAGTTTATTTTTAGGCACATTTTAGGGCACTTTTTCCCCCGAAAATAGAATCTCCACCATAGTATGAACGTATTCGAAGTATAAGATATCAAAAAGGAAAACTAAACGTTATTAAATGGCAAAAAATATCATTTTTAGGTCTGTCGGTTTTGCTGACTGGTTTGTGGAATTTAAAAGATATTCAAAATTCGCGCTAAAACCGTTCTGAAAATAAACTTGTCCGTGAAAACGCCTTGACACGAGCGCATGGAATTTTTTCGCTCTGGGTTACCGGTTCCTACTGTTAGTGGAGGTTCGACTGTACTCTGATCGGTCCGCTTTAGCGTTCGTTTATTGGCACCACCTTAAATAAATCCTACGTTTGCCCTAGAACCAACCGCTTTATGATCCACACACTTAAGCACTATGCCATCAAGGCATCAAGGCCTAACAGCCAAATGATTTTTTGATTTTAATGCTAACCGTTTTATGTCAACGCCTAGCTCTTACCACGTAGTCGTAGATCAGCGGTAAGCCCTAAACTTAACTCTTTCTCTAGTCCAAACTGATTTTGGAATATCCATATGAAATTTGCCCATGTCCGACGAAAACCGACGGATACCATCGTGTCTGCGATCGGACACGATATCCGGATCGGATACTTCGAATACAAATAAGACCATCTTTAAAACCATAAAGATTTGCATAATACTCAAAGAAATTAAAAAGTCAATGTGAGATATTTGTCTGTTCGACTAAAATGGTGCTAGGTCAATTTTAGTTAATAGCTGAGCGTGAAATCTCTTCAATTTTTCCTAGCTGTTTTAATATAGGGACTTTAAGATCCGAGATTAGCAAAACAACAACTTTGCATGTGCAGCACACTTTATTTCTTTGCCGTCACTACACGATGCCTTTTTCACGTTTTATATGAAGGACGTAAACAAGCTGCTACGAAATTTTCTTTCTTTTTTTTTTCCCGTGAACTTGGATATGGTTTTCACTTACTCTCAACGTGAGTTGGAACTGTCGAGATGAAGATTGACAGAATTGAATGAACGGCCGGGAATTCACTTTTTCAGCGATGTCTCCGTCCTCGGATCTTGAGGTCCCTAATTAATAATTATAAGCCCTCTGCTAAATGCATGATAACTTCGCCCAACCATCGATCTCAGTCTACGGTGTACCTAAGAAATCGGCTGTTGCAGGCTTTTCATCTAAGAGCGATCACTGTATTCAGTGTATTCAGTTCCTCCAGACAATCTGATGTTAAAATATGATCATGGAAGTTAACTTGTGTAGAAGAGGGTAAGTAAACGCCATAAAATTTAAGCAAACGAGATCACTTCTAGTTCTTTATTTAAAACTCAAGTATCCAAGGTTTTTTTTTCGTTTTTATTTTCCCACTTAAGCACTCATCTGTTTCAGTTTAAATTCGGGCAGTGAGGAATGAATAACATCTTGTTCAATTATAAAACTTGAGTTCAAGGACGCCTTGTTTACTATTGTCGCTACTTGAACGGAAATTAAACAAAGCTTTTATGACAGCTTTTCAATGAAACTAAGAGATGTCCATTTTCCTTTTGAAACTTAAGCAGAAATCCGTAATAGAACCTCTGTCTGGATGAAAATAGAATGGGTGAACGCGACAATGGAAAGACTGCCATTACGTTTATGTACAAAAGACATGTCTAAAAGCTGTCGTATTTTTTGAATAAAAAATATGCTTTTGAATATGAGAGTATTACCCAGAGGAAATGTTATTTACATTTAAATTGAAAAAGCCCACAGTAAACGCTAAGTGGTAAGTTTGTATATCCAGTGATGTCCTCATTCCTCTTAGTTAAAACGTACTAAACTTAGGTGAAGTTCAAAACAGAATTTCGTGAAAAAAAAACTTCTAGTTTATGCGCAAATAACATGAAAATGTAATTAGTTCTTTGTTACCTGAACAGCTACTAATGTAATAAAGGGGACCCAGTCAATGATGTGAAACAATTGAAGCTTAAGCCGACTTTGGCCAATCATCAGCCGACTCATTCGCATCCCAAACAATAGAACTCATTTACAGTAGAAATGCCTCGGGTGATATATCAACTGTTTGACGTTAATTAATTGGAAAAGCGCAAATTGTAAAACTAACAGTTTCAGTCGGAGCTGTCGCAACCGCGAAGTGTGTCGAATGATTAAAGCGCCGATTCTGAACGAGAAGAACGCAGCCATGTCTGAAAATTTACGAATCGAACAGGATGTCATTCGACCGGTGTCCGCTCCGCGCTGCGCGCGTTGTAGGAATCACGGCCAAACGGCGTATCTTAAAGGACATAAACGATACTGTCCCTGGAGGGAATGCACTTGCTCAAAATGCAGTTTGATTATCGAGCGGCAGCGTCTTATGGCAGCCCAAGTGGCGCTCAAGCGCGAAGACAGCGAAGTGCCTCCGGCTGGGTTTCGAAACGTTGTGAGCGCGGTGGAGTCTACCTGTGCGGTACCGTATCGATCACCGCCTCGGATGAGCGATGCTCTACCGACGGTCATTTGTCCGACGGCGGTGCAGGTTGATGTTAATAACAACACGGCTCCCAACGAATGTGCGGATATTAGCACAGCTGAAGTAAAAACCTGTCGCACTTCACTGTCTCCACCCAAAGGTAAGAAATTAACAGTTGGTTTTATTCTATAAACCTTATATTTTTTAGCATAAAGAAAGAAAATGTGACCAAAAAACTTTCTTTGAACAGTCAGCGTGGAAGAGTTCATCCATAGGCTTACAACGTATAACAGGGTAAAGAGGCAATTGAATTGATTATGTACTGAATATATGCTGATTTGTTACAGCGGGTCAGTTTGCTATAAACGAAACCGTTTATCGCAATAACCACTTTAGATGATTCACCAACAATATTCCACACTTGTTTGGTTTGGAATTTAAGAGTGTCATAAACTTTATAAAACTGATTTGATGTTGTTAAGCTGAAGCGCTTCAGGTTGCTTTGCAAATATTTTACTCAAGTAACAGTGTTGACTGAAAAACAAAATGGACTGCACGCATGCCATGGGCTCTTAAAAGCAAATTTAATCTGTACTCTTGATGAGGACTTTTCAAAACTTAATATTCTTGTAGATGTTGCTTAAGGTTTGAAAGTGTTTCCTTGCATATTGATAACTGACAAACAATCTACTGAACGGGTTAAACAAGATGAGAGGAATCTTGAAGGTATTTATTAAGCAAACTATACAAAAGTCAGTTCCTGATAGCCCATGCTTCAGACTCGCCAATTTTCACCACCAACACTCTTTCATGAACAACTGAGAAAAATCTTGGGATTTGCCGGACTGTTTGAGCTTGAGTCAGTTGTTTTCATTATGACTGCTCTGGGAACTCATCACTTTAAAGGCTTCGTAAATTTACAATATTTCAAACTAGTCTTGGCGGAGAACTTTGTGGGTCTGATTCTAACACGCATAAGGACTATTTTTCAAATTTCAAAATTTTAAAGGAACAAAACAAGTCTTTTTTTATGCTCATTATTTTAATTTGTGGCCATGAATCAGAGAGCACTGAGAACCTCTCAGTCTATGAGAAAAACCTGGTGAGAAGGAACAATTCATGACACTGATTCAGAGAACAAAATTTACTTTTAATCTTTGTACTGAGACGTATTAAGCGATTGGCTCGCTAATACAAAAAAGCATTTTTCCTAATTCAAGAAATGCAGGAAAAGTTGTTACTGTGGAACCTCGATAGGGAATGGAATTTCGAGGCCGGTTCTTTCCGCGTATTTTACTATGACTGAAATCTAGAATATAGTACGTTATATCCGGGTTCCACTGTATTCAGTTCAATTTACTAAAACTGAACTACAAGTTAAAAATTATCGGGGACAATTTTACGGCGAAATAAAAAAGTATCGATCATTGGAAAACCGTCTGAAAAATGAGTGCCCTTGTACTTAAAAAATTCAAGTTTAGCCCTAAAAGGTCTACTAGTTTCTATCAGAGTCAACGGCCATGTAAAAATACTTTCGCGAGTGTCCATAAACGCCACCATGACGTACTATCGCGAAACAAACTTCTTTTTCAGGGCGTTATTTACCGTGCGTAATCTTTTCGCAAAATATTGAACTAACAAATTAGTCCCTTGGTGAATTCAACAACTAATCATACAGTATGTTAAAACATTCTACTTTATCGTAATATAAACATGATCACCAGGAACTTTCTCGCGGGTCCCTAATGCTCGCTTCAGTCTTTCACATAGAAAAACGGTGATAAAAGAGCACCTGCTGCAAATGTTCCTTACTTGCTCTCGAGTTTTCGAAGCCTTTTCCTTTTTTATTCTATTAAGAAAGATGTCGTATTTCGAATTCTTCTCTATTTGTATAGGATCGTGGTATTAGGACAATTGGCATTTGAAAGTGAAGAGAATGGAATCTCGATCATTATGTTGGGCGTTGGTGGAGGTGATATTATTCAAAAACAGTGTTTTCTGAACGACATTTAACAGTTGTGAACAATACAAAACCCTGTGAAGAAACCTCCATGACAATCTTCATTCTTGCTGCATTTTGCGCAAAATTCCATCTACTTAGTGGTATTACCAGTCATTAAAGCGGATGTTTTGGCCTCAATAACTAAGCTATTTTGCACGACGCGTTTCATATTATACCTGAGCCCAACTTTATCTGGACTGTCATAATTTTTTTTCTACAGGACTAAAGCGCAGTTTTTCACAAGTTGAATCTTCGTTCCCGTCACCTCCCGAGGCGGGGGATGATAGCGTCTTCTATGACAGTGACGGGACCAATGGTGAATCAAATGGTGACATCGGGGAATTTGAACAACCAACCAATCAAGATAAACAAAAAGAGGCTTTCCGTTCTGGCAGCGACGACGAAGGAAAAGAGCATCTTGAGAGTCCCGGAAACCAGGTTTCTAATTATCGTGGGAAACTGCCCCCATTAGAATTACTTACCAGGCTTTTTCCAACTCAGAAGCGGGGTGTACTGGAACTGATTCTCAAGGGTTGCCATGGAGATGTTCTAAGGGTAATCGAGTGTGTTCTACCAAGTCACGAAAAAGCTCTAGCTTCTTTAAAGACAACCGAGACGCTGCATTACAGCCCAGGCATACATTCAAGCTATATTGCTCATCAGGCTCGATCGCCTTATCAAGGGCCAATGAGGGCTGGGCACTACCCTATCTACGGATCGCCACCAGGTTACTCGTATCCTATGATGGAGTACTTGCACGCACCAAAATATAGTCTGGGAGCGAACTGTACAGCAGCTGACCAGGAGCATGCGTACAACGTTGCTTCGTCCAAGGACCAAACAAATGTAGTAGGGAAAGTTTGCTGCGAGTGCTCCGCTAAGTGTTCACCTAGCAGCAACTTTTGCAGCTCATGCGGAAAATGTTTCAAAGAAACATAACTTTCGACAATTGGTACCGTAAATCAAGAATTGTGGCAGCTCACGTTACGCTGCTGAAAATAGCGAGCACAGCTGGGTTTGCACGATGATTTTATTTTTTTGCAAAGACTCAAAGTGCAACATTTTGCCGTTGTTTTAATTTTGTTAAAAAGAAAAAGTTAAGAGAAGGAAAAATATCGAACGGCAGCTGAACTGCTCTTGATTTTTCCTTTGCACACTTATAAAGTGCGACATTTTGCCGATGTTTAATTTTTGTTAAAAGAAAAAGATAAGATAAAGAAATAAACCCCGAAAGGCAGTTGAACAAACTCTTCATTATCAATTACTACGCCCGTGATTCTGTGTTTTCGCTCGTGCTCTATTTTCTCATATTAAAGAAAATATTCAGTCCCAGGGCAAAAGTTACAACATTTAAGAAGACCTATCAACCATTTCCCCCTAATTCCATCCCTTCCACATTCAGAATCAAAGGCGCAAGAAACTGAGTATCTAGAGCTCACAATACTGCATGCATGCTGTTTAGCGGTCGGAAAAAACAGCCCGTTTAATCACCATCGGATGCCGAATTATGATAAATTTCCACAACGTGGCTTTCTTGTTGGGCTAAGTTTATTTCCGACTTTACTACATTTAAAGTAATCGGAACTGCAGGCGGCTTTTACACACATCAATTCATCTGAGAACATTCGACAATCGGTTGTAAATTTTTCAAAATCTTGGGATACGCAACCAAACCGGGACTCTTTATTTCGGATTCACGCATCTTCGTGAACGTCAAAACGGATCCTCTACCAAAATGTCCCAGATTCGTCAAGAAATTCAGCCTTTCAATTCTAATGGTAGTCCATACTGTACAACCGCATTGCACATGGCTTTTCAGTTTAAAAGTCGCTACTCGAATTTAAACACACAGCGAAGGAATATGTGCGTTGCGAAATTGCGGTTTGTTGGTACGTTAATAGGCAGTTATAGCATCAACCATAGAAATGGGGCTAGGTGGAAAATGTGGTCAGTGCCGAGTGTGGATAGTGCGTAATGCGGAGTGTGGAAAATGTGGAGAGAGGAAAATGCCGAACGCATAGTGTATCATTAAAATGTTGGGTGTAGAGTCTACTACTGTCTACTAGACAATGAACTTCGTCAATATAACAGTGAATGTTTTGGCTAAATGAGCGTCCGTGAAAACTTCAAGTTGTAGACCTATACGTTATAGGACCTGTTCATTAAATCGGCGTCAGTCAATTGAATTGCTATTTAGTATAGCAGACTAGACTTTCTATTCTCAATGCTGATGGTACATGTAATAAATATTATTGTAGTCAGAATTACCAATCGCTCAGTTTATTACACAAAGATTTCTTCTCGCACTGTAGCTGACCCACTAGAACAATTCCGATACAAATTGAAACTTTACTCAGGACGGTACTCTGTTGTATTCAGTCGCAGATTTGCATATGGTCCAGCAATTTGGCTTTGTCTACAAATACGTCAAATAGATTTAATTTCTGAACAAACAACAGTTCCATTTTTTAATGCAAAAATGAGAGGTAAATTTTCGGGGCAAAGGTCGGCAAACAAGTGAATTTTCACCGTCAGTTTCTGAGGAAAATGAACTGATCAAGCAAGGGCTTGAAGTTTAAGTCGACAGAGTTACTGCAGAGGAAATAAGTGAAAATCCCCCTGTTCGTGTGTTTTACACATTAATTAAGACATACTATACTCATCTGTGGTTGTCCGCAAATATATAAAACAACGTCATGCATATGAGTCTTGTGGCGTGATGTCGTGGCAAACATAATGCAAGATGGCTTTTTATATAATTTCCCTAGTAAATTATTTCACTCTAAAGGCCTTCCGTAACTAAGAATCAGTCAACTGTTTGTACAACCAACCCATGAAAAGATAGCGCGGAGAAGATCGCTGCGATGATGCTAGTCCCTAGTAAATTATTTCACTCTAAAGGCCTTCCGTAACTAACAAATCAGTCAACTGCTTCTACAACCAACCCATGAAAAGATAGCGCGGAGAAGATCGCTGCGATGATGCCAGTCACGCAGTGAATTACGATCGATCTCTGGCGTTCTCATGTGCACTGTAACCGATGATTTTCACGTAGTATTCTTTCCCTTAGTCAAATTATAGGGCACGACCTTTGTTTGATTAATGCTAACATTATAGTACATTACTCAATGCTGGATTCCTGATAAATTAGAAGGGGAAAGGGCAGAAACAGAAGTTAAAAACAGCGGCATTAAACTTTGAATTGAATTCAACATGAAAGTTTAATCGTGTGTCAGTCGCTTAACATGAAAAGCAAAATCTTTGCGCCTGCTAAGAACAGCTAAAGAACATCGAATTCAGATGGCATAGAAAAAATTACCTCAGTCCATTTCATACGGTTTCACTCCGGTTGTAATGGCCAGAATATAGTACGTTGCATGAGGACTCGGAGTTCCGAAGGCTTTTTTTTCCTCTCTGTTTCAATTAGTAAGTCAATTGTAGTCTGAGCACTCTCCAAGTGTGTTGAATGATGGCCAGTGTTATTGATACTATAAGTTAGAATTAGAAATAAATTATTCACACAATTAGATGTTATTTGAAAACCCGTATTATGATGTGAAAAAACCTACGGATTAAAAACCCCCAGGGCTAACAGAACTGCTGATGATAACAACCATACATGCCCCTCTTAGTTTTTAAGGGAACAATTTTTCTTTCGCATTCTGCCTAAAATCATTCGGGTTCTATTTTATACACGCAAGTTTAGTGATAATCCACAATCAAAATGTACAAATATTAAAGGAAAATAATCTGTCGCAAAACTTAGTAAGCGCTTGTGAGGTGGCTATATTAAGAAGAAAATATTATAAAATCTGAAAAGCTGAAAAATATGATATTATTCATTGATTCTAGCACTGAACTTTTTCACGACCTTGTTCGTTGATCATTATTATAAGGGTTTCGTTGAATCCAGGGCCGGTTACTTACCACGGGAAAACCGGAAATTCCGGATGGATAATCAAACCTCGGTTCGCGCTATTCCATATTTGGAAAGCTTCAGAAAACATGGGCTGCTATTTGTATGAGCGATACAATTTTTCTACTCATTTTAGTCTGCAAAGCTGATTTGGATATACTTTGTAGCGGGTCGTTCTCCAACCACGTCAAATTTTATAATTTTGTGTATAGTTTTGTGTTTATCAAAAAGATTCCCACCCGGGTGGTTTGTGTAAATGGCAAGCACCCCTGTTCTTCAAAAACTTACTTCCGCTTAAAGTGGTGCTAGTCGTCAGAGACACGAAAAAATTCTCGTTTAGTTTTCTATGTATCATAATCCAGTGATATCAACAAAGCATTAATAAATTTCTTTTGGTGGATAGAAAGAGCTTTCTTTGTTTTTCTCTTGGCTTTAAATTTCAAAAGTTCAAGTTTTAAGGAAAGCGCTACTCGATCGGCAATGGAATTTTGGCCATTACTGTCACCTCGAACCGGACTGCGCTTCATGGCTTTGTCGGTGATGTTCTGTGTCATCCTGGTTCATTTGACTTCTGCTAAAAGTCAGTCGTTGCTGTACCGAGGACCAAGAGCAGTCAAGAAAAATGCTAACTCTGTCGGCGCTGAATTTGAAAGGAGACTGAAAGCCATGGAAGAAAGGTAAGCTTTCAAATGAACGACCTTTGTTGAGTACAAATTTAGAACTTTTTTCTGTTCCTTTCGGTAAGAAGCTGAGAGAATCGCTTAACCCCCAAACTCACGCACACTAAATGTCCTTAGATGGGTTTAGTTACGGCATATTAAGTAATAATACAATGAGATTTCTCGAGAAGCGTTCTAAACTATTGCCATGTTTAATACATTTTAGATGAGGAAGTTTAGCTTCAATGTAATCCTTCATCCTTGAATGCAAAAACGGTCACACATTTTACTCTAAGCCGGGCAGTTTATTCTTAATCCTGACAAACAAATGACTCTTTGTTCAAAAAACTAAGTTTTTTGCGTTGATTGTAGGAAAATCAACCCTTCTTATCACTGTTGTCTCTTTTATTTTCTCCACTGAAGGCACAACACCAGCACAAGCTTGACAAATAAGCGATTGGAAGAGATAGAAAAAAGGTTTGTGATGCATGTTATACAGCTGGAAAGTAGTCCTGAAGTTTCATTCAAATCCATCCAGTACTTCCTCTATCAGTACTTTCTGCATTACTTGAATGAGCTACTTCCTTTCAAAATAGAGAAAGATGGTCAATTTTTAAGCTCGGTGAAGAAATTTTCCTTTCTGCCTTTTTGCAAATTTTTATCCACATTTTAATGGGTGTAGAAAACAATTTTAAATAACCGTTTTGATTTGAAAAACTACAGTATTCTGAGAATTAAATATTACTTAATGTACCGAAAGCATGTCCAGAGTTCAGTAGCTTTCAGTGTGATGAAAAAACAAATACGGCAGGAAGAGAAGAATGAGGATTTCACGCGCACTCACTCTCTTCTTCAAAGTGAGCTCATCATTGTTGAAATTTTTACATGTAACGTGCAACCACTCAACAATTAATGACAACGTTAACTCTGCCCTGCAATAAAAATACCGTTTGTCACTGTCGTTTGTGTCTCTTTTCAATTGTTTAGAGCACCACAACACCCAAATCTGCCATTTAGGCATGTGGATAAATAAAAATCATTATGAAGTTTTGAAACTTCTTTAGCGTGATCCGGCTGTAGACAACATTTCACCCTTTACGGGCATGAAGAGTTTTGATCGTTTTCATTTTAATTGCCTACTTCTAGGAGGACTTTATTTTTGAGGTCAACAAGATAGAACAGTTGAACAGAACAGCAGAAAGTTCTATTGAGATTATATATAGTTATAATGCAAATTTCTATACAGCGCGCTCTCATTGCATGATATATAAGCTCAGTGCAAGGTATGAAGTTGTGAAAAAATTGCCTACTATACAAGCTTATAAGTAATTCATTGTAAGAGTGTAACTGTCAGGTTTATCAGCCATGTTATCTTTTCGTAGACTTGATCTGCTGTTACGTATACCATCTCGATCAGGGGACTCGTATGCGTCGCTACTGGTCTACTTATTAGGTTGGTAAAGAAACTTGATGTTAACAGGATAAACACACTTACTATAGGTGACTGAGAGAGCTATATTTTCCAGCTTGAAGCTCTGATAAATAAGCAGTTCGGGGAAATAAAAGTTTTTACTCTCCCTACAAGAGCAGAAAAATATCATCTTTTTTCTTAAGCGGTTTCAATTCTCAGTTTAACTAATCAAAAAATATTCTGTAAAAGTACCTGAATTTAATAGTGGGCGAATATCTCCATAGTTTCTTTCTTGATTCAGTTTCTTTGATGATGTTGGTATATTGAAGACGAGGTTTTTAAAAACGCTTGAAAAGTAACAGTACTGCTTTTCTCGGTTCCTGTTTCCAATCGTCAGAAAAGCGACTTTGTCAGGAACGAGTAAAAACAGTAGTTTCACAAAGGTTAAAAAACTGAGCTATTTATAACTAAGTAGTATTGTTTTAGATATTGTAAGTAACCAAGAATTAGGGGCTGTGAGTAGGTTAACCTAATCAAAGAAGGCTGTGTGCTTTGCGTTCATCCGTTCTTGGTGTATTTCAGGCCAGCATGGTCAAAGTACCTTGGGGAAGGTGCGCGTTGGACCAGCTGGTCCCCCTGGGCCTCCTGGGACACCTGGGCCAGCTGGACTAACCGGGAAAACTGGAGCTACTGGACCATCAGGACCTAAAGGTAAAATTATCTGTTGTTTCTTTCTTGGTGTTGGAAACGGGTTAATCACCAAATGACGTAATTCATGCAAAATATTGAAAAGACACTAAATAATACCCACACCAAAACACAAGAGCGAAAAAGCAATAGTTTTCGAGCTGGCTCCATGGCATCTAACTGAGAAATTAAAAGCGCTCGTATCTAATCGGCGAAAATTAAGTTTTCTGGCAATGAAATACCCAATAACGTTGTTGAGTGCTCAGCATTGATTCATTCTTCACAGGGGACGCGGGAAAACCTGGAATCAACAAGCCATTCCCAGGCCCTCCTGGTCCTAAAGGAGACCAGGGAGCAGTTGGAAGGACTGGAGCGCAGGGACCACAGGGTGCAAAAGGAGAAAAGGGACAGGATGGATCTGGGACATCAGGGGTGAAGTACATTCGCTGGGGAAGAACCACATGTCCTACTGGGGTGCAGATAGTTTATAAAGGTAAGAGAATGGTCATCCAAATAATAAGGGTTTTGTACTCTACTGTTCAGTGCAAATAGGTTCTTAAGATGTAGAGTGACTAGCGAATATTTCTATATCGAGTAATTCTTTTGCAGTATTATTACGGTTATTACATTCAACGTCTTTGCTGCTCTCTTTTTCCAGACAACTTTATTCCCTATCTTTTAAACCACCATGAAAAAAGAATTATACTAGATCGTTTTTTACAGCCATTCGGGATGTAATATAGAGTTATTAATCAAGTCAATTTTGCTCCTGCCACTAGGTATAATGGGTGGAGAGCACTACACTCACCCTGGTGGTGGGGCGAGTTACCTCTGCCTTCCACACAATCCAAAATATGACAAGTACAGAAATGGCCATCAGAGCTCCGGATACGTGTACGGCACTGAATATGAAGTGAGTGAATACAACGGAGACCCTTTTAAGAGAAATCTCCATAATCATGATGCGCCATGCGTTGTCTGCTTCGTCAAGTCACGTGGTTCAATGCTGATGATGCCTGCTAGGAATGACTGTCCGTCTGGATGGACCGAGGAGTATCATGGGTACCTGATGACTGCATATCGTGGCCACAAGCATTCAAGTGACTTCGTCTGTGTTGATGGGGATCCGGAGTATGTTCCTGGTAGCCATGCCGGCAAAGATGGTGCTTTGCTGTACGCTGTGGAAGGTGTTTGCGGCTCACTCCCGTGTCTTCCTTATGTCAGCGGTCGAGAGTTGACATGCGCTGTGTGCACCAAGTGATGAGGGGCTTACAACGAGCTGCAACGTCAAAAAAAGGATAATTATATTTGATTCGAAATATCATAATACGCCATTAAGTTAAAAAGAAAACGTAAAGGAAAGTCCATTGTAGCATAACACGAGCTACATGTACAAGTTAACACAATAAAAATAAAAGATAATCAGTCAGAAAGAACAATATGTTGCTTTACTGGGAATCTTCAAGCTCGTAAATCCCTTTACCTTGTCCGAAATCATGGAAGAAAAGCATTTCAAAATACTTTGACGCTTATACGCAGCAAATTATAGATTTTTTTAAAGTACATCAATGAACACATATTCGTTATTAAATACACCACAAATATTGCTATTATGCAGCTGCCCAAAGTGCAGACGATCTTTCATTTTCGGCTATTTTGATTTAATTGTAATCCGAACCTTTGGTGAGGAAATAGTGAAGTACCGATTTAATTCAACTGGACAACTTCAACTCTTGCCGAGACATTCTGTAGAGAAGTTGAACGTTGATTGACCATAAGATGATATTGCACACTTGCGTACGTTATCTGGGTCACAGGACACCCAATATACGACATGACAACAGGGAATTGTTTAGATTGAGATCGTTAAGCTGTTAGCAAAGAGATATTGCTCGCGTTTAAAGCTTAAAACAGTATAAGTTCTTTTTCAGCTTCAAGACAGTGAACTCAGAGTCGTCTCTATGAAGATAACAAAAACTCTAAATGAAAATATGGCTGTCACATTTGTAATCGCAATTGAAGCAATTGCAAATTAACCCGATAAAAATTCGGGGCTAACTTCAACGCGAGTAAAACCCATGAACTATGAAGATCCATACATTGGGAGCAGGGCAATTTGTTGAGTTCATCTTACCCGCGAAAGTTCACATCATCTTCATTGCACAACAGAAACTGTCTCGTCATCAATAATGATAATAAAGCGATTTACAATTAAATTCGAAAATGTATCTAAAAATTAAAGTCACCCACTGTCTGTCTTTTCATTGGCTAAGAGTCTACATTTAAATTTGGAAATCAGCTCGTAAATCCCTTTACCTTGTCCGAAATCATGGAAGAAAAGCATTTCAAAATACTTTGACGCTTATACGCAGCAAATTATAGATTTTTTCTAAGTACATCAATGAACGCATATTCGTCATTGAATACACCACAAATATTGTTATTATGCAGCTGCCCAAAGTGCAGACGATCTTTCATTTTCGGCTATTTTGATTTAATTGTACTCCGAATCTTTGGTGAGGAAATAGTCAAGTATCTATTTAATTCATCTGGGCATTTTCTTCCCTCTTTCTTGCCGAGACATTCTTTAGAGAAGTTGAACGTTGATTGACCATAAGATGATATTGGACACTTGCGTACGTTATCTGGGTCACAGGAATCCCAATATAATTATCTATATCACCATTAATGTTTCGACCTGACAACAGGGAATTATTTAGAGTAAGATTAAGCTGTTAGCAGAGACATTGCTCGCATTTAAAGCTTAAAACAGTGTAAGTTCTTTTTCAGCTTCAAGACAATAAACTCAGAGTCGTCTCTATGAAGATAACAAAGACTCTAAATGAAAATATGGCTGTCACATTTGGAATCGTAATTTAAGCAACTGCAATTTAACCCGATAAAAATTCGGGGCTAACTTCAACGCGATTAACACCCATGAACTATGAAGATCCATACATTGGGAGCAGGGCAATTCGGTTGAGTTCATCTTACCCGCGAACGTTCACATCTTCATTGCACAACAGAAACTGTCTCGTCATTAATAATGATAATAAAGCGATTTACAATTAAATTCGAAAATGTATCTAAAAATTAAAGTCACCCACTGTCTGTCTTTTCATTGGCTAAGAGTCTACATTTAAATTTGGGAATCAGCGCAACCTACAGATAAGTTAGTTATCTCAGTGTTGGCAGATAACTGACTTGACGTCTGCAAATGTAAACATTGTGTAAACGCATTGACATTCCACATAATACCTTGAGCACACCGAGAAAACCGCATGTGCTTAATTGTTAGGGCAAGCGTTCTGTCAATTCTAACTGAGTTCAGTTCAGTGGAACAGTCACTAAAGAATCACTAACGCAAACAAGGACCTGCCGCCTAACTAAGGAACTGCACAAACTAGTGAATTCAGCTGTCCCAATAGCTTTTTCCTTTGCCTGAGTGCCGCCCTCAAGCGGTTACCCTTTACTAATTGAATAATATTGAACTTTCTTAACAGTTTCTTTCGAAGAAGGGAAAACAGTTTTGGTTTCGACTACCTTCGATTTATTATCGACAGATACATGTAGTTAGCCTCGTTCAGGGCTTTCCCTGGGGGCGGTGAAAAGCCCTGGGGGTGAGAGATTGATACGTATGTGAATTACATTTTTCATATACTTGAAGCCTGAAAAAGTTACTCCTTTCCGCCGGAGCCTTTCCGTATAAGCCGTTAAAGGATGTACCTCCGAGGCACCGGGTGTCCCACCGTATCTGTGCGTTACGACGAGTCATCAGGACAATAATTTAGCTTGAAACGACAAGTACGACTCTTGGGTGAGCTGAATAAGAGCAAAATTTGTTTTCTTTTTCATAGAGTATTCGGCCATGAATAGGAATTTGCCATCTAGCCGCATATGAAAACTACGTTTAAAATGATTTACTGAAACAAGTTGCAGTATACTGTATCCACGGGACCTACGGATGGGTGCGCAGATGGTTGAAGGCAATGGACCGACTATAATGCTTGTTCTACGTCCCGCTTCCGCGCACCCTTTAGACTATAACAGCCTTGCGCTTTGAGTCAGTTCAGACATTCGAATGTTAGTTGACTTGGCCCTCTTCTAAGGTTTCTCTCTTAAGGTTCGCCAGTCTTCCTCTCCCTGCTACAAAAAAGCACGATACGTACTGGAATGAATTCGCGCCAAAACTGATTTATCTAAAGAGACACTTCAGTTTTACTTTTTAATCTCCTCAAAGAGTCGATCTATACTGAATGATTATTTTTAGAAACCGTTTTGGCTGTTATTGGTTCTCGGCTCCGATCTGAAGGTTTTTTTCCCAGGTTTTGTGATTTATTCACTCGACATAAACCTGCTTTTGAAAAAGTCCCAACTGACGGCAGACTCAGCTTCGGACCTTCACATGTTTTATGTACTAACTTGGTTTGTAAAACCGTTAAGTCGATCTCAATTAAATTATCATAATACTGTAGAATTAAAAGTGATCTCTTAGAGAGTTGGAAAGAATTCTTTAAAAGAAACTTTGTACTTTTAGTGACTGTCCTGGCAAGTGTATTAGATCCTTAGGCGTAGATCTTAAGTTTGTTAAGTTAAATGAGTGTCTGTCATGAGTAATGACAGAATTACCTTGCTCTTTTGCCGTAGTAGCAGTCGTAGCATGCATAATCAGTTTGAATTGTCATTAAATCAATTGAAAAGCAAAGTATCCATGTTTACTTTGAGAAACCCGCAAAATTTTAGCTTATTCTGGCATGTAATAAATGGAACAAATTTGAGGAGTTATGAAACTAACTTGACTTATTTTGATTAACTACCTTTCGTTTTCGGTTGTTTTTTTAAAAGTTAAAGGCGATGGGGTATTTATTTTATGATAGAAGCTCGTAACAGTTCTCAGTATTACTTCCGCTTGGAGACAGGATGTACTAAGCAGTGTAATACTCAACTAAGCAGCGGTAATACTTGACATTGCTCCCTTTGACTTCCGATGTGCACATGTTGCTACGTTACAAACGAGAATAAATTCTCGATTCTTATCAGTGTTTCACCCTCTGATTTCGACGTGACTTACACTTGATAATAATTTTCTTTAAAGTGCGCTGTCTGAGGCAGTACTGTAAAAAAGAGAAGACGCTCATACGCTATTTGCGATCGCTGGAATTATAAGCTGTCGGTACGTATCGTACAGGGATGCGTTTACAGGCTCTAAAGCTGGCGATGTTCTGTGCTATTGCTACTCACATATCCGCCAAGTATGAAACTCGGGCGCCTGAAGGACGAGTCGCAAATCCTAACCCCAATCGAGTATCTGCTGATGAAGCTGAAATATGCGAAAAACGCTCTTTGTTGAGCCGAGGACGAAAAGCAGTAAAGAAAAACGCGACTTTAAATTTGTCGGACATCGAAAAACGATTGAGAGACGTAGAGGAAAGGTACGTTTTATTTTCTTCACTGAAAAATCCTTACTCTATTAATTGCTCAGGAAACTGCTCTGAAAAGTCCGAAGGTAACTCGAATTAAAGTTTTCTAGTTGCAGTTTGCAAGAAGACGCAATATTTTATCCGATGACATTAGGAAAGAAAATTACAAAGAAAAAATAGTTCTATAGCCAATGTGAATCCAGTTTATCAAGAGAATTTTCTCGCAGTACGTATATAGCAGCCAGTATTTTACGCGTAGAAATGCACATTAAAACAAACCAGGATAGTTGACAACGACTTTAAAAACCTGTAACAGTAATCTCAATGACGGTTTTCGTCAGTACTCAATGGAGTGGTGCTCCTTTATTTATGAGAGCGGTGTACTGCATGACAGACTTTGCGGTTGAGAATCCTTCAGTCAAAAGCATTTATTGTAATTCAGAAAATTTCCTTGTCTTGTGCAAACGGCATCTTTTGGTTCTAAATTTAGTCTTAAACTGAGCCTATCAACTCACTAACATTTTTTAAACCTGGAAACAGCCTGTGAAACTCTATATAATTGCTGTGAAACCGTCCAAAAGCGGATTTCGTCGCATTTAAATTTTGTGGAGGTAGACTGTAAGTAACCTCGTTTGAAGACATGATATTGAATCATGTTGAATATTTTTAGTAACATTGCTAGCTCTTAAAGGTCCAAGTTTGAGAAAAAGTCATCTTGCATCAGTAAGCTTTTAGCAGCTGGAACAGGCAAATTTAATCAAGTGAATGGGAAACCATATTTCAGTTAATTTAGCAAGAATATATCTGACTTATTTACCCAAGGCAAAAACGTTAATTTTTTTTGTGTCACCCAAGCATTATAACTCTATCAGCACAACTCTGTTGAAGAGATTTACTCACTGCAGATGAATTAATTAAAGTCGATTAAAAGTTAGTGTCAGAATTGGTGCAAAAAATTATCAGCTGAGCCAGAATTTTGTTATGTCACCCTAATTATTGGTGTTCATCTTTCTGCAGCCTTGATGTTTTACTGCGCATGCGTCCTCGACCAAAGGAATCGTACGGGCTAGTGGCCTACCTTCTTGGTTTGTACTCTAATTCAGTAGAGTTCTCTAACTTGTGAAAACAATGATATTGTCCACTTACGCTGAATAATTAAGTCTGGCAATTTCAAAAGCGAGACTGATTTGTGTTCTTGATCATTGAAAAGGAACCTTCAGACGTTTATATGTCATATCGATTTACTTCTCCATAATTATCTGATTTGCATTTACTGAGAAATACGTAAGAAAGATAAGCCTTGATTGAATAAAGGGTATTACAAACACAGCGTATTTCATCGTTTTACTCTGATTATTACAGTTGGCAATGTACAGTATAAAAACCTGCGGGTAAGTACCTGGTTTTTAAGAACCCGTCAGGCTAAAATTTGCCAGTATCATATATAGGCTCCTTCTATGCAAGAACTTGTTTCGCCTAAAATTTGAAGCAGGTTCATATTATGTTCTGAAAGAGGACCCCAATTTCATGTAGACAGTGCTTCGGTTCTTCTGGTCATTTTTACATAATACTTATTTGGTAAGCAGATTATTCTTTATAGAAGGAATAAGCTGAATACCAGTAAATACTCTTAGCTACAATGTGTTTTTTTTTTTTTCAAAAAATAAGAACCCGAACAGCCTAAATTTATTTTTTTGTGCTAATTACCATTTTTATATAAGAACCTGAGTTGGGCTAACTTGGGAAAATGCAAGTTCTTACTCGCGAGTTTTAACTGTACTTTACCTTTAGTTTAAGATATAGAACTGAAAACAGTTATTTCTTAATATATATTATTTGAGCCACTGAAGTTGAGAATTGTTGTCTCATAAACTGGCAGACGATCATCTCCCTCAACAGAAATGGCAGACGTTAGACTATCAAATTCTTAAGCTTTCTCGTGATGCGATTACTCTCAAAAGTGCAACAAAAAAATAGCTTCACATAATGTTGAACATATATTGTAGAACAAGTGATTGTAGCTTGAGTATCAAGCGTTTCTGGGGAAATGGGGAAATATGGAAGCGAAAAAGGGAGAGAGCTTTTTAAAGTGATTGCTGTAGCCGGAACACTGAACTTGAATTAGAGCCAATTAAAGAGAAAATTGCTATCAACTCTACACATTAAGCGGGTAGATTGGTTCCATTTGTTGATGATATAGTCGCGTACTTATTTTAGGACAGCATATGCAAAGTACTGGAAAGGGACGAGCTGGACCAGCTGGCCCCGTTGGAAAACAAGGACCACCTGTACCGAAAGGTACAATTAATTGAAGCCATTCGCACGATGACCTAAAGAAAGTGGCGATAAAATAATTTTTCCCTTCATTGATAGCCAGGAAGAATGAGAGAAAATAGGGATCGAGTACTCGAGATCTAGTATAAGTCATTCAACTCAGCCACTTAAGTCAAGATGGACAATGAATTCAAAACAACTTAATGTTTTTAAGAGTTCGTGTTTGTCTTACGCACGTAATCTGAGTTTAATAAGGTTAGAGGTAAATCCACTATGACAATGAAAAACGGTTTGTTTTACTTGTTATTTTCTTATCATGAAAAGAAGAATTCTACCACTTAAATTTGTTTATGGCATTCGCCCCATGTAAGAAAATCTAAGAGAGTCTTGCGGTCTGAATTTCACGCTATGGATTCCAGATTCCAGCTATGGATTCCTAGCTGTTTGTCAGAGGCACTTGATTCCCAATTCCAATTTTTCTGAGCGGTGCCCTGGATTCCAAAGCCCAGGATTCCGGATTTCACCAGCAAAAATTTCGGAGATTCCGGAATCCGGATTCCCTTAACATGGGACAAATTTCCTGATTTCCTCGTTTCTTTATTAAGTAATTTTAAAACAAACATTCAACCGCCTCCTGACGACGAGATCAGAAATCAAATGTAAGTGGTAATTTATAAAACCAAATAAAGCTCATAATGAGCTCGATGAATCACAAAGCTGTGCTACTTTGAAGAGCAGAAAATTGCTAGTAAGAACTTAAATAACCAGTTAAGTTGCAGAGTGCTAAGGGTCATTTTAACTGTCATAGGGGATCCGGGAAAACCTGGAACCAACAAGCCATTTCCAGGCCCTCCTGGTCCTAAAGGAGACCAGGGAACAGTTGGGAAGACTGCAGCCCAGGGACCACAGGGTGCCAAAGGAGAAAAGGGACGGGATGGATCTGGGACATCAGGAGTGAGGTACATTCGCTGGGGAAGAACCACATGTCCTACTGGGGTGCAGATAGTTTACAAAGGTAATAAAATGAGAACAATTTTATAAATCGTGAATAATTACTGCCCAATTAGCTTATAAACTGGTAAGGGCAAGTCTGGTGAATTATTCCACAAAGATGTGTTCTTAAACTTCTTAGCACGATCTTCTCGTTGAAGTAGATTTCACATTTTTATGTTGTCGCCTTAGGCATCTTTTATATTCCAAATCCTTTTGAAAAATGATTCGAAAGTAACGTCAATTGAATTAATCATTCAACAACTTATGCCCCATTCAAACCAACAACATGTTTAGTTGAACTAAGTTTTAAAAAAATGAAAAACAGTAACGGAAAACTTAAACAAAGGCTTTTGCACACAATCCATGCAAGTGAACTTTAAAACATGCTACAAAACTGCACTAAATTTGTCTTCATTAGAAGTCAAAGAGTACTGACTTTTTATAGAAATAACAAATTTAAACCTTGTTTAACAAAACACCTTTTTAAACATGTTTAAGCTTTGATCTGAATGTGACTTTAGTTTCAATTTACTTTGAGTATTTAATGTATGATTGCGGTTACCAACAAGGGAAACGAAGTAAAGCCAGGGAAATTGAACATGACAGTAGACTCTGGGTGTGACCAAAACACTCAGTGGATCAAGATTTTTTTAGGTACAGTCAATCCCGCTCTAACACTCGTTTAATACGGACACCTTTATATTACGGGCAGTTTGCTTTGTCCCTGGGGAAAGGGAACTCTTCGTACACTTTTTCTAAATTAAACCCGCATAATATAGACACATTCCATGGCCCCTTCAGTCTCTGTAGAAACGGGATTTAACTGTAATCTAGTCAGCTCCTATCAAAAAACATTCTGTAGTCTTAAATTAATTTGTTGTTCACATCAGATATAATGGGTAGAGCCGGGGAGCTGAGGGGGCTTTATCAACCCCACCCCGTCCACACACCTTTTTCCAGAGGAAAAATTTTTCTTTCACTGAATAGTAAACTACTTCCGTTAACGTTAATTCGATTGGTACTCACTAGTTATTCGAGAAAAGAAGTAAAATACATAAAGGTATTCACTAGAGGAAAGCATTGTTTGAATCGAACTTGCTTTATTTAAGGAATTTTACAAAAAATTAGACAAAACCTGTCGGAAACTTTTCGTGTTTACGTGTTTTCAACATTTTTCTAACGTGCGCTTCCTTCCCACACAAGAAGAACTCCTACATGCAGGCCAGTGTACTAAGGGTGGATATAATCATATAGAAGGCTGAGGAATATGTATCACGTTTTTAAAATACAAAACCTCCATTTCTGTAAGCAATTCAAAAGTAATCGGTGTTATGGTACCCATCTAGAAAACCTAATGGTTCACTTGGCCATCATAATCAGACTTTAATCCTGATTCAATAGAAAGGTTTATATTGTAAACAACAAACTAAAAGGCTGGAACTTAGCATTAGTTAAATATTGAGAGAAAATTCATCTGAGACTGGCATTCGACAATCGGTTGCAAAATACATTGTATTGACATCACTTTTGATTCCGGATTCAAAATCTTGGGATACGCAACCCCCAACTGGGACTCTTTATTTTGGATTCGCGCATCTTCGTGAACGTCAAAACTGATCCACTACCAGAATGTCCCATATTCGTCAAGAATCAGAGCAAATCTACCCCAGTTTAATTAACCTTAACCCGTTCGTTTGCCGGTGAAATTGCCTTTCAATGCTAATGGTAGTCCATACTGTACAACCGCATTGCACATGGCTTTTCAGTTTAAAAGTCGCTACCCGAATTTAAACGAAAGAATATGTGCGTTGCGAAATTGCGGTTTGTTGGTACGTTAATGTTCTGTCATCAGTAACCATACAAATGGGGCTAGGTGGAAAATGTGGTCAATGCCGAGTGTGGATAGTGCGCATTGTGGTAGAAAATGCCGAGTGTAGAAAATGTGGAGAGCGGAAAATGCCGAGCGTATAGTGGATCATTCAAATGTTGGGAGGAGAGTCTACTACTGTCTACTAGACAATGAACTTCGTCAATATAACTGTGAATGTTTTGGCTAAATGAGCGTCCGTGAAAACTTCAAGTTGTAAACCTATACGTCATAGGACCTGTTCATTAAATCGGCGTCAGTCAATTGAATGGCTATTTAGTATAGCAGACTAGACTTTCTATTCTCAATGCTGATGGTACATGTAATAAATATTATTGTAGTCAGAATTACCAATCGCTCAGTTTATTACACAAAGATTTCTTCTCGCACTGCAGCTGACCCACTAGAACAATTCCGATACAAATTGAAACTTTACTCAGGACGGTACTCTGTTGTATTCAGTCGCAGATTTGCATATGGTCTAGCAATTTGGCTTTGTCTACAAATACGTCAAATAGAGTTAGTTTCTGAACAAACAACAGTTTCCTTTTTTAATGCAAAAATGAGAGACAAATTTTCAGGGCAAAGGTCGGCAAACAAGTGAATTTTCACCGTCAGTTTCTGAGGAAACTGAACTGATGAAGCAAGGGCTTGAAGTTTAAGTCGACAGAGTTACTGCAGAGCTAATAAGTGAAAATCCCCCTATTCGTGTGTTTTACACATTAATTAAGACATACTATACTCATCTGTGTTTGTCCGCAAATATATAAAACAACGTCATGCATATCAGTCATGATCAGTCTTGTGGCGTGATGTCGTGGCTAACATAATGCAAGATGGCTATAATTTCCCTAGTAAATTATTTCACTCTAAAGGCCTTCCGTAACTAAGAATCACTCAACTGTTTGTACAACCAACCCATGAAAAGATAGCGCGGAGAAGATCCCTGCGATGATGCGTCGTGAGAAGCCAGTGAAGGTGACGATCGATCTCTCGCGTTCTCATGTGTACTGTAACCGATGATTTTCACGTAGTATTTCTTTCCCTTAGTCAAATTATAGGGCACGACCTTTGTTTGATTAATGCTAACATTATAGTACATTACTCAATGCTGGATTCCTGATAAATTAGAAGGGGGAAGGGCGGAAACAGAAGTTAAAAACAGCGGCATTAAACTTTGAATTGAATTCAACATGAAAGTTTAGTTGTGTGTCAGTCGTTTAACATGAAAAACAAAATCTTTGCGCCTGCTAAGAACAGCTAAAGAACATCGAATTCAGACGGCATAAAAAAAATACGTCAGTCCATTTCATACGATTCCACTCCAGATGTAATGGCCAGAATAATACTTACATGAGGAGTTCCGAAGGCTTTTTTTTCCTCTCTGTTTCAATCAGTAATTCAATTGTAGTCTGAGCACTCTCTACGTGTATTGAATGATGGCCAGTGTTACTGATACTATAAGTTAGAATTATAAATAAATTATTCACACAATTAGATGTTATGAAAACCCGTATTATGATGTGAAAAAACCTGCGGATTACAAAAACCCCCAGGCTAACAGAACTGTTGATGATAACAACCATACATGCCCCTCTTAGTTTTTGGTACAAATTTTAAAGGATAATAATCTGTCGCAAAACTTAGTAAGCGCTTGTAAGGTGGCTATTAAGAAGACGCGATTATAAAATCTGAAAAGCTGAAAAATACGGTATTATTCATTGATTCTAACACAGAACTTTTTCACGACCTTGTTCGTTGATTATTGTTATAAGGGTTTCGTGGAATCCAGGGCCGGTTACTTACCACGGGAAAACCCGAATTTCCGGTGGATAAACCTCGGTTCGCGCTATTCCATATTTGGGAAGCTTCAGAAAACATGGGCTGCTATTTGTATGAGGGATGCAATTTTTCTACTCTTTTTAGTCTGCAAAGCTGATTTGGTTATACTTTAATTTGTTGTGGGTCGTTCTCCAACCACGTCAAATTTTATAGTTTTGTGTATAGTTTTGTGTTTATGAAAACGATTCCCACCGGGGGGGTTTGTGTAAATGGCAAGCACCCCTGTTCTTCAAAAACTTACTTCCGGTTAAAGTAGTGCTACGTCAGAGACGCGAAAAAATTCTCGTTTAGTTTTCTATGTATCATAATCCAGTGATATCAACAAAGCATTAATAAATTTCTTGTGGTGGATAGAAAGAGCTTTCTTTGTTTTTCTCGTGGCTTCAAATTTCAAAAGTTCAAGTTTTAAGGAAAGCGCTACTCGATCGGAAATGGATTTTTGGCCAGTAGTGTCACCTCGGACCGGACTGCGCTTCATTGTTGTGTCGGTGATGTTCTGTGTCATCTTCGTTCATTTGACTTCTGCTAAGAGTCAGTCGTTGCTGTACCGAGGACCAAGAGCAGTCAAGAAAAATGCCAACTCTGTCGGCGGTGACTTTGAAAGAAGACTGAAAGCCATGGAAGAAAGGTAAGCTTTCAAATGAACGACCTTTGTTGAATAAAAATTTAGAACTTTTTTCTGTTCCTTTCGGTAAGAAGCTGAGAGAATCGCTTAATCCCCAAACTCACGCATACTAAATGTCCTTAGATGGATTTAGTTACGGCATATTAAGTAATAATACAACGAGATTTCTCGAGAAGCGTTCTAAACCATTGCCATGTTTAAAACATTTTAGATCATGTAGAAGTTTAGCTTCAATGTAATCCTTCATGCTTGAATGCAAAACAGTCACACATCTTACTATAAGCCGGGCTAAGTTTTTTTTCTGGTTGACTGTTGTTGAAAATCTGCGGGTTTTGATTGTAGGAAAATCAACCCTTCTGATCACTGTTGTCTCTTTTATTTTCTCCACTGAAGACACAACACCAGCACAAGCTTGACAAATAAGCGATTGGAAGAGATAGAAAAAAGGTTTGTGATGCTATACAATTGAAAAGTAGTCCTGAAGTTTTATTCAAATCCATCCAGTATTTCCTCCATGAGTACTTTGTCGTTTGTGTCTCTTTTCAATTGTTTAGAGCACCACAACAGCGAAATCTGCCATTTAGGCATGTGGATAAATAAAAATCATTATGAAGTTTTGAAACTTCTTTAGCGTGATCCGGCTGTAGACAAGATTTCACCCTTTACGAGTATGAAGAGTTTTGATCGTTTTCATTTTAATTGCCTACTTCTAGGAGGACTTTATTTTTGAGGTCTACAAGATAGAACAGTTGAACAGAACAGCAGAAAGTTCTATTGAGATTATATATAGTTATAATGCAAATTTCTATACAGCGCGCTCTCATTGCATGATATATAAGCTCAGTGCATGTATGCAGGTATGAAGCTGTGAAATAATTGCCTACTATACAAGCTTATAAGGAATCCATTGTAAGAGTGTAACTGTCAGGTTTATCAGCCAAGTTATCTTTTCGTAGACTTGATCTGCTGTTGCGTATACCATCTCGATCACGGGACTCTTATGCGTCGCTACTGGTCTCATTAGGTTGGTAAAGAAACTTGATGTAAACAAGATAAATACACTTACTATAGGTGACTGGAAGAGCTATATTTTCCAGCTTGAGGCTCCGATAAATAAGCAGTTGTGGGAAATAAAAGTTTTTACTCTCCCTACAAGAGCAGAAAAATATCATCTTTTTTCTTAAGCGGTTTCAATTCTCAGTTTAACTAATCAAAAAATATTCTGTAAAAGTACCTGAATTTGATAGTGGGCGAATATCTCCTACAAGAGCAGAAAAATATCATCTTTTTTCTTAAGCGGTTTCAATTCTCAGTTTAACTAATCAAAAAATATTCTGTAAAAGTACCTGAATTTGATAGTGTGCAAATATCTGCATATTTTCTTTCTTGATTCGGTTTCTTTGATGATGTTGGTATATTGAAGATGAGGTTTTTAAAAATGCTTGAAAAATGTCTTACTCGGTGTTATTGCTTTGTGTTTCTGATTTCACAAACTAGGGAGTTAATCCAGACGAAAGAAAAAAAATGTACTAAGGAAGTGTCACAGTACTGCTTTTCTCGGTTCCTGTTTCCAATCGTCAGAAAAGTGACTTTGTCAGAAACGAGTATAAACAGTAGTTTCACAAAGGTTAAAAAAACTGAGATATTTCTAACTAAGTAGTATTGTTTTAGATATTATAAGTAACCAAGAATTAGGGGCTGTGAGTAGGTTAACCTAATCAAATAAGGCTGTGTGCTTGGCGTTCATCCGTTCGTGGTGTATTTCAGGCCAGCATGGTCAAAGTACCTTGGGAAAGGTGCGCGTTGGACCAGCTGGTCCCCCTGGGCCTCCTGGGACACCTGGGCCAGCTGGACCAACAGGAAAAACTGGAGCTACTGGACCATCAGGACCTAAAGGTAAAATTATCTGTTGTTTCTTTCTTGGTGTTGGAAACGGGTTAATCACCAAATGACGTAATTCATGCAAAAGATGGAAAAGACGCTAAATAATACCCACACCAAAACACAAGAGCGAAAAAGCAATAGTTTTCGAGCTGGCTCCATGGCACCTAACTTAGAAATTAAAAGCGCTCGTATCTAATTAAATTAAATTTTCTGGCAATAAAATACCCAATAACGTTGTTGAGTGCTCAGCATGAGGTCATTCTTCACAGGGGACGCGGGAAAACCTGGAACCAACAAGCCATTCCCAGGCCCTCCTGGTCCTAAAGGAGACCAGGGAGCAGTTGGGAAGACCGGAGCCCAGGGACCACAAGGTGCAAAAGGAGAAAAGGGACAGGATGGATCTGGGACATCAGGGGTGAAGTACGTTCGCTGGGGAAGAACCACATGTCCTAGCGGCGCTCAGGTAGTTTATAAAGGTAAGAGAATGGTCATCCAAATAGTAGGGTTATTGCACTCTACTGGTCAATGCAAATAGGTTCTTAAGATGTAGAGTGACTAGCGAATATTTCTATATCTAGTAATTATTTTCCAGTATTATTACGCTTATTACATTCAACGTCTTTGCTGCTCTCTTTTTCCAGACAACTTTATTCCCTATCATTGAAACCACCATGAAAAAAGAATTGCACTAGATCGTTTTTTACGGCCATTCGGGATGTAATATAGAGTTATTAATCAAGTTAATTTTGCTCCTGCCACCAGGTATAATGGGTGGAGAGCACTACACTCACCCTGGTGGTGGGGCGAATTACCTCTGCCTTCCACAAAATCCAAAATATGACAAGTACAAAAATGGCCGTCAGAGCGCCGGATACGTGTACGGCACTGAATATCAAGTGAGTGATCACAACGGAGACCCTTTTAAGAGAAATCTCCATGATCATGATGCGCCATGCGTTGTCTGCTTCGTCAAGTCACGTGGCTCAATGTTGATGATGCCCGCGAGGAATGACTGTCCATCTGGCTGGACCGAGGAGTATCATGGGTACCTGATGACATCTGATTATACCCACAAGCATTCAAGTGACTTCGTCTGTGTTGATGGGGATCCGGAGTATGTTCCTGGTAGCCATGCCAACAAAAATGGTGCTTTGCTGTACGCTGTGGAAGGTGTTTGTGGCTCACTCCCGTGTCTTCCTTATGTCGGCGGTCGAGAGTTGACATGCGCTGTGTGTACCAAGTGATGAGGGGCCTATAATGAGCTGCAACGTCAAAAAAAAGGATAATTATTTTTGATTCGAAATATCATAATACGCCATTAAGTTAAAAAAAAAAAAACGTAAAGGAAAGTCCATTGTAGCATAACACGAGCTACATGTACAAGTAAAAACAATAAAAATAAAAGATAATCAGTCAGAAAAAACAATATGTTACTTTACTGGGAATCTTTAAGCTCCTATGTCCTTTTACCTTGTCCGAAATCAAGGAAAAAAAGCGGTTCAAAATACTTACAAGTAAAAACAATAAAAATAAAAGATAATCAGTCAGAAAAAACAATATGTTACTTTACTGGGAATCTTTAAGCTCCTATATCCTTTTACCTTGTCCGAAATCAAGGAAGAAAAGCATTTCAAAATACTTTGACGCTTATACGCAGCAAATTATAGATTTTTTTAAGTACATCAATAAACGCATGTTCGTCATTGAATACACCACAAATTTTGTTTTTATGCTATTATTTCGGCTATTTTGATTTAACTGTACTCCGAGCCTTTGGTGAGGAAATAGTCAAGTATCAACTGGACATTTTCTTTCCTCTTTCTTGCCGAGACATTCTTTAGAGGAGTTGAACATTGATTGACCATAAGATGATATTGCACACTTGCGTACGTTATCTGGTTCACAGGACACCCAATATAATTATCTATATCACCATTAATCTTTCGACCTGACAACAAGGAATTATTTAGAATGAGATTAAGCTGTTAGCAAAGAGACACTGCTCGCGTTTAAAGCTCAAAACAGTATAAGTTCTTTTTCAGCTTCAAGATAATGAACTCAGAGTCGTCTCTATGAAGATAACAAAAACTCTAAATGAAAATATGGCTGTCACATTTGTATTCGCAATTGAAGCAATTGCAATTTAACCCGATAAAAATTCGGGGCTAACTTCAATGCGATTAAAACCCATGAACTATGAAGATCTATACATTGGGAGCAGGGCAATTTGTTGAGTTTATCTTACACGCGAAAGTTCACATCATCTTCACTGCACAACAGAAACTGTCTCGTCATTAATAATGATAATAAAGCGATTTACAATTAGATTCGAAAATGTATCTAAAAATTAAAGTCACACACTGTCTGTCTTTTCATTGGCTAAGAGTCTACATTTAAATTTGGAAATCAGCGCAACCTACAGATAAGTTAGTTATCTTGAAAAAGATAAGATAAGGAAATAAATCCCAAATGGCAGTTGAACACTGCCTCTTCATTATCAATTACTACGCCCGTGATCATGATTCTGTGTTTTCGCTCGTGCTCTATTTTCTCGTATTTAAAGAAAATATTTAGTCCCAGGGCAAAAGTTACAACATTTAAGAAGATTTATCAACCTTTGCCCCCTAATTTCTATCCCTTCCACATTCAGAATCAAGAGCGTAAGGAAAGTATCTAGAGCTCACAATAGTGCATGCATGCTGTTTAGCGGTCGGAAAAAACAGCCCGTTGAATCACCATCGGATGCCGAATTATGATACATTTCCCCAACGTAGCTTTCTTGTTGGGCTAAGTTTACACCCGAAGAGATTTTTCTGGATTCATAAATATTTCCGAATTTACTATATTTAGAGTATTCGGATTTGCAGGCGGCTTTTACACACATCAATTCATCTGACTGAACATTCGACAATCGGTTGCAAAATATATTGTATTCACTTTTGATTCCGGATTCAAAATCTTGGGATACGCAACCAAACCGGGACTCTTTATTTTGGATTCACGCATCTTCGTGAACGTCAAAACGGATCCACTACCAAAATTTCCCACTTAGATTCGTCAAGAATCAGGGCAAATCTACTCAAGTTTAACTTAACCCGTTTGTTTGCCGGCGAAATTGCCGGCTAATGGTAGTCCATATTGTACAAGCGCATTGCACATGGCTTTTCACTTTAAAAGTCGCTACTCGAATTTAAAGGAAGGAATATGTGCGTTGCGAAATTGCGGTTTGCTGGTACGTTAATATGCAGTTATAGCATCAGCCATACAAATGAGGCAAGGTGGAAAATGTGGTCAGTGCCGAGCGCATAGTTTATCATTAAAATGTTGGGTGGAGAGTCTACTACTGTCTACTAGACAATGAACTTCGTCAATTTAACAGTGAATGGTTTGGCTGAATGAGCGTCCGTGAAAACTTCAAGTTGTAAACCTATACGTCATAGGACCTGTTCATTAAATCGGCGTCAGTCAATTGAATCGTTATTTAGTATTAATAGCATACTAGACTTTCTATTCTCAATGCTGATGGTATATATATTATTAGAGTCAGAATTACCAATCAAATCAGTTTATTACACAAAGATTTCTTCTCGCACTGCCTGTGACCCACTAGAACAATTCCGATACAAATTGAAACTTTACTCAGGACGGTATTCTCTTGTATTCAATCGCAGATTTGCATATGGTCTAGCAATTTGGCTTTGTCTACAAATATGTCAAATAGTTTTTAATTAGTTTCTGAACAAACAACAGTTTCTTTTCTTAATGCAAAAATGAGAGGCAAATTTTCAGGACAAACAAGTGAATTTTCACCGTCAGTTTCTGAGTAAGCTGCCTGAACACGCAAGTAACTAAGAAAAACCTCGAGAAGTTTAAGTCGACGGAGTTACTAAAGTAATGAGTGAAAATCCCCCTATTCGTGCCGGACTCCTAATAAATTAGAAGGGGGAAGGGCGGAAACAGTTATAGTTCCGACACTCACTGCAGAAACATTAAATACCTGAGCTAAATGTTATGGATCTGAGCGAGTGAGATCGCGACCAGGGATCGCACCCTTCTCTGAAGTTTGTGGCGGAGAGAGATGAGGGATCTCAGACTGTAACCTTAGGCCCGTCGAATTTCACATGTGCGTTATTTGGTCTGATTCAACTCCCATTTTAGTCGACTAAAATAATTTTTACATACGGCAGTTTATTCAGACTTCGGATATAATGGTGTCGAATTTAACTGCCGTCCTTTCGTTGTCCAATATGGATAACACTTTCTTACATAATGCATTATATTCTGCACATGTGAAATGCGTCGTCTCAATAAAAATACGAAATTATTCATTGATTCTAACACAGAACTTTTTCACGACCTTGTTCGTTGATCATTATTATAAGGGTTTCGTGGAATCCAGGGCCCGTTACTTACCACGGGAAAACCGGAAATTCCGGATGGATAATCAAACCTCGGTTCGCGCTATTCCATATTTGGGAAGCTTCAGAAAACATGGGCTGCTATTTGTATAAGCGATACAATTTTTCTACTCTTTTTAGTCTGCAAAGCTGATTTGGATATAATTCTTAGCGGGTCGTTCTCCAACCACGTCAAATTTTATAGTTTTGTGTATAGTTTTGTGTTTATGAAAAAGATTCCCACCCGGGTGGTTTGTGTAAATGGCAAGCACCCCTGTTCTTCTAAAACTTACTTCCGGTTAAAGTAGTGCTACGTCAGAGACGCGAAAAAATTCTCGCTTATTTTTCTGCGTATCATAATCCAGTGATATCGACAAAGCATTAACAAATTTCTTGTGGTGGATAGAAAGAGATATCTTTGTTTTTCTCTTGGATTTAACTGATTTCAAAAGTTGAAGTTCGGAAAGCGCTACTCGATCGGCAATGAAATTATCGCCAATCGTGTCACATCGGACCGGACTGCGCTTCATGGTTGTGTCGGTGATGTTCTGTGTCATCCTTGTTCATTTGACTTCTGCTAAGAGTCAGTCGTTGCTGTACCGAGGACCAAGAGCAGCCAAGAAAAATGCCAACTCTGTCGGCGGTGACTTTGAAAGAAGACTGAAAGCCATGGAAAAAAGGTAAGCTTTCAAATGAATATCCTTTGTTGAATCGAATTCAGAACTTTTTTTTCCCTTCGATAAAAAGCTAAGGGAGTCGCTAACCCCCACACACAAAATATCCTTGGATGGATTTATTTACGGCTTAAGTAATAATACACTGAGATTTCTCTAGAGGAGTCTAAACCAATGGCCATGTTTAATACATTTGTAGATGAAGAATACTTAAGTTTAGCTTCAATGTAAAGCGGTCACGCATCTTACTCTAAGGTGCAATTTATTCTTGACTGATTGTAAACAAGTGACTTTTCTTATTCACAAACTACGTTTCGAGATTAGTTTTCTGGTTGACTGTTGTTGAAAAACTGTGGGCGTTGATGGTAGGAAAATCAACCCTTTTGATCACTGTTGGCTCTTTTATTTTCTCCACTGAAGGCACAACACCAGCACAAGCTTGACAAATAAGCGATTGGAAGAGATAGAAAAAAGGTTTGTGATGTTATACAAATTGAAAAGTAGTCCTTAATGTTTCATTCAAATCCATCCAGTACTTCCTCCATCAGTACTAATTTCTGCATTACTTGGATGACCTACTTCCTTTCAAAATAAAGAAAGATGCAATTTCATTGACTATCTGAGGTCTTCGAGATCACGTTGGTATGATTTTTCAAATTGCACCGTGCTGGCGATGATCGCCGTTTTAAACAAATTGTAATTTGTTATATATGGTCAATCTTTAAGCTCGGTGGGGGAATTTTCCTTACCCCCTTTTTTTTTTGCGAATTTTCATCCAGATTTTAATGGGAGCAGAAAATAATTTCAAATGACCTTTTGATGTGAAAAACTTCAGTATACTGAGAATTAAATAGTACTTAATGTACCGAAAGCATGTCCAGAGTTCAGTGTGATGAAAAAACAAATACTGGAGGAGGAGGGTAATGAAGATTCCAAGCGCACTCACTCTCATTTTCATAAACTGAAGCCCGTCATTGTTAAAATTTTTAACTTGCAACCACTCAAATATTGATGACAACCCTGCCCTACAATAAAATACAATTTTTTAATGTCGTTTTTGTCTCTTTTCAATTTTTTAGAGCGGCACAACACTTAAATTTGCCATCTTGTAGATAAATAGAAATAATAAAAAGTTTTTTAAACTTCTTCAGCGTGATCCGGCTGTGGACAAAATTTCATCCTTTACGAGTATGAAGAGTTTTGATCGTTGTCATTTTAATTGCTTACTTCAAGGGGGTTTTTATTTTCAGGTCTACAAGTTAGAAACACCTCGGTAATGCCAAGAAGAACAGAAGAGCAGGATTAGTTCTATTGAGATTATATATAGCTATGATGCAAATTTCCATACCGTACGCTCTGATTGCATGATAAGTGAGCTGCAAGGTTGAAGCTGTAAAAAATTGCCTACTATACAAGCTTATAAGGAATCCATTCTAAGAGTGTAACTGTCAGGTTTATCAGTCATGTTATCTTTTCGTAGACTTGATATGCTGTTGCATATACCATCTCGATCAGGGGACTCGTATGCGTCGCTACTGGTCTACTTATTAGGTTGGTAAAGAAACTTGATGTAAACAGGATAAACACACTTACTATAGGTGACTGAAAAAGCTATATTTTCCAGCTTGAAGCTCGGATAAATAAGCAGTTGTGGGAAATGAAAGTTTTTACTCTCCCAACAAGAACAGAAAAATATCATCTTTTCTCTTAAGAGGTTTCAATTCTCAGTTTAGCTAATTAAAATCTATAAAATTCCTTGAATTTGATAGCGGGCGATTATCTCCATATTTTCTTTCTTGAATCAGCTTCTTTGATCATGTTGGTGTTGTGAAGATGAGGTTTTGCAAAACGTTTGAAAAATTATCTTAAGTGTTATTGTTTTGTGTAATGATTCGCAAACAGGGCAGTTAATCCAGACGAAAGAATAAAAAAAGTGTACTAAAGAATCGTCAGAAACGTGACTTTGTCACGAACTAGTAAAAACAGTAGTTTCACAAAGGTTAAAAAAACTGAGATATTCAGAACTGAGCAGTGTTGTTTTAGAAAAGTAACCAAAAATTACTGGCTGAGTGTAAGCTAACCTAATCAAAATAAGGCTGTGCTTGGCGTTCATCCGTTTTTAGTGCTTTTCAGGCCAGCACGGTCAAAGTACTGCGGGAAAGGTGCGGGTAGGGCCAGCTGGTCCCCCTGGGCCTCCTGGGACACCCGGGTCTTCTGGAACACCTGGGCCAGCTGGACCAACTGGAAAAACTGGAGCTTCTGGACCAGCAGGACCTAAAGGTAAAATTATCACTTTGTCAAACTGAAAAGATACATGCACAGCTGTATAGAACAATGGAAAACAAAAAACAGAAAAAAAAATACTAAAACCAACCTTTGCCCAAAAGTTCAAAAACTTAAACAACCTGAACCTAACGAGTATAAATTAAGTACTAAACACAGTCAGGATAACGACGTTTGAGCTCTGCTTGATTGTTATTGGCTCCTATTGGTGACTGGAATCGCGCCGAAAATGGGGTTAAGAGTGGGATGTTTACATGCAAGGGCACGAAATATCAAATAGCACCAAATGTGGTTGAAGAAAGTCTTTCAAAACTTTCTCTGAAATAAACGAAAAGAAAATAGAAGAAATCAACAATCTTGAAAAAAACAAAACAAAAAAAGTGATAGATGTATCCACTATGACGTCGAAAGTTGCCGAAATCAAAAGAGAATGAGAAACAGAAACCTTTCGGTGAGAAAAGCACTTATCTTCGGTCCAGTTAACAACAGTAATTAACTGGGATAAAGAGAACATAATTACTTCTGCCAACGATTATGAAAATAACAAAACGAAAAAAGTTTAACGACCCCTGCACTAAATAAATTTAATTACCGATTTTAGAAAGTGAAATGAAGAAATGGATGAACTTCAGATCAGTGGGGACCATTTTTTTAACATAAGTTACTAAAATAAAAAAAAAATTGTCTTTATAAACACCTCGAACGACAAAAAAGAACTTAAAGAAATCTTCCTCCTCGCTCTTTCGTTTCTCCGGCCTTTTCCTTTCCTTCGCTAGTGTGTTTTTCGAGCTTATCGGGGGCAAAAACCTGCGTTTTGGCTCTTTCTCACCTAAATGGCTGCTCATTTTCAAAAATATAGCTAGAGTTGGTCACTGCTTTTCTTCAGTCATTTTTTTACACTCTATACACCGAATTCTTTTTGGATACTTAATGCCGGTCCCAGTCGTTTGTCTTAGAAATAGTTGACTGTACATCACAATTACAGGAGAACCAGGACAGCTTGGTGGCAAAAAGGTGATTCAAGGCCCTCCTGGTCCTAAAGGAGACCAGGGAGCAGTTGGGAAGACTGGAGCCCAGGGATCACAGGGTGCAAAAGGAGAAAAGGGACAGGATGGAGCTGGAAATTCAGGGGTGAAGTACGTTCGCTGGGGAAGGACCACGTGTCCAAAGGGTGCTCAGATGGTTTATAAAGGTAACGACTTCAAAAATCATGCGGAGTTTTGTTACCGTCAATAATGAGCCTAACTGCTTGCTTTCTTTATTTTAAGTGACAATTTATTGTTACATATTGACTCGAATTTTTCTGAACCACTTGAAGATGTTATCTATGCCAAATAATAATGATAATAATAATAATCATCATCATCATCATCACCATCATCATCAGATGATAATAATAGTAATAACAGCAACAACAACAAAAAATGTAAACAACAGTCAAGACACACTGAAGTTTCATTTTTGATGACATTAAGTTTAAGAATAAAAAAACCTTTTGATAAAATAAAAAAAGGTAGTCAAAGTGAAAGTAAGATGATTTTAATAACGGTCTGGCGGCTTCTTGTTTTTTTTTTTTTTATCTTCTTTGTGTCAGGTATAATGGGAGGAGAAGACACGGCGCACCTTGGTGGTGGATCGAACTACCTCTGTCTTCCTCGGGATCCAATTTATGAAAGGTACAAACCTGGTCATCAGAATGCTGGACGCGTGTATGGCGTTGAGTATGAAGAGAGTGATCATAGCGGAGATCCATTTAATAGAAATCTCCATGACCATGAACCACCCTGCGCTGTCTGCTTCGTCAAGTCACGTGGTTCATTGCTGATGATGCCTGCACGGAATGTCTGTCCCTCCGGGTGGACCGAAGAGTACCATGGGTACCTGATGACTTCACACTATGCCCACAAGCATTCAACTGAATTTATATGTGTCGATGGGAATCCAGAGTACGTTCACGGCACCAACATAAACAGGGATGGTTCCCTGTTGTACCTAGTGGAAGGAGTTTGTGGCTCACTCCCGTGTCGTCCTTATGAAGCCGGTCGAGAGTTGACATGCGCTGTGTGCACTAAGTGACGAAGGCGCACAGCAACCACCAACAGTAACACAACTGATTTAATCAGTCGTCTACAATGATTTACCCTAAAAATAGATTGAAAATAAACAAAGCCTACCATTGCAGTAAGCTCGCTGTGACTTAACATTAAAAGTAATAATTGACTGAAATAAAGATAAAGTGAAATCATTGATCATGTTGATGAACCCTTTTCTCTCTAAAAAAGGTGTAATATTCGACGTGACAGGCCAGCATCTGCTGACAGAGGACACTAGCTTCAAACCGTAGACCCCCTAACCTCCAGTGCAAGTGATTTCCCGAGGGGGGGGGGGGGGGGGAAAAAAAAAAAAAAAAAGGAAAATAGTTGATATTGTTATGAACCCCTTTCCACCTAAAAAAAGGTTAAAATTCCGCCGGGGAGGCCCCCCACTGGGGAAAGGAGAAACTGGCCTCAAAACCGAGGCCCCCCAACCCCCCAGGGAAAGGGTTTGCCGGGGGGGGGGGGGGGGAGAAGAACACCAGAATTTACTCGAATTGTGTCGTACGAATCAAAGTGGGCATTAAAATGAGTGAGAGATAAATTTAAAGCTAACTCCTTCCTCCCTCGTTCTTTTAGTGTTAATCCTACCTTACTGCTCACATTCTCCCCGATCTTCTTCTGCATTCAAAAATTAAAGATGGCGACTACTGAAATTTAGCGCTCACTAGCACGAAAAAATGCTTGCATTACAGCCCTAATCCAAGGCCCTAATTGGTTTTAGGTTTGCACATAGGGGAGTGCTCGCCGCCGTCTACAAATGGCCCTTTTTGAGGGGCTTATATTCGGAGGGGCTTATCTACGGAGGGAAATTTGCGTTTACAAATCGATTGGGCTAGCCTTATAGTTCGAAGTAAACTTACCCTTTTTGCTTTGTTTTATTTTGTATTTGAGGGCAATTTTCGAAGTACAAGCCCCCGGGGGGCTTATATTTGGAGGGGCGATTTAACGGAGGGTTTTTTGCGTCACTGGTTTGGGGGCTTATATTTGGAGGGGCTTATTTTCGGAATTTTACGGTATGTCAAATGATTTAGTCTGAACAAATAACATTTCTTTTCTTCTAATGCAAAGAAGAGAGGCAAATTTTCAGGGCAAATAAGGTATTGTCATCATAGTTCACTAAACTGCATTAAACACGCGGGAAAATAGGAAAAGCCTGTGTGATTCCGGACAACTGCGATAGACGGATCGAGGGTACTGGGACCGTATTATGCGAAAATCCCCCTTTTCGTGTGCTTTACACATTCATTATATTCTACTCGGTGTTTATCCTCAAATAAAATAATGTCAAATGAGTCTTACATAAACCAGTGAAACAGGGTGATAAATAAGAAGGAGAGAGCAGCGGTTTGGGTTCCAACACTTCAGAAACAGAGAGAGAGAAAGGAATCTCGGTTACTATTACAAAGAAATCGAAGCTAAGGAAGTCAAAAACAGCGGCATTTAACGTAAAAATAATTATTGCTAGTTTCCTGTGAAAATGAAAAGCAAAATCAGTTGGGCCTGTTAAGAACGAGATTCAGACATGACTTGACTTTACCCGTCAAGGTCGTTTGGTTCCGCTGTTTATATAATAGCCAGTATAGTGCACTGAGAAGTTTGGTTAGTTTTTTCTTACTTTGTATCAGAACGCCAGTTGTAGTTTTAGCAGCCTCCATGAGTAAATATTGTGTACGAATAATGGAGTTAAACTGATAAACAGTGAAACAGTTGCAACGAATATTCACACGTCCGCCTGGCCGTGCCTTGTTGAGAAACTACTGCGGATTGAGAACCGCTTGGCTGAAATTAACCCCAAAACAACCAATTATACCACTGTGTGTTTAACTAAAGAATCATTAGTGTTTGTGCTAAAAATCTTTTGGGTTCTATGACATGGGCTGGTTTATGAGAATTCGCAATTAGATGTGGTATGTTCGGTTAACCTTTTATAAAATAATTAAGATAGTACAGTATGCGCGCTCTGATTGGCCGAGAGGAGTGTTCGCATGAGAGTATGTAAACATGGTTGTGGCGTCAAGATGTTTTGCTTTTCGCGCGCTAATCACGCAAGCACGAATTTGAAAAAGTTTTCGAGTTCAAAACTCGACAAGTTTACTCTATTTACCAATTCCTCCGTCGGCTGAAACTTGGAAAATCGTTACAAAGAAGGTGTGTCGATTTATTTTGAATAGCATCTTTTTGCAAAACAAGAACTGATTACGCGTGCAAGACGTCTGTGCAAGACTTTGCAACTGGTAAGAATTTCTCTTTTAATCAGTGCCATAACAAAGAGTTTTGCTTTTTTTTCTCAGGAAAGTTGTTTTATAAAAACGATAGAAAACTATTTTCCTGTGTTTGCATAGCCTCTTCGTCTCGGGTTTGCATAACTATCGAGAATTTCTCCCAACCCTTCGAGTGTTTATATCAGGCTATGCAACCACGGAAAACGTTTTCTATTGCTTAAATAGTGTTATACTTGGCCGCTTACTATTAGAGGGAAGCAGAAATTTGAAAAATTAAAAAGCTGATAAAAATACGATAGTTTATTCGTTGATTCAAATACAGAAGTTTTTGATGACCTTTTTCATGGTCCTTCATGGTTTCGTGGAATCCAGTTCTTCAAAACTTCAAGTACTTCCGCTTGCTAGTAGTACTACGTCACAAACGCGAATAAATTCTTGCGTCTTTTTCCGTGCGCAGCGATATCAACAAAGCATTACTAACTTTAATGTGTTTGATATAAAGGGATTGTTTCGTTTTTCTTGCCCATTAATTTCAAAAGTTCAAGTATTTTGGAAACGCCATGGGATTTTCAAGGGAATTGACGCCAGTTATGTTACCGTGTCACACCAGCCTGCGCTTCGTGGCTGTGTCGGCGATGCTCTGTGTTGTTTTGATTCATTTGACTGCTGCTGCCAGTCAGTCGTTGTATCGAGGACCAAGAGCAGTCAAAAATACCAATTCTGTTCGTGAATTTGGAAGAAGACTGAAAGTTATGGAAGAAAGGTATGACTGATCTCAGTGTGTGACCGCAGATTTAGAAATACTGGGTAAGGAACAAAAAGAATTGATTGCGACCTCGTAACTGATCAGACTGATGATTAACCTTATCTCATAATTATTTGAATATGAAGTCATAAAGCAATAATATTTCGTTTCATTTTCAGGCTAAAGTGATGTATTCTATGATGAAGAAAACTTTTGTACAACTTTTTGAATAAAGAGAAAAGTTCAGCTTTCGGCCGGATTTCTCCAGACGGTGCAGTTAAAATATATAGCCAAGCGTATACAAATGTCCAACTGAGTTGTAAATAAATTAATTTCCTTATCTTCGGTCTCAGTGTTAAGTTACCTACTGACGCCGTTAAATCTTTTTTGAAGGCACAACATCAGTACAAGCTTGACAAACAAACGTCTGGAAGAGATAGAGAAAAGGTCTGACATGTGATGAGTAAAACAGCTTTAGTTTGTCCTATGCATTTCCTTTTGCCTTTTTTTTCCCTACTAGTTTGAGTCCATCATTGCTCTATCCATAATCTCTACTTCAAGGTTTCTTTCGGGTAGAACGCACTCGATCAGATCTATTCGAGACCTCAAAAAAGAAACCAAAGGCCTAAAACTGTTCCGTTTATTGGTTATCAGGATTCATAGTGAATTCACTCCAAGGCAAAAATATAATCGAATTATTTTGTATCAAAAATCAACTGTAACAACCCCAGTTAATGTTCCCAAACCATAACCCTCACTATGGAAGCAAATTACAGAACCAGAATAATTGTGGGGAAAAGGGTTATGGATGAAGTACTTTAAAAGAGGACTACAGGTCACGTTGTGTCGGGGTTGGTAATCCCCCAGGGTAATGTTTGGAGAGATGAGGGGGTGACAATCCCCCAGCTAGGGTAGCGAATGAGAGGTGACAATCCTCTCTAGGGGGTGATAATCTCCCCAAGTTATGGAGAAGTGAGAACTTTACATTGTAGGAGTCCAATCCCCTGGGATAAAAATAATAGGAGTCTATGGGGGAAAGGGGTGACCTGTATGGGAGCACTTCATCCCAGACCCATTTGTTTATTAAACCTCACCATTCGCCGGCTAATTGTATCCAAGTAAATGTGAATAAAATCGTTGAATTAAATATGTTTTTACTGTGTTGTTCATTCCAGTCTAGTTTTCCTGATCGGCACTGATATCCTTTTTTTGACAATGGAACGAAAAGGGCTTACACAATTATGAAAGCGGTTTTCATCAATCACATCTTCGCCCTCATTTCCTTACCAACGGCTAAGCATAAAATTATGCATGTCACTCTTTTCTTCTTCGGTGTGCATGCACGTGAAAGCTTACATGATTGGCTGAGCCCAATCACTCGACAGGAGAAAATCACGTGGAGGAAGTGTCCCATGACCGGAAGTGAACTGGTTTATTCCTCTGTGTAGGGATTTAAGGCGGGTCTATGGTTATCACATTAACTTAAAATATATAGGTCAATAAATTAGCTTTAAAACGTTGCGAAACGACTATTCATGAGCCACGTTTGTGTTACTATGATGCCCGATCGCAAATACATGGTTTGAATTGGTGCAAACATTATTTCTTGCTGTTGCTTGATGTTCCTTTTGTCCCGATTCAGTTTTCTCATTGTTGGTCATCATCTCTCTGTAGGCTTGATGTTCTCCTGAGAATGCATCCTCGGCCAGGAGAATCGCACGGGTCCCTTTTGGCCTACATTCTTGGTTTGTTTTCTCGTTAAACAAGTTAAAAATTATTCCCAGTTAAAAACGAGACATTTTCGCGATCTTCGATAACAAAACTCGCCAATTGATCAATTGATTGATAAGCGACTCCTTTTTTGTGTCCATTGATCGTGGTGAACAAGGAGTCTTAGGTTTTATTTGTACCCCTCCTTTATTATCATATTTTCGTTTAAGTAACACTTAAGAAGGTTTAGAGATGGAAGGTTTGCCGTGAGAGGAAAAAGAAATTTTTAAACAGTGCATGATCTCTTTTCTTTTGATCTGATGATTACCCGCATTTATGGGAAATGATTGTACCCCGGAGACATCGGGACTCTCGAGGTACGCTGTGACGATCACGGTACGGTTTCATGAAACTAAGGGCGCTTTCCATTTGTTAGAACTGGCCAGCCGGACTATTAGCGGACCAGTTATTTTGACAATGAAATCGGCTTTTTCCAAGGGTTTTTGCTGAAGGACCATCTCCTTCCTGTACGCTATTTAGGATTTGACTGATCTAGCTGGATAGTTTTGATTAATTGTGAAATTCCTATTACGAAGGGAAGGGTCTTGCCGGTCAGTTCTGACAAATGGAAAGCGCCCTAAGAGAAATCCGATCAGCATAAAAAAGAAAAAGAAAACATTTACTGTCAATGTAACATATTTTGAAGAGTTTTCAAGACTATATTTACGTATCGATGAACAAATACAGGTGAATCTAATTCCTTGAGAAAACTGAGATTTGCATCTGTGGTTAGGAATAATATTGTCGAATAAGTGCATGGCTAATAAGCGGGTAGATATGTGACGTATTTTCAGATGATATGACTGCATGTATGTATTTCAGGACAGCATATGCAAAACACCGGAAAGCAACGAGCTGGACCACCTGGCTCCCCTGGGCCAAAAGGATCAAAAGGTACCATTTACTGACAGCTTTAATTACTTGATCACCTAAAGAAAGTCACAATAAAGTGAAAAAAGTGTTAATTAATCTGATTGCGGTGATTATGTGTTTTCTCGTTTCATTGAGTTTGTACCTGTCCTGATACAGTGGTGGATTCAGATCCGTAAGGTAGTGAGTTAAGGGAGCTCTCATCCAGACCCTATACGGGCATCAGTCTCATAAAGTTTGCTCAAACATACAACTCTACTCGAGCGCCACACTTACTTTGAAATTAATTATCCTCCGGTGTGTTTTATCTACTTGTTCATCTTGATTAGTTGTTTGTTTCTCTGTTTGTAACTTGCCTATTTGTTAGTTATTTTATTTACATATTTTTAACGGCCCCCCACGAGAACCTTCATCGTTGGAGGAGGTCGGGTTCCACAGAAGAAGAAGAAGAAGAAGAAACTATACTGACACGCATCGAAAACTAATAATGAGCACCTATGGCCCGTATCAGAAAAGTGCTCAAATTTAATCGGCGGGAATTAAAATTATGGTGAAAAAAAAATACCCGATAAAGTTGTTGAGTGCTCAGTGGGGTCATTTTTCGTAGGGGACCAGGGAAAACCTGGAACCAACAAGCCGTTTCCAGGCCCTCCTGGTCCTAAAGGAGACCAGGGAGCAGTTGGGAAGACTGGAGTCCAGGGACCACAGGGTGCCAAAGGAGAAAAGGGACAGGATGGAGCTGGGAATTCAGGAGTGAAGTACGTTCGCTGGGGAAGAACCACGTGTCCTAGTGGCGCGCACATAGTTTATAAAGGTAAGGGAATGGTCATACAGATAGTAAGGGTTGTACACTACAGTTGAATGCAAATAGGTTATTAACTTAAGCAGAAATCGGTAACATTTTGCGCCCGCGAATTATTTGGCGCGCGGTTTCTAATTATCAAGATGGCGGGAATAAAGAAAGCAGTACGTAGGGAAAAACAAGGACTGAAATAACACACTATCAAAGGATCTGAATAAATTTCATTTCTTTTTTGAGGTAGTTGATACAAGGAAGAATGAAAAAGTGGAAATTAGAGTCCAGACTCCTGTTCGAATGATGATTTTAGGAAAAAGAAACAACTTCGTTTCATGCGTGACATTTAAAGTAAAAATAATTTTCAAAAATCAGGGCCCACAGTACAATTAGCCAGCGATGTTCTGTTGTAACAAGCCAGGCTCTCAGCCAAAAATGGCGATCAAAACAAACTGGAGACAGAAAACGTTACTTTTCACCAGAAATGATAAGCGAATTAAGTGGTGCTTTTTGTACCGCGCTTTTATAGCAGAAACTGATGTATTTTTCCCTCTTTTATCGCAAGTTTTGCGGCCATTTGGGAAACGGATCAAGGCTGATTTTTATCACGTTTTAAAGTTTGAACATCGAACGAGAACGAGAAGAAGAGGCAGTATGCGGAAAGAGTAATGGAGATCGAAGAGGGAACGTTCGATCCAGAAGACGACAGCTAGACTTTGTTGACTCACATCTACAGATCGAAAATATTAGAGCCTGCCCGAATTTATCTTTTTTTCTTAAGAACTTTTTAAAGAATTAGGAATTTAGGAATACGAGATTTTATTCTTTTTAACTTGTTTTCTTTTTAATATTAGAGACGGATAATTCTCTTTTGTAGTGACTTAATTTAAAACTCTGGACTGCCTGCAAGAGTTATTGACCGCATCTAAGCCACAAGGAATGTATTTGGGAAATCGTTATTGACACGGTGATTGTTTTTTAATGATTTATATAATTCTTAATGTTATATAGTGCTTAATTCTTACTTTCAGTGAGTGGGGTAAATAATAAAAACCGCATGCTGCGTTCAAGTTAAATATATTGCTCGAGACTTTCCC